GGCTAGGGGCTGCGAGGGCGGCGTGAAAGGGCCGCGAGGGCGGCGCGACACGAAGGAGCCGCGAGGGCGGCGGATCGGGGCCGCGAGGGCGGCGCGACGCGGCCGCTAGGGCGGCGCGACGTGAAGGGGCCGCGAGGGCGACGCGACGGGGCCGCAAGCGCGACGCGACGGGGCCGCTAAGGCGGCGCGACAGGGTCGAGAGAGGGGAGCGCGACTCGGGCAGTGGAGAGAGCGCTCCGGGCAGGAAAAAAATGTGGTGGGCCCTAGGAACAGTTCCCACAGGGGAACCTGCTCGATACCATGAGAAACTGAACGAGAATGAATTGACTAAGGGGAAGTTGGGTACAAATGTAAACCCTAGAAAACTGTACCCCATATGTGCTACCCCACTATAGCCTACAGTAGCTATGTCATATAAATCTGACAAATCTTGCACATACCATTGCAGGTCCCAATACTTGGTACCTCGACAGTTGCTGCGATCAGCACATGTGTTCGTTAGAGACGCGTTTCATCGTGAATCAACGCCGTCTGGAGAATCCCGTTGTCGTCACGGTCGCCAATAACCAACGACTTACAGCTCACTGGATGGGAAGTATTGTTCTGGACTCAGTTGAAGAAGACTTCAGTCTTCACCTGAACGAAGTTCTTCTGGTCCCTCGGCTTGGCTTCAACCTCATGTCATCTGCACAGCTCATGAAGAACGGGATTACACTTCTCGGTGAACCTGGAAAATTCACTCTGAAATACGGTGAAAAGAAACTCGGCACGGCAGTTGAGCAAAACGGTGTTTTCGTTTTAAACTTCATACCTGAGCGCACTACTGCCGACTCTGATAACATTCTCTCGCTTGGTCCTTGGGAGCATCGCGACGACATTGATTACACCGACGATACAGTTCCACGTGAGGGAGTTGTCCCGACGTCTTCAACCACGGCTGCCGCCGTCATGTTGACCTTCGACGATCAAGACTTGAATGATGTTCAGAACTCCCGGGAGTACATGGCTGCAGTTGAAGATTGGGGTGATCCGACGAACATGCCGACTGATGACGGCATCTGGGGGGCTGACGAACCTGATGAAACAACTTGGGGCGAGACGCCTGCTGAACGCGATGCTCGTCTTCTCGCTGAAGCTGAACAACGCGTCGCTGATATGGAGATTCTTGACTCAGGTCGTCTCGTTGGAGTTGAACCTGTACCTGCAGCATCTGATCAAGAAAGCGGCGAGTTAGTACTTGCTCCAGGCGAGTACGTGGATGTTGAGGTTCGTGTTCCACCACCAAATCTTACTCGTTACGTCGCACCTGCTTTCGATCAGATCCGCTCCGATGGTCATCAGCTTCTGTTGTCGTTCTTCGCTAACGCCGAGTATTACCTGCGCGCACAAGGTCACAAAGCCACGGGCGAAACATGGCACAAACGACTTGGTCATCCGTCGCAGTTTACGCTAAACAACACGATCAAGGCTGCAGTGCTTGACAAAAATTCGTTACTCTTACCGAGCGGTCTCGAACTGAAGCCGGTAAATCTCCCCGCACCCTGCACCATCTGCCCTGCGGCGAACCTATCGCACGAGCCATTCCCGACTCATTTCCCTGGCGCTGAAGATTATCATCTGATGGATAAGGTTTACAGCGATATACTCAACTTACCTGCGGATGGTTTCAACGGCGAACGCTACGTTATCACATTTACAGACGCTTCTACTCGTTACGTTTGGACTGGAAACATGACTAACCGTTTTCTTGCGTTTACAGCTTTCCGCACCTGGCTTCCTCTCGCCGAACGAGAGTCTGATACTAAGCTCAAGGCGTTTCAGTGTGACGGCGCCGGCGAGTATCGCAGTACTGAGTTCACAGCCTATCTGCAAGAACGCGGGATAAGACGACTTTTTTCGTTGCCTCACGCTCATCAGCAGAGTGGCGTAGCACAGAGGCTCAACAGGACTCTGCAAGAGAAGATGCGAGCCCTTCTTGCCCAGGCTCAACTCGGCCCACTCTACTGGCCTTTCGCCATGGACCATGCAACGCTGTTGCACAATCTTCTTTCATCCTCGGCCCTGCCCAACAACGCATCACCCCACTTGCTGTGGACGGGCAAGTTGGGTACAACTAAATTACTTCGTGTTTTCGGATGTGTTGTTCAGTACCGTCCTCCTACCGCTCCGCTCGGGAAGTTTGATCAGCGTGCTAAGTGGGGGCTGCATCTCGGCATTGAAAAACAATATTTTGCCTGGCGTATCATGGACTATCGCAGTCGTCTCCTTGTTCCTGCTCGCGACTGTATTTTCTACGAGAATCTGACGCTGCCCGTCTTCGAACAGCATCTTGCTTCGCAGCAAAACCCTGCCACGCTTTTCCACGGTGTTCGTTCGTTTGCTAACGCCGATGTCGAAATTGCTGCCCGCGAAGAACCTGACTCTGACGGTGCACATGAAGATGCTCCCGACCCACCTGTCCCTGTCTCGTCATCCGGAATTCCGGAGTTTATTCCTCTTGCTGACGCGGCACCTGAGGATGTTCGGGATGTTCATCATAATTACCTCGTGGATGAACAACGCCAACCAATGCCCGTGGTTTCCGATAGCAGCATCCGTGTCAACCCTGACGAAATTGGGGGGGCAAGTGGAGACCAGAATGATTATGTCAATTTCGCAGGTCGCACCGACGATAATCCACATTATCAGACCGGACTGCAAATTCTGGGACTCGCAGCAGCGGTACAGCACAGTTCTACAGTGAATTTGGAGCCGAAAACTGCCCGACAAGCTCTCTCAGGGCCTCATCGCGAAAAATGGCGTGAAGCGATGGATCGCGAACTTGCTGCCCTGGAGAAAAGGGGAACTTGGGATCTTATACCTATTGAAAAAACGGTAAACAAAAATGTTCTTACCGGTAAGTGGGTCTTCAGGGTGAAGACTAAAGCGGATGGTACTTACGAGAAACACAAGGCACGATGGGTGGTTCGTGGTTTTGATCAGACTCATGGGATCGACTACACACTTACTTTCGCCCCGGTCAGTCGACATACGAGTGTTCGACTCGTTCTTTGCGAAGCAGCCGCGAAGAATTTTCCACTTCGACAAATTGATGTTTCCAACGCTTTTCTGTACGCCGACGTCGATGCCGAAATCTACGTCGAATATCCGCACACCTATCCGACAAATCCGCCAAGTGTCTGTAAGCTCAAAAAATCACTGTACGGAATCAAACAAGCACCGCGACTGTGGCAGCAGCATTTGAACAGGAAGCTGACGGAGGTTGGGTTTCGACAACTGCCGCACGATCCCGGGATGTACCGGCTAGACGACAAGGGGGGCTATGCGCTGTTAGTAGCTTACGTGGACGACATTCTCTACGTCAGTTCGTCGACTTCGCTGGGAGATCGTATCGAAGCCGATTTGAAGAAGTCACTTGACTTAACCATTTCCACTAAAATTTCGTTGCTACACCTTATCGGTCTACACTCACCGGGCACGTTCCCAATCTGAAAAAATTGTCAGCAGCTGGTCTTCAACTGTATCAGCAGCAGCTGGGATGTCTTCTTTTCGCAGCAGTCATCTGTCGCCCTGATCTTGCCTACGTCACAAGTCACCTTGCGCAGTTTTTACGCTGCCCGAAAGAAGAACACTCTCTCGACTTACAGCGTGCGCTACGCTACTTCGTCTCTACACCAACACTCGGATTAATTTTCAATGCTGGGAAGCCGACCGACAAAATGTACCTCAGTGGGTACGTTGACGCGGACCACGCTGGCGACACGTCAGATCGACGGTCACGCACGGGTTATATTTTTCGTCTCGAGCCGATTGGTCCGATTTCCTGGAATTCCTCGAAACAGGAACTGGTGTCACTTTCATCGGATGAAGCAGAATTCATCGCCGCTTGTGCTGCAACTCGCGAAGGTCTGTACCTGCAGGAATTGCTTGACGATGCAAAATTCGTCACGCCGAATCAGTTCACGTTGCAGTGCGACAACCAGAGTGCAATTACCATCGCCAACAAGCCTGGTTTCGTCAATCGCACGAAGCATATTTCGTTGCGTTACTTCTTCGTAAAAGACGCGATCGACAAGGGGAGAATGCGCCTTGTCTACTGCCCCACCAGCGACATGGCCGCTGATTCGCTTACTAAGAAGCTGACACGTCAGAAATTTCATCACTGCAACCAGCTCAGTGGCATTTCCGAGTCAACAGGGTGACTACACTGAACTCCTAGAAGTGAAGGGGAGTGTTGAGATAATATCGAGACATATGCACTTCAAGGAATTCGTGTAGTTAGAACAGTAAAAGTACCGATAGGCTGACGTCAGCAAAGCGCTACGCGCCCTAGGATGACGTCATAAGTAGCCGTAGGTTTCGCGAATAGTTACGTACCGTTTCAAGATAAGAACAGCACAGTACAATAGGCGAACAGGTACTTTATCCTATTATATATTCTGTATGCTTGTCATTTTATAATATACTTGATTTCAGAGACTTTTGATCCTGTTACAAGTCACTCATATAAAGACTTCCACTGCTACAGGAAGCTACTATCCTAAGACTACGATCCTATTCAGACAGTTTAAAATCTATCAGAAGGGATCTGAGTAGAGGAGATGGATTGACTAAAACATCGCTGCTCCCATTGTGGCTTGCACTCGTCAGTTTCCTCAACAAAATCCTTGCTTGCATTCAGCCCTCTTGTGCTGATGGAGTTACGGTAAGTTTTTGGCATCACCTCACCTTCATTGTCTCGCTCGCCCGGATAAGCACTTGTAACGGGTCAGAACTTGGGCCTGACAGGTTGCTAATGCGCATAGCAAACTTGTTATGAGTGCCGTAGCATGGTAACAGCTTTATAAGCTTCTGAGGGCTTCTTGTTGCTTGTGAAAATTGGGTTACAACCACATACGGTAGTACCGTACAGGACGGTACCGTTACTACCCTGCTCGCACTCGAATGATCAATCCAACATTTGTAAAGAAACATCATATTGCTACCGTACGCTCAGTGCTCTAAGCGGGTGTTGCTTCTTTGGCCAGTGACCTGCTGCCAGCTATCTTGCAGACGGGGTGAGACACATCTGCCAGGAGCAATCTGAGCCGTGGATCCACCTGCCTTGCCACGTCAGCAAGGGTGATCTTGTGGCCCACATCCAACGCTGAGAGATCTACCTCCACGAATGGGGGGATGGCGGAGGGCGGGCAGGAGAAGGGGAGGGTGCGGCGCATGGTGTAGAGCCAACCTCCTGGTTGGGGCAGGAGGGATGGGGGGAAATGTAATATATAAAGAAGATGAAAACTGAAAGAAGATAAAGAGGGGAAGCACAGGAGAAGGGAAGAGTGCGACGCATGGTGTAGAGCCAACAGCCTGGCAGGGGGGATGGGGAAGGGGAGTGGGAGAAGGGGGAATGAGGGAGAACGGTCACAGACTGAACAGCCGCCAGGCACATCCAGCGTTGTCAGATCTATCTCCACAAAAGGGGGGATGGCGGTGGGGGGGCAGGAGAAAGAGAGAGTGCGACACATGGTGTAGAGCCAACCACCTGGCAGGGGAGGTGGGGAGGGATGAGGGAAAACTCATTTTGAAAGAGGAAGAAGAGAGTGAAAGGAAAAAAAAGGGAGAAAGACAGGAGAAGGGGAGAGTGCGATGCATGGTGTAGAGCCAAGTGCCTGGCAGGGGCAGAGAAGGGAGGGATGAGAAAGAGCAGATTTGAAAGAAGAGGATTGTAGGCGACAGGGAAAGAGGCGAAGCGCCGGGGGAAGGGCAGGGTGCAAAGCATGGTGTAGAGCCAACCATTTATTGGAGGGTAGAAGGGAGGAGACGTTCCTTCCGGATGCAAAAAGGGCATGGTGAAGAGGGCATGGTGAAGAGGGCATGATGCAGAGGAAGAGGAAGCAACGAATGGATTAGAGAAGCGGGATGTCAGACTGGACAAAGAGGCTTGAAATGCATCCCATACCAAACCATCCCATACCAAACCATCCCATACCAAACCATCCCATACCAAACCATCCCATACCAAACCATCCCATACCAAACCATCCCATACCAAACCATCCCATACCAAACCATCCCATACCAAACCATCCCATACCAAGCCAAACAATACCAAGACAAACCATACCAAGCCATATCATACCAAACCATACCAAACCATCCCATACCAAACCATCCCATACGAAACCATCCCATGTCAAACCATTCCATACCAAACCATGTCGTACCAAACCATATCATACCAAACCATACCAAACCAAACCATGCCAAACCATATCATACCAAACCATACCATGCCCTGCCATGCCCCGCCCTTCCCTGTGCTGCTATTGCCATGTCATGCCCCACTGACCTTTTTTAATGCCTGGGCAGGCATCCTCACCCACGAAAACCAAAGGCACGGGCACTTTAACTCGTGCGCTTTCACGTTCGGGCAGCTGAGAAAAGTCACGTTAAGAATCTCGTCCGTGCCTCCATGCCAGTGCACCTGGTCAGAAGTCGGAACAGGATAGGGTGGAAACGGAACGAGGGGAAGATGACATTGGGGGAAATGTGGGGTAGCATAAGGGGAAGGGGAGTCACGTTGAGAATCTCGTCCGTGCCTCCATGCCAGTGCACCTGGGGAGACAGAGGAACAGGCGGAAGCATTGGGGCAGGATGGGGGCAAACGGGGGGGAAGATAGTTGGTGGGATTGAGAGTCTCGTTTGTGGCTCCATGCCAGCGCACCTGGGACGGAGGTTTGGGGCAGGATGAGGAGAAACGGGAATGGGGAAAGGAGGGCATTGGGGGAAACGTGGGGTAGGATGGCGGGAAGGGGAGACACAGTGGGAATCTCGTCCGTGGCTCCATGCGAGTGCACCTGGGAAGGGAGGTTGCGGGGAGGACGGGGGGAGGATGGGGGGAGGATGGGGGGAGAATGGGGGGAGGATGGGGGGAGGATGGGGGGAGGATGGGGGGAGGATGGGGGGAGGATGGGGTCAGTGAGTAAGAGCTACGCGGCTACGAGCCATGCAGGAAAGCGCAGCGCAGAGGGGGGAGGGGATGGGGGTGCGGAGAAGGGAGAGGGGAGAGGGGAGAGGGGAGGGGTTGGGGGTGCGGGTGGGTGGGGAAGAAGGGGGCGGAGGGCGCAGAGGACTCACGGAAATGGAGGGATGTGAGCTGCGCGTGCCGATAGGTGAGTTTGTTTTGAGACGTCTCAAAGCAAACTTATTATCAGGGGGCAGAGAGCGCAGAGGACTCACGGCAAGAGAGGGAAGTAGGTGACGGAGGATGTGAGTTGCGCGTGCAGATAGGAGACGCAAGTACAAGTGTAAATAAGACTTAATGGACCGAACAATGCAGGCACTTCTGATAATTCCTAAAAAACCAGGGGAATCCGATTAGGTACAGGCACTTACCAGCTTCGGAATCACTCTCATACGAGCGCCCTCTACCGTTGATCCTTCCGCCTCCCCTTCCGCCGCTTCCGCGCCCTCCGCGACTTCCGCGCCCTCCGCGGCAATCTCGAGGTCGAAAACCTGCGACACGAAGAACGGCCGCCCGAACTTCTTCACCAGCCGTCCGATCTGCTTGCGATCGACAGACACAATCCGTTTTCGCCCGCCCAGGTGACCATCCTCCTGCTCAAAGACTATGCTCGGTATTCTCCCTAGTCGCCGCTCCTTCTTAGCTTGGATCTTGCCCGATCCGGGCCTAAGGACGGCTTTAATTACCTCCTTTTTCCGCGCCTCCTCTTCGCCGTGGTCAGGCGGGGGAGGGACGAGACCCAGCTCGACTAATATCCCGGCAAATCCGCGTGATAGGGGAGGGTGTGATAGTAACAGTGGTTGGACGCGAGTTGGTGGATTTTGTGACAGTAACGAGGTGGAGGTTGCGGGTTTTGGAGACACGAGAGGGAGAGCCGGCGAAGAGTGAGAGTGCAGGCTAACGGTGTGCAAGTCGTTAGTGAAAGGGAAGTGAGGAGTTACCAATGTCGCTGGTCCGGCGCGAGAAGCTAACTGTGAAAGCGAAGGTGGCGCGGAGAATTTATGGGGATTTGTGAAGCCAAGCACCAGCCGCCTCGCGACATTGCTGAACACCTGGCCCCTCGCCATGGCGGGAAGACGGAAAATGCACAAGTGGCGGGAAGAAGGAGCAGCGCAAATGGTGGCAGATAGGGAGGGAAGGGAGGTGGCAAATCAAGGTTGTTATGTAAAGAAATGCAATCTTGATTTGCCAGGGTTATGTAAAGAAATGCAACCTCATGGTTGTGTACTGGAAGAACTGCAGTGCTGATTTCGACGTAAAACAAGAATATACACACAACTTCGGAATAGAAATGCAACCTCTTTTATAGGGTGTTACCATAACGACTATCAGCCCTCCTAGGCTCTCCTCCTGAGCGCCAATCATGTCGCGCTTTGATGGCACACGTGCTGGTGAGTTTGTTCACGACAGGTCTAGGTTCCCATCTGCGCGGAGAAGTGACAACGAACGGTCCAGATCTTGTTTCCACCATGGCAATTTCCAGAACAGGAGGGAAAGCCAAGAGCTGGTGCTTCGGCGAGAGTCGCCAGGGAGAATTCCGGTTTCGACAATTCTGGTAACCAGTTCAGGTTTCGATCATTGTCGCCGAAGCTGCAACTCATGTTCCTCCTGGCTTTCTTTCTTCAGTTTGCTTCTCTTTCCCCCCCCTCCCATACCTCAATTGGACCGTTGAATTTGTGTTCCGCTATTTCATTTGATGGATCCTCGATAGTTGTTCTGCGTGAATGGTGGCTGGTTTCTTGCACTCCTCGCCGTCCGCGTCTCCATCCACGTCAGCTTCAGTTAGAAACCTGACTAGCTTCTGGATTTTACTCGCATCTTGGGCCGATTGAGCTTCTTTCTCGTCGTCTCGTTTCTGTAAACGTTCTCTCGCACGTATTCACCGTCTCGGCGTTACGGGCTAGGGGCGCGGCCCGACCCCGCGTGTCCAAGATACGGGAGCTATCGTCCTCTCTTCAGGCGTTTAGTAAATATAAGCATCCTAGTTCTTTCTTTAGAAAAAACAATCCCTGCGTTTGGGCTCTGAATGGGGACGGCGTAGCTAACGCGTCGCGACCAGTAGATCGCCTTATTTCTCGGTTCATTTTCCAACTTGCGATTTCCACCGTCGATGTTGTTCCTGGCCGCTCTAAGCACCGATCCCACCGTTGATCTTGGCGTCAATGGTGTGCTCGGCCTTCCCCTCCTCGATCCCACACGTCAGATGAAAGAGTTCCCCCTATTCGCTTCCGCACACCCCCCCGCTGCCCCTTCCGCTTCCGCCGTCGCCTCCGCCAGCCTATCTTCCGCCATGGCGGGCGCGCCAGCTCCGCCGGTGTCGGCGACGAAAGCGGAGGCGTTCGCGAGCCTGTCGATTCTGCTGCAGATCGCCATGCTCATGGTCGCATTCGTCGTCGGACACATCCTGCGACGTCGCAAGGTGTACTACATCCACGAGGGCAGCGCCGCCCTGCTCATCGGTGCGTTTGTGCATTTACAAATATCGCGCTTATGAGTCTGCAAGGCTGTGCGTCTCTGCGTATCTGCAGCAGTGCGTCTCTGCGTCTATGTCCGTCTGGTCGCGAGGTGTACTACATCCACGAGGGCAGCGCCGCCCTGCTCATCGGTGCATCCGTGCGTCTCTGCTGTCTGTTCGTCTCCGCCTCTCCGCGTCCGTGCGTCTCTGAGCCTGTCCGTCTGTCCGTCTGGTCGTTGGTCGCAAGGTGTACCACCTTCATCCACCAGGGCAGCGCCGCGCTGCTCATCGGTGCGTCTCAGCGTGTCAGCGTCTCTGCGGGTCTGCCTCTCTGCAGCTATGCGTCTATGTGTGGGTGGTTCTCTGCGTGTGTGCGTCTGTGTCCGTGCGGTCGTTGGACATTTGGTTCTACCTCCACTCCATTCATCACCCCTCCTCCCTCTGCGTCCCAACACCACGCCTCGTCGTGGGCTCCGTGGGCAACTACATCCTCCCCCCCTCACATCCTCCCCCCCTCACATCCTCCCCCCCTCACATCCTCCCCCCCTCACATCCTCCCCCCCTCACATCCTCCCCCCCTCACATCCTCCCCCCCTCACATCCTCCCCCCCTCACATTCTCCCCCCCTCACATCCTCCCCCCCTCTCATCCTCCCCCCCTCACATCCTCCCCCCCTCACATCCTCCCCCCCTCACATCCTCCCCCCCTCACATCCTCCCCCCCTCACATCCTCCCCCCCCCTCACATCCTCCCCCCCTCACATCCTCCCCCCTCTCATCCTCCCCCCCTCACATCCTCCCCCCCCTCTCATCCTCCCCCCCTCACATCCTCCCCCCCTCTCATCCTCCCCCCTCACATCCTCCCCCCCTCACATCCTCCCCCCCTCTCATCCTCCCCCCCTCACATCCTCCCCCCCTCTCATCCTCCCCCCCTCACATCCTCCCCCCTCTCATCCTCCCCCCCTCACATCCTCCCCCCCTCTCATCCTCCCCCCCTCACATCCTCCCCCCCTCTCATCCTCCCCCCCTCACATCCTCCCCCCCTCTCATCCTCCCCCCCTCACATCCTCCCCCCCTCTCATCCTCCCCCCCTCTCATCCTCCCCCCCTCTCATCCTCCCCCCCTCTCATCCTCCCCCCCTCTCATCCTCCCCCCCTCTCATCCTCCCCCCCTCTCATCCTCCCCCCCTCACATCCTCCCCCCCTCTCATCCTCCCCCCCTCACATCCTCCCCCCCTCTCATCCTCCCCCCTCTCATCCTCCCCCCTCACATCCTCCCCCCCTCTCATCCTCCCCCCTCTCATCCTCCCCCCCTCTCATCCTCCCCCCCTCTCATCCTCCCCCCCTCTCATCCTCCCCCCCTCTCATCCTCCCCCCCTCTCATCCTCCCCCCCTCACATCCTCCCCCCCTCTCATCCTCCCCCCCTCACATCCTCCCCCCCTCTCATCCTCCCCCCCTCTCATCCTCCCCCCCTCTCATCCTCCCCCCCTCTCATCCTCCCCCCCTCTCATCCTCCCCCCCTCTCATCCTCCCCCCCTCTCATCCTCCCCCCCTCTCATCCTCCCCCCCTCTCATCCTCCCCCCCTCTCATCCTCCCCCCCTCTCATCCTCCCCCCCTCTCATCCTCCCCCCCTCACATCCTCCCCCCCTCTCATCCTCCCCCCCTCACATCCTCCCCCCCTCTCATCCTCCCCCCCTCTCATCCTCCCCCCCTCTCATCCTCCCCCCCTCTCATCCTCCCCCCCTCTCATCCTCCCCCCCTCTCATCCTCCCCCCCTCTCATCCTCCCCCCCTCTCATCCTCCCCCCCTCTCATCCTCCCCCCCTCTCATCCTCCCACCCTCTCATCCTCCCACCCTCTCATCCTCCCACCCTCTCATCCTCCCACCCGCTCATCCTCCCACCCTCTCATCCTCCCCCCCTCTCATCCTCCCCCCCTCTCATCCTCCCCCCCTCTCATCCTCCCCCCCTCACATCCTCCCCCCCTCTCATCCTCCCCCCCTCTCATCCTCCCCCCCTCTCATCCTCCCCCCCTCTCATCCTCCCCCCCTCTCATCCTCCCCCCCTCTCATCCTCCCACCCTCTCATCCTCCCACCCGCTCATCCTCCCACCCTCTCATCCTCCCACCCTCTCATCCTCCCACCCGCTCATCCTCCCACCCTCTCACCTCCCCGCCTCCTCCCCTGTCCCCTATTTCCCCCATGTCCCCCCCTTCCCCCATTTCCCCCATGTCCCCCCCTTCCCCCCATTTCCGTCCGTGTGCGTGCGTGCCAACGCCAGGCCTCGTGGTGGGCTCTGTGAGAAACTACATCCTCCCACCCTCTCACCTTCTCCCCTCCTCCCCTTTCCCCCAATTCCCCCCCTTGCCCTCCTCCCTCCGTGTGCGTGCGTGCCAACGCCAGGCCTCGTGGTGGGCTCCGTGGGCAACTGGCGAGGCACTCAGGAGAGCTTCAGGTGAGAGGGCGGGTTGGGAAGACTTTTGAGAGTTCTCAAAAGTCACTCCTTCATTACTCCGCAAGAGGGCGGGTTGGGAAGGGAGAGCTTCTGGTGGGAGGGCAAGGTGAGGCGACAGGTGGGAAGGGAAGGGAAGTAGTAGAGAGCAGGTTGGTGGGGGGAAAGCTTCAGGTGAGAGGGCAAGTTGGTGGTGGGAGAGCTTCAGCTGAAAATCCAGGTCTCTGTAATCAAAGGGTCAGGTGAACAGGATGTCTGTGATGGGCTGGCTGGCTGGCTGGCTGGCTGGCTGGCTGTACGTACGTGTAGTGTGGTGTCATGGAATGACCAGGTGCCGTCTCCTCAAAGCTTTTAAGAATTCTCCTCGTCTGACGAAATGCGAGTAACACCATGTAATGGATTGACCACGTCACCGGGTGCAGTCCCCTTTTCAGTGAGCTCAGCAGGTGCGCTCCCCTTGTCTGATGAAACTGTTAGAAATAGTCAGTCAACACTTTGTACTATATTCTATATCGGTTAGGTTACTTTGTAGGTTGGGTGTAGATTTGTAATCCCAACCCTATCTGGTTGGGATTCCCTCGTAATCCTGCAAATCTGCCAACTCACCAATTGGAGATTTGCTAGGATTCCCATCCCATCCTTTCCCTAGTTTTGCTCAACCCAACCCTGTTTGTACTTAAGGCCTAGTGCCTTCCTTATCAAGCAATCAGTTCAGTTCCAATTCTCTCATGGTATCGAGCTAGTAAATTCCGCTCACGCGGAATCCGATCCTTGGCGTCCCGATGGTTCTCTCCTTTTAGGCTATGCCTATTTCGGTTCCCGGCTCCTACGCTTAGCGTTTTTCAGAAAACTTCACATCGTCGCTCCGGTCAAGCGCGCATTCGGCTTCCTTCATCGCGCATCTCGTTTTTCAACGGCGACATTCTCAGCTTTCGACTTCCTTCATCGTAAGCTTCTGGTTTTTATATCTCCGTGACAATTTTCGCATCTTCTTAACTTCGAACAGGTTTTCAGCGGCGCAGCGGAACAGGTCCAGCGGCGCAGCGGAACAGGTTTTCAGCGGCGCAGCGGAACAGGTCCAGCGGCGCAGCGGAACAGGTTTTCAGCGGCGCAGCGGAACAGGTTCAGCGGCGCAGCGGAACAGGTTCAGCGGCGCAGCGGAACAGGTTCAGCGGCGCAGCGGAACAGGTTCAGCGGCGCAGCAATAAAGGTTCAGCGGCGCAGCAGAACAGGTCCAGCGGCGCAGCAGAACAGGTCAGCGGCGCAGCAGAACAGGTCAGCGGCGCAGCAGAGAAGCGGAACAGGGGCAGCAGCGAAGCAGAACAAGGGGCATTGGCGAAGCAGTATATCAGGGTATAGTACGGGCATTCTATTGCCAAAATCGCGTTTCGAACTTCCTCAATTTCCAAAATCACCCGAACTCCGCTCCGCTTCGCTGCGCTACGTATCGGAGACTTTAGCGCTGCGCTCCGCGCGAAATGGCAATTTCAACTTCCACTCTCGACGGAAACCTCATCATCCTTAACCTCGCTCCCAACGGCACGAGCACCAATTTCGGGGAGTGGAGAAGCACCTCCTTAGCTCGGAGCTCAAGGGGATTTGCCTCAAGGACATCCTCCTCAATCGCGGCAAGGGGAAGATGCATCTCCCTCCCGATCCTCTTGGCGAAAGCGCCACTGCCACAGCCAAGCTTGCTTTCGACGCTATAACCACCAAGTATGAGACGGACTTCAGTCTCTGGGAGCAGGCGGATGCGGCAGTGATTAGGGTTTTCATCACCACCACCCCAGTCGAGTTAGTCAAGTCCTACCGCACCTTCCGCTCTGCGCATGACATTTGGAAGTACCTCCAGGATCGCTTTCATGACAAAACTGCCGTGGGAGTTGCAATCCTCATTCCTCGCATGTTCCAAATCCGCCTTGAGGAATGCCCGGGCATGGCAGACTACATCTCTGAAATCCGCAACATCCATGAGGAGCTCAAGGACATTGGGATCACCTTCCCCGAACAGGCACCTGCTGCTGGGCTTCTCGTCGGACTCACCCCGGAGGAGAAGGAGAAACTGTGGAGGAGGGGTAGAACGGGTGGGATTCATCGAAGAAAACATCTCGGCTGCGATAAAGTTTGTTGGTGGTAGGATGGAGGAAGAGGTAGTCTGGCGAGTCCGAGTTGTGCCCGAGGTATACGCACGTGATTGTTTTCGGAGCAAGCTTGTCGCCAGCTGCACGACGGGCTTGGGAGTTGAGGAGAACATAGGAAGTGCACCCCCATACACGAAGAGGGCGGACGGACGGCTTTTGACCCGTCCATAGCTCTGCGGCGGTGGTGTGGGTGTGGTGAGGATGAGGATGGAGATTGTGGAGGGCGGTAGCATGGAGCATGGCGTATCCCCAAAGAGAGGGAGGGGCGGAAGCATGAGTGAGGAGGCAGCGAGCAATCTGCACCAGGATGCGGTTTCGGCTCTCAGCAACACCGTTCTGTTGAGGGCTGTCTGGGAGGGTGAAGGTCTGACGAATACCCTCAGTAGAGCAGAAAGCTTTGAGAGTGTTGTTGCGGAATTCACCGCCACCGTCAGAGTGAAGAATCTTGATTTTGGTTTTGAAGTGTGAATGAGCCTGCCTTGCCCATTCCATGATAATGGCTGGGGCTTCAGACTTGGCGGTGAGAAGGTGAACGGACACATAGCGGGAATAGTCATCAACGATGACAAGGAAGTAGACGTGTCCGCCACGGGAACGAACAGGAGCTGGACCCCAAAGGTCCATGTGTACGCGATCAAGAGGTGCGGTAGAGGTGGACTCAGTGGGAGGATGGGGCTGTTCCCGAAGCTTGCTCTGTGCACAGTCAAGGCAAGGTGGTCCAGAAAGAGAAGGGGGTTGTGGAAGTGAGGCGGGCAGCCCATGAAGGAGTTGTTTGGTGGCAAGGTCTGAAAGTGCGCGGAAGTTGATGTGGCCGAGGCGGTGATGAAATAGCATAGTCTTGTCATTGAGGAGGCGGCAGTGACATGAGGGGGAGTCTGAGGATGGAAGCGGAAGGTTGGTGAGGGAGCATGTTTGAACGGGAGGTACAACTAGTGTGTACAGGTTGTTGGAGTTGAGGGTGAAGCGGGCAAGATGGAGTCCGGTTTTGGCGTCAAACATGTCACAGTAGTCAACATCATTGGGAAAGATGGTGATCACGCCTGCGTGTTGGATTTCCCGCTGTGCAAGAAGGTTGTAGCGGAGGGTAGGGGCACAGATGCCAGTGACTGTGCCGGATGGGAAAGCTGGACAGGAAACTGTGGAGGACCCATGGCATTGGATGGAGAAGCTAGAATCAGCTCCAAGGAGTGAGGTGGGAGCCTGGTAGGGAACGAAGTCAGTTTGGTCTTTAAGCACTGTGTGGGTGGCACCACTGTCTAGTATGAACTCAATTCCCTGTGTGGTTGAAACATCGATGTACTGCGACCCCTTCTCATTAATAAGACCAGCACCAGAGAACAACAGGTTAAGGCGAACATCAGATGGGGCACTAGCAAATGCCTGAGCAGGTTCCTCCACTGCCTCGACCTGGTTCACGCGACGGGGTGGTGTCCAGTTGGGAGGGCGCTTGTCCTTGGAGACACCGTGGACGTCATACCACTCGTCATCTCGCTTCTTGAAGCAAGTTGCCTCAGGGTGGTTGGTGCCGTTGCATTTCTGCCCCGCACGTGGACCCTTCCTAATGAGGTACTGGCATGGGGGAAAGGAGTTGCGCCTCTGGCCCTGCTGGGAACGAAATGGGATGCCAGGGGAGTAGCGCACAGCATTGACGGATGCATGGGCTGCAAGGTCCTTTTCGGCAGAGAGAAGGGCCGAAGCGACTTTCTCGAAGGTGAGTTCCTTGGTGGGGAGCTGCTTGAGCATGGAACTGGTGACGTCATCTCACAAAGGACCCCGTCTTCCACGGCCGCACCAAGCACATTGAGGTCCGTCACTACTTTCTTCGTGAGTTGGTGCAGCGCGAGCAGCTGAAGGCTGAACACATTGCCTCCGACTGCAACCTTGCTGACTTGTTTACCAAGTCTCTTGTTCGCCAAGACCACTACCGCCTCCTCTCGTCCATGGGTGTTGGGCCGCCATGTGGCTGAAGTGTTGTCAGCCTAGGGGGTGTGTTAGAAATAGTCAGTCAACACTTTGTACTATATTCTATATCGGTTAGGTTACTTTGTAGGTTGGGTGTAGATTTGTAATCCCAACCCTATCTGGTTGGGATTCCCTCGTAATCCTGCAAATCTGCCAACTCACCAATTGGAGATTTGCTAGGATTCCCATCCCATCCTTTCCCTAGCTTTGCTCAACCCAACCCTGTTTGTACTTAAGGCCTAGTGCCTTCCTTATCAAGCAATCAGTTCAGTTCCAATTCTCTCAGAAACTAGTTGCAGCCCTCTTACATTATGAGCTCACCCTGCCTTCCTCTTGACTTGCTACCTTCTTTTTTCTCTTGCCTGCCCTTTCCCTTGACGGGATACCCTTTCTGTCTGCTTGTGCTGTCTGCGTGTCTGCACTGAACTGCAGGGATTGGCTTGGATTCAAGGAAGAAATTTTCATGCTCTTTCTCCTTCCGCCGATCATATTATATCCGCCCAGTCTTCCGCCCCACTGAAACCTTTTTCCCTCGTTTCTTCCCCTTTTTACTATCCTCGATTAAATGGAGTCCGCTCCCATTCAACGTTCTCTTTCTAATCTCAGCATTTCTTCTGTAGATTTCCCAATGCGCTCAATTGCAGAAGCAGATAAGGACAAGTCTAATGGCCATTTATGTTTTCCTTAACTTACCTTCACTACTCGTTCAATTCCTGTGCGGTTCTTGGTCTTGCCTGTGCGGTTCTTGGTCTTGCCTGTGCGGTTCTTGGTCTTGCCTGTGCTGTGGTGTGGAATACTCGACCATGATTATGCCTATGCTGCACTCTTTCGCCTCCGCACTGAATCTGGCTTCAGCCTTCAAGTGGTGAGTGCGTGCTGTAATTCTGTTATGCTGTCAAGCTTTCCTGCTGTCATGCTGTCTAGCTGTCATGTTGTCATGCATGCATGCATGTGTGCCTGCTCATGTGTCTCTCTCTTTCACGCCACCACCTCTCTTCCTCACACAGAAGCCATTCTTCAACCATTTTAGAGCCTTGGTCCCGCTCTGTAAATCTCAATTGATGTCTGCACGTGCGTGTGTCTCATTCACCCTCCCTCGTCCTCACACAGAAGCCATTCTTCAACAACTTTGGAGCCATAGTCACCTTTTCATGTCTCGGCACTTTCCTCTCAGCCATTGTCACAGGCATCCTCGTGTGAGTGCTTGGTTGGGTTTTCTTTCGATGCAAGACTCCTTAAAGAACAAATCCAGAAAAAAACGCCCAAGAATGAGCCCAGAAAATGGTTGGCTGGGTTGTGAGCCGACTAATGAAGTGTCGGGAGAAGGTAAGGACGTCTCGCGAGTATTGCACTGGAAGAGCCTGTTGTGGCACGTTCCTCTCTCTCTGCCATTGTCATTGAGGTCCCCGTGTCTTTTCCAGTGCAATACTCACCACTCCCCACAGCTACGTGGGCGGATTCCTCTTCCTCATATACAAGCTTTCCTTCCTCGAAGCACCATCTGTTCTTTGAGAATTCTCAATAAACAGATTCACCCATCTTCGGAGCCCTCATCTCCTCCCTTGAAGCAACCCCCTCTATGTGCACATTACCCCACCCCAACCCTCCCACAACGCAGCTACGTGGGCGGATTCCTCTTCCTCATGTACAAGCTCTCCTTCCTCGAGGCTCTCATCTTCGGATCCCTCATCTCCTCCACCGACCCCGTCGCAGTGCTCGCCATCTTCCAGGTGCGTTGTGCCATGCTCTGTTGATCTGTTGAATAGTTGGATTGAAACTCGATTGCCCCATGAGCAAGCTCACTCCACTCCTCACCTCATCTCCTCCACCGACCCGGTTGCTGTGCTCGCCATCTTCCAGGTGAGTATTGGGAAGATCGAATGCCCAGAAATTTGCGCACTAGCGAATGTGACAGGGGACTTGGTGACGGTTGTGGTTGAATGCATGCTGAGTGCCCTGCATACAGGCCCTAATCTCATCCCTGCATACAGGCCCTAATCTCATCCCTGCATACAGGCCCTAATCTCATCTCCTTCACCGACACGTTTGCAGTGCAGTGCTGTGCTCTGCTCTGCTCTGCTCTGCTCTGCTCTGCTCTGCTCTGCTCTGCTCTGCTCTGCTCTGCTCTGCTTGTCATGTTTGAATGCTGGCCTTTTACCTTCTCTTTGGCCCATCTCATGCCCTTCTCCTCTCCATTCGTCATCCCGAATCCCTTCGTACTCTTTTCTCCCCCCTTCCTGTGCTTCTTCTCCCATTGCTTGTACCCATCACTCTCTCTCTCTTGCATCTTTCCCAACAAATCTTACCTCAGAATGTGTTTTCTTTTGAGGCGCCTAAAGGAATGTCTCATCCTTACAAATCTCGTTGTGAAACATCACCCAACTTGCGCCCGTCCCTTTTGCGCTGGCATCTTCCCCACCCGCATTCCTGCATCAGGACGTGGGAGCCGACACGAATCTCTATGCGCTTGTGTTTGGCGAGTCTGTGCTCAACGACGCGGTACGTGGGCGGGCGGGCGGGTGAGTGGGTTGGTGGCGGGTGGGTGGGTTGGTGGGCGGGTGGGTGGGTTGGTGGGCGGGTGGGTGGGTGGGCGGGTGAGTGGGTGGTTCACACACGTCGTGACCTTTGATTCGACTCAACGACGGTGCTCAAAAGTTACCACCGAGCTTGGGTTTGGCGAGTCAGTCCTCAACGACGCGGTGCGTGGGTGGGCGGTTCACATCAGACACGTCTAGAATGCTTATCTTTGTTTAATGCTTGTCTTTGTTTTTGCCGACGCGATCCACCATTACCATGCTCAGCTCATGCCCTTGTTTTGAATTTCTGTGCTACACCATTGAATTCTGTGTTTATTTGGACTGTAATACGTTCGTAATTTGCTGGTACTGACGCAATACACTCTGTTCGATTCTGTTCTTGTGCTGTGCATCCACATGCCTGCTGCCATGTGCGTTTGTGTGCATGTGCACATGCATGTTCATCTGGTGTATGTCTACATGTGCATGCACACACCTGCGGATATCCATGTGTGCGTGCCCATCATGCAAATGCATGTGTATGGTTGCAAGTGAACGCACATGTATGCATCCACTTGTATGCATGTGTGTGTGCCCATGCATTCATGCACGTGTATGCATGTGTGTGTGCACATGTATGTGTGCACATAAATGCATGTGTATGCATGTATGTGTGCACATAAATGCATGTGTATGCATGTGTGTGTGCACATAAATGCATGTGTATGCAGGTGGCGATTACCATGTACAGGTAGGAGACTGCTCCTTGCCCTTTCTCGTCTTTCTTCGTGAGTTCTCAGTGAATCAAATCAATCAGGTCTTTAAAATCTCATGCCTAATTTTGAGATGTCTTTAAAGTCTCCCCACTTATTGAGTCAGAATCACTCAGTTAAGCCTCTGACAGCCATCGTGTGTGAGTAGCCAGCCTACAGCAGACCCAACTGGTTCCTCTCTCTACCTCTTCCAACCGCACAGGACTGTGATGACTATCATTCGCAACCCTGCAGCAGACCCGAGCATATCGGCTGCATTCCAATACGCCGCCATCACCTTTGCAGGCTCCACCTCTATTGGTACGTACGTTGGGGTGTGTGTATCGTGTCCCATTGCCTTAAACCATCAAACACTGCATTCATGCTATGCATCCATTCAATCTGCATCGTTGTTGATTCACTTTCGTGACCACTTAAAAAACGTCGTTGCTGTTCTCTAGGTATTATTAATGCTAAATTTCTGTGTTTTTTCCATACCTTCAATACTAGCTTTCTCTCTTTCCCTCCGTGGCGCACCCCTATGTAGCCCCCACCCCACCCCAGCATCCAACCTATCCTTTCCACAACCTCATTTTTCTCCTTTTCTTCTCTCCTCCTTTCAAATTTCCTCTGCAGGAGTGGCTGTGGCGCTCTTTTCGGCTCTCATATCCTCCGAAACGTCCTTTACCTCTTCCTTCAACAATCTCCTTTTCCTCGCCCTTAGTCAACCAACCTTTTACTCTTCCTCTGCTTTTGTCTGTGCATCACGTTTTGAGAATTCTCAGAACCCTCAACCATCTCGTTCCTTACCTCCTTTCCACACATCACGTTTGTATTCAGTGCTGTGTTTCTGGTGTCTCCAATTCGTCTTCGTTACTTAATTTGCTCCGGTTGTTGCCCATGCGAATCCGTTCCGAACCACTTTTTTTGTCGACTCAAACTCCATTTATTACAATTCCTTAACTCTATTATGCCGATACCCATGACCTGCCTTGTGGCTATATATACGGCGTACCATCCAGCACCTCTTCAAGTATGCTGGCCTCTCCGTGAAAAAGTGAGTCCGTCTTTGCCTTCTATCTCTCTCAAGGGAGTACCTCAACGGTCAACTCTGCATGCTGCATCATCCATGGCTCTTTGAGAGTGCTCATTCTCCTCCTCCCACTTCCCCCCCCCCCCCTTCCCCTTTTTGTTTCTCTCGGAGCTCCCCCAACCTTGTAGTTTGAGGCGCCTCAAAATACACCTCAATGCGCTCGGAGCATCCCCCAACCTTGATTGATTTTTGAGATAACATGAAAGTTGCCCACTCCCCTTCTCCCCCTCCTTTCCTCCCTTCCTTCCCACTCCCCACATCGTTCCCCTCACAGTCTGCACAACCTCGAGTGCTGCCTCATCGTTCTCTTCCCGTACATCTCGTGAGCCTCCCTCTCCTCCCCTTGCCGTTATGTTTTCTGAAGCCAAATCGAAAGCCCATGGTCAAATAAACTCAACGCGTGCACCATCTGAATCAGGTCAGGTCAAGGCTTTCAGCATGCAATTCAAACTAAATCTAATCGAAGCATTCAATGTGCAACATCAACATCCAGTCATTTAACACAACCGGCCTGCTTGCCATTCCCTATCTTCATAGTCTCCCTGTCCCCCCCTGTCCATCCCTGTCCCTCCCTGCCCCTCTCTACCCCTCCTGGCCCCTCTCCACCCATCTCTGCCCCTCTCCACCCCTCTCTCCCCTTCATGCCCTTCTGCACCTCCTCCCAGCTATCTGGTAGCGGAGGGCCTTGCTCTCTCAGGCATTGTTGCCATCCTCTTCTGTGGGATTGTAAGCCCGTCATTTGCAACTTCCTCTGCTTTTCGCTTTATACCCTCTTGTCACTCCTTTAGTATGCTGCTCTGCTCCCCTGTCCCCACTTCTCCCCACTTCCACCTCGTCCTCCTCTGTGACTTCTCCCTTCCTCAATCTCTCTGGCACAACCCAGTTGCCCCTTACTACACATGAGCATAGGTTCGTGCCTGATACGGCCCGCTCTCATGCCTACCCTCCACCCGTCTCATGTGTTCCCTCGTTTTTCCCCTCTTGTCCTTCCTCGCTCCCACCCTCCCTTCCCCACCCCCCCAGCTCATGAAGCGGTACACCTTCCCCAACCTCTCCGAGGTGGCACAGGTCCTTTCTGCTGGCTTCTTCCAGCTCATTGCCTCCATCGCTGAGACCTTCACGTGAGTACCCACCTGTGTGCTAAGAGTCAGAGTTCAGTCGCCTGTGGATAGTTTGGCTCCTCTGCTTCCCAGCTCCTCTGCCGGCTTCTTCCAGCTCATCGCCTCCATCGCTGAGACCTTCACGTGAGTGGGCCCTCCTTTCCGCGTACTGGTAAAAGGTCAGCAAGTGTCCCTCGTGGTGCTAGTATGTCTCCTCTGCTTCCCAGCTCCTCTGCTGGCTTCTTCCAGCTCATCGCCTCCATCGCTGAGACCTTCACGTGAGTGCATCATCACCAAGATCAGAGTTTTCCCAGTTTTAAAGAGACCAGATAGGTTCGAGTGATGGTAGTTTGTCAGGTCCCCAAAATCCCCCTCCTTCCCCCCCTCCCCAATCAATCTCGCTCTCCTCTCACCCCTCCCACCCCACACTCCTTTTCCTGGTTCAACCCCCAGGTTAATTTTCAACACAGAGATTGCCCACAGAGATTGCCCCTCTGCGACTCAACCTCCTCTCTTCCCTTCTTTCTTGCTCTCCCCTCCCCCACCGCCCCCTCCACCCTTCTTGGTTCCTCCGCCCCAGGTTCACCAGCAGTGTGGTGTTTACGTATTGCCCCAGCCTCCCCCCTCCCCCCTCCCTCCCCCCCAGCTTCATCTACATGGGAACGGAGATCGCTCTGGGGAAGCACCAGCAGTGGGGGCACATCAGCTTCATCCCCTGACGCTGAGCCTCCCTCCCTCTCCGCACGCCCCTCCCACCATTCCTCCCGGCCCCACAACCCCCCAGCTTCATCTACATGGGAACGGAAATCGCTCTGGGGGAGCACCAGCGGTGGGGGCACATTAGCTTCATCTTCTTCTCCATCGTGAGCCCATGGCATGGCATGTGTCTGGCATGTGTCTGGCATGTGTCTGGCATGTGCTGGCATGTGCTGGCATGTGCTGGCATGTTCTGGCATGGTGTCTGGCATGGTTTCTGGCATGGATGACATGGGGTAGTGGGGGCACATCAGCTTCATATTTTATTCCATTGTGAAACAAAAAGATTCTGGGTGCTGGACTGTGCTGTGCGGGGGCTTGCTTTTCAGCGTTCCAGCTTGTTTTCCAGAATGTTTAGTTCCCCCTTGTCGCTTCCCTTAGTCGCTGCTCTTAGTCGCTGCTCTTAGTCGCTGCTCTTAGTCGCTGCTCTTAGTCGCTGCTCTTAGTTGCTGCTCTCTTTCAACTATGATCTTTGTGTGCTGTGTATGTGTATGTGTATGTGTATGTGTATGTGCATGTGCATGTGCATGTGCATGTGCATGTGCATGTGTATGTGCATGTGCATGTGCATGTGCATGTGCATGTGCATGTGCATGTGCATGTGCATGTGCATGTGGATGTGGATGTGGATGTGGATGTGGATGTGCATGTGCATGTGCATGTGCATGTGCATGTGCATGTGCATGTGCATGTGTATGTGTATGTGTATGTGTATGTGTGTGTTGTTATCCCTGTGCGCGTGCGCATGTGACATGCATGTGCATGTGTGCATGTGTGCGTGTGTGTGTGCGTGTGTGTATGTGTGTGTGTGTGTGTGTGTGTATGTGTGTGTGTGTGTGTGTGCGTGCGCGCACGTGTGTGCGAGTGTGCGTGCGTGCGTGTGTGTTTGTGCGTGCGTGCATGTGCGATTGTATGTGATTGGTGCTTCTGCATGTACGCATTTTGTGCGTCCTCCCATGCCTCGCTGCTGCCGTGCCGCTGTGTTGACGTATCGGCCATGGCCAACTTATCATCACAATGCCTCCCAACTCCTCCGCACTCTCTCCAGATCTTCATAGGTGTAGCAAGGTGAGGGGCGGTGCAGCCAGGTGGGAGGGGGTGTAGCATGGTGGGAGGGTAATAATAAGATAGTGAGCAGGCCTGCCAATGTTCTCTCATGTATTAATCTACATCCACCAATCCTCTCCATCCACCAACCACTCCAGTTTTGAGGCGTCTCAAAATGTTTTCTGTGGCCGCAATCCTATCCATTCAGCAACCACTCCATTGTGCCAACATCCATCCAGCTAGCATGTCTATTTCTCCAACTCTGTAGTCTATTTCCTTGCTCCAATCTCATCCTCCTTCCCCCCCTCAAACCCCCACATCAGGGCCGCCAATGTGTTTCCGTGCGCACATCTCATCAACCTCTTCCGCCCTCCCTCCCTCCTCCCTGCCCTCTCCCCCGCCTTTTTCAACCCTTTCAGGGCCGCCAATGTGCTTCCGTGCGCACATCTCATCAACCTCTTTCTCCTCCCCGCCCCCCCATCCATCTCTTAGTCCCCCCTAATTCCACTCCCTGCTCTTTTCCACACCCTTGTCAACCCCATCAGGGCCGCGAATGTGTTTCCCTGTGCGCATCTCATCAACCTCTTCCGCCCTCCCTTCCCCCATCCATCCCTTCTTCCCCCCGCTCTTCCCTCCATCATCTCCCCGCTCCCTTTCACCTGCACTCAGGGCCGCGAATGTGTTTCCGTGCGCACATCTCATCAACCTCTTCCGCCCTCCCTCCAAGCAAATACCTGACAGCCATCAGAAGGCGCTCTGGTTCAGCGGTCAGTGCCCTCTCTCCTTCCCCACTCTCTGTCACTGACTCTCTCTCTCACTCTCCATCCCTTACTCACCATCACTCACTCTGTCGCGAGTCAATCTTCCCTCCAAGCAAAGACCTGACAGCCATCAGAAGGCGCTCTGGTTCAGTGGTCAGTGCCCTCTCTTTTTCACTCTCTCCGTCACTCAATTATGACTGTGGATGTCTTGTATTGTATACTGTATTTCATCCTCTCTCCCCCCCCCTCCCCCCCCAAATAACATCTAATAATAATAATAATAATAATAATAATAATAATAAAACAATGTAAAAAAATCTCTCCGTCACATCCTGCCATCACTCGCTCTCCATAATTCTCTCCCTATCACTCTTTCAATCACTCATTTTATCACTCACTGTCACTCCTCTCCCTGCGCTTTGGTTGCTCTTCCATCTCACCCCATCTCACTCCATCTCACCCCAACTCACTCCACCTCGCCCCATCTCACCCCAACTCACTCCACCTCGCCCCATCTCACCCCATCGTTCCACTGCTACCCTGCCACCCTGCCATCAGGTCTGCGAGGAGCCATGGCATTTGGGTTGGCCCTGCAAGCAACTCATGACCTGCCCAACCACAGCCATGGGAGGGCGATTTTCACCACCACGACCGCCATTGTCATGGTCACTGTAAGCACTCCTCCTCTTTTCCGTGTGCCTGATTATTTTTTTCGAATGACCACCACCGCCTTTGTCATGGTCACTGTAAGCACTCCTCTTTCCAGTGCACTGTATGCATTCTTCCTAAATCACCTATTGCCTGCCCAAGCATGGGCATGGGGGAGGGCCATTGTCACCCCCACCACCACCGCCATTGTCATGCTCATGTGTAAGCTCACATGTAAAGTGGTGCTTGCTCAGTGTGCTTGCTCTGACTTAGGAGCTATTCCCGTATCACCTGCTGTCTGCACGACGAGGGGCATCGGAAAGCTGTTTTCCCCACCATTGTCACCAATATTAAGAGCAGCACCAGCACCAGCACCAGCACCAGCACCAGCACCAGCACCACCCCCCCCTTCCCCCCTTACTCCACCACCACCGCCATCATACTCGCCTCGCCTGTGGCTAGGTTCCTTCTAAGTTCCCTCTCTCCCCTCCCCCCTCCCTGCCCCCTCCGCTCCCCCTCACGCTGCTCCAGGTGATTCTGCTGGATAGCAGCACGTCCACTGTGTTGGAGAGGCTACGTTTTTGTCAACCAGATGCCCAGACTCCTCCCTTTCTTCCTCTTCCCTTTCATCCTCTCTCCCCCCTCCCCCAAACCCCATCCCCCCAGGTGATTCTTCTGGGGGGAAGCACGTCTACTGTGTTGGAGCGGCTGTGTGTTTGTCAATTAAGTGCCCAGACTCCTCCCTTTCTTGATCTTCCCCTCTCCCCCTCCCCCCAAACGACCCCATCTTCCCAGGTGATTCTTCTGGGTGGCAGCACGTCCACTGTGTTGGAGCGGCTTCGTGTGACGGGGGACAGATACAGCCAGTTGAGACAGGTGCGGTGCGGTGAAGCGCGGTGAGCAGAGGTGAAGAGAGATACAGAGTGGTGAAGAGGGATGAATAGGGATGAAGAGGGATAAGGGATAATGAAGGATGATTCGAGGTGAAGAGGGCTGTGGTGAAGCGTGGTGGAAGGTGAGCGAGGTGGAGAGGAGTAGAGAGCGCTATGACGCATGGAATCATGCGTGTGACGCACGCACGTGTTCACAGTGCCTCACAAGGGCATCTATGAGAACGCACGTGGGCACAGAGGCAATGGAAAACTTTTGAGTCGACAAAAAAATGGAAAACCAGCACATGATTCTTCTGTCAAACTTGCGCTTTCCCATCCCCTGCCCTCCTTTTCAGCCGGATGACACATCGGATGAGGAAGAAGAGGAAGGCAGTGGCATGATGCACGGCCTCATAGATGCACATGAGGACACACATGGGAGCGCGCGCGGCCATGGGCATGGTGATGGGCGTGGGGGAGGGCGAGGGGGAGGGCGAGAAGGAGGGCGAGGAGGAGGGGAGCCGAACGGGGTTCCGTTTTTGCCCCAGAAGTTGGAATCTGCTGATGCTTATTCCCAGCACCATGTCAACATCCTGCCAGAAAAGTACGTACCTGTGTGGTTTCTTTTCATGCATGCTGACTTTTGATTCGACCAAAAGGCAGCTGAAGGGGGATCCGTTTTCGCCCCAGAAGTTGGGCTCTGCTGATGTGTATTCCCAGCACCATGTTAACATCCTGCCAGAAAAGTACATACATGTGTGGTTTTTTTTTTTTTTTTTCCTGTATGAAAAGGCGGCGCACTCACATGCATATTCATATGGCTGATACGACCATGCAACTGCCTTCAGCCATATGATTAGGCGAGCAGCTGTCTAAAAGCCTAATCATATGGCTGATACGACCATGCAACTGCCGTCACACGTGTATGCGAATGCGAGCACGTGTGAACCTACACTTTCACACACATACACGCACGGGGACACACACGCACGCACACGCGCGTGCGCGCACACATCCCTTGGCACACGAACACAAGTTGTCCAGGAGATTGGACCAGGTACATCCGATCCGACCAGTCTTCATGGCAGAGCCTGCAAAATGTGGCACCTCAATTGCCTTGCCCCTCCTCTCGGTCTTGCCTCACCCCATTTTCCTATCCTTGCAGCCTTCCTTTGAGGACATTGAATCCATGTACATTCGACCATGCACGCTTAACAAGAGTGCCGGCAATTTGAGGCACCTCAGATGCCCCTTCCCCCTTACCCGTTCTGTCTCTCCCATCTATCTCCCTGCAGCCCTTCCTTTGAGGATCTCGATTCGAAGTACATCCGACCGTTTTTCACTGCAGAGCCGGCACCTGATACACGGCGCAGGGAGGGTGGAGGGGCGGACAGGGGGAGTGAGAGGGGCAGAGGGGGAGGAGTGGGAGGGGGAGTGGAAGGGGGAGTGGAAGGAGGAAAAGGAGTGGGTGGGGGACCGGGAGGAGTGAGGTCACCTCAAATCACCTCCCCACAGAGGAGGGGCGATGTTGGTGGCGGTGGCGGTGGCGGCCTTTCGGGGAGTTTATTGGAACGAAGGAGCTCTTTCCGGTCTGGTTCGCCCACTTCACACAGCGCACAGAGAGGTTCGGGAGGAGAGGGAGGTTCGGGAGGTTTGGGAGGGGGGTCACCAGAAGCCACCTCCCCACGGAGGAGGGGTGATGCGGTAGGGCCATTTGGGAGTCCGCCGGATAAAAAGGGTATTTTCCAGCTGGGTTCGCCTGTGCCTGTACGTGGTGCTCGATAACTCCAAGGGGGGCTTGATCTCCTTCTGTACAGTGCATTATATTACGTAAAAGTGTTACGATGGGATTATATACCTTACGTTATGTAACTGGGATTTAAAGCCATTAGAATCCTCGTGTCCAATTGCATGGCCTATGATGGAAACAGAACAATATAATCATGGCTGCAGCACTAGTTGCCGTATATGGAAGCTTGCTTGTTATGCTGCCGTCGCTATATGGTAGGAGTGCAATGCAACCATATTTCACAAAGAAAAGGTTTTAGTGTTACAAGATAGATTTTCAGCTGCGAATGGGCGTAACGGATGTTGTTGTGACGAAGTTTCGAATTTCGATGTTTCGACAAGCTCTCCTCCCCTGTCGCCAGTGTCGACGTTTCTCGCCAAGAAGACTGATTCTATCGTCGCTAGCTGTAACCACGATTTCGCAAATGTCGTCAGACCCGCCGTGTTACCTTCCAGATGACTCGGACGAATCGCCTGAGCATAGTGACGATAGCGGGGATAGCTCTAGCGAGGATACTGGTAAACGGAGAGAAGCCAAGGAGATAGTCTCGGCGATTCTGCTGGCGGCAGCAGCGTCGGATGCGGAGAGCCGTCCGATTGGCGACGATGAGGTGGACGCGGTGCTGCGAGAGTTAGGCGTTAACGTCAGCAATGACGTCAGCAACAACGTCAGCAGGGACTGTAACGCTGGGGACAACAGCGAAGGGGAGTCGTCTCGGAGAGAGGAGAGAGAAGAGGATGGAGGAACGGAGAGAGGGAAGGAGAGAGGAGGAAAGGGAGGAGAATGGGGCGGAGAGGGGCGAGGAGAGGGGAGAGGAGAGGGGAGAGTGGAGGACAGAGGAGGAGGAAGCGTAGCAAATAGAGTCAGTGAGAGTGAGGGCGTGGGGAATGCCGAGCCGGGCGAACAGGGTGGGGAAATGGGTAAAGAACGGTTGAGAGAGATGAAGAGGGAGAAGGACGGGGAGAGGGAGGGAGAAGATCAGGAGAGGAAGGAGAAGGAGGAGAGAGTAGAGAGGGAGGACGAGAGGAAGAGAGAAAGGGGGAGAAGGGAGCAAGTGAGGGAGAGGGAGAGGGAGAAACGGGAGGAGGAGGCGGTGAGGGAGAAGGAGAAAGCGAGGGAGGAGGAGAGGAGGAGGGAGGAGGAGAGTGAGAGAGTGAGGAGGAGAGGCACTGGCAGGTCGCTGTGGTCACACGGGTGGCTGCCGGGCAAGAGACACGCGGATGAGGTGAGGGAATGGGGGTAGCGACGAGTGATGATGGGTAGAAGGAATGGGTGGGGGTGAGGAGGAGAGGCACTGGCAGGTTGCTGTGGTCACACGGGTGGCTGCCGGGCAAGAGACACGCGGATGAGGTGAGGTATGGGAAGGGGTGGGGTGAGGTATGGGTGTGTTAGCTACATGCTGTGGCTAAGGTGAGAGGTACAGGCCGGTCCCTGTGGTCGCATGGGTGGTTGCCGGGCAAGAGACACGTGGATGAGGTGAGGTGTGGGAGGTGGTGGAGGGGTGTGTGGGAGGTTGGGGGGTTGTGGGAAGGGGTGGGGTGAGGTAGGGTATGGCAGCTGCATGCTGTGGCTAAGGTGAGGGGCACTTGCAGGTCGCTGTGGTCACATGGGTGGCTTCCCCGGAATGGGTAACGGGGTGTGTAATGGGGTGGGATGTGGTAGAGAGTGCAATGTGGTGGAAAGGGTATGTCAGCTACTTGCTGTGGCTAAGGTCAGGGTTAAGGTGAGGAGTAGAGCTGCCCATGTCCATACCGAAGCCGAAGCCTCATGCCCTACCCATAACCATACCCATGTCATCCCCTCCCCTTGCCCATACCCATAACCATGCCCATATGGTCCATACCCATAACCATGCCCATATGGTCCATACCCATAACCATGCCCATATGGTCCATACCCATACCCACACCACAGCCATACTCATGCCATCCCCTGCTATCCCGCTGCCCATGCAATGCAGGACGAGAATCAGCAGGAGTGGCGGCAGCACGGGCGGCATTTCCTGGTGGTTACCAACGCGGGCAAGCCTGTCTTCTCACGGTGATTGGCTGGCTATCAGGAGCAGATTTGTTGTTGCGATAATTTACCCTGCACCTATCATGAGGAAGCAGTTGTTGTAAAAATCTCAAACGCAGGGAGACACAACACAGCACCTTGTTTGTTTGTACTGTTTGAGTTGTTCACATCATGTGACCTTGTTTGTTGCCATCTTCGCACGGTGATTGCCATCAGCGGTCGGTTGAGTGATCGACATTTGCCACAAACCCTGTGTCATACACGTCATGACAAAAAACCCTCTACTTACTAGGGGAGGGGCGAGGCGAGCACATCGTACGCTCCTGTGGCACCCTTTTGCTCATCGTCCCCTTAGTAGGGTACGGGAAGGGTGTTGATGTGGTGTGATGAGGCGATTTTTGAGTCGACTCATCACACGCTCCTCGTCCCCTTAGTAGGGTACTGGAAGGGTGTTGATGTGGTTCTGAGGCGCCTTCGTAGGAGTGCAGCTGTGCTCATCGCGCTTGTCTCTCCCCTCCCCTCCTCTCCCTCCACTCCACCCCTCAGGTACGGTGACGAGTACAAGCTAGCAGCGTTCGGAGGGGTGCTGCAGGCGCTGGTGGCATATGTGGAGTCGACGGGAGATCACATCAGGAGCATCAGTGCTGGGCTGCATCAGGTGACGGTTGCATGTGATGAGACCCATAGCAGGTGGGGTGGGGTGCGGTGCGGAGTGGTATGCAAGTGGCACTGCAGCTGCAGGTGCTGGTGGCGTATGTGGAGTCGACAGGGGACCACATTCGAAGCATCAGTGCTGGGCTGCATCAGGTGCTTGTTGCATGTGATGCATGCCAGGTAGGGTGCTGTGCGGTGCGGAGTGGTGATGGATGCTTAAGGGGTGCTGCAGGCAGGCGCTGGTGGCATATGTGGAGTCGACGGGAGATCACATCAGGAGCATCAGTGCTGGCTTGCCCCAGGTGCGTGCAAATGGTTAGGGGGTAGACTCGCTATCAGGGCTAGCAATAGGGCACGCAGAAAGCTCTGCTGGTGGCGTGGCGTATGTGGGTCGACAAGGGACCACATTAGAAGCATCACTGCTGGGCTGGAACAGGTGATATTTTCCGGTCGAATCAAAAGCCATGTCATTGCCATTGGCTCCGGTTGATGCAAACCTCCATGTGGTGCAAACCTCGCCCCTCTACCATCCCACCCCCTGTCCCGCCCACGCCTTCCCAAAGGTCCTCTTCCTTGTGCGAGGCTCCTTCTACCTCGTCGCCATCACACATGTTTTCCTCTCCCGCTCCCCCCTTTCCTCACACCTCCACTGCTCCTGTCCCAATCCTCTCCCACGCCTCCCCAAAGGTCCTCTTCCTCGTGCGAGGCTCCTTCTACCTCGTCGCCATCACAGACGCGGGCGAGCCAGAGCCAATCATAGAGCGACAGCTGGACCACCTGCACAAGATGGTGAGACTTTAAGTGAGCTTCAAACATACGGGAGTGAATCATAGAGAGACAGCTGGACTGGACCATCTTCACAAGATGGTGGGTTTGAAAAAGTGTATGAGGGATAGCATGTAATTTAACGTCATTCCAAAGAAATGTATTCTGCATCATGGTTTTCTCCTTATTTCCTTTGCTAAAAGCTTTCCATTCCCAAGCATTCCTGGCTCCCACACCAGCTTTCTGAACTAAACTCTCCATTCCCTCTTCCCCCCACCCACCAGCTCCTCATGCTGCTGACGTCAGCCATCGAGAGGTCTTTTCTGCGCAACCCCAAGTTTGACATCCGGCCACTGCTGGGCGGCACAGACCGTCTCTTCTCCGCTCTCATCCACTCCTTCTCCTGGTTAGCCCACCAGTTAAAATGAACTTTTACCAGATGCTTTCTCCTCTACATGCTGTATTGGAGTCACTTTGACATTTGTAGAACATGTCTCCTCCATGCGCCCATATGCAGCAGCGCATGGAGGGGAGGTAGCTGGCTGGCTGGCTACATGGGTGGTTTTTTTTAGATGCCCCAGATCACGCCGGTAGACATTGCCACCTGAACGTACCCGCATGGGTGCGCACGACAGTGACTGTGGAGCGATCAAAGCTGTCTGCTGCTTTTGTTTCTGCTTAGTTATGCCTCTCTATTCCCTTACCATCCCCATCCCATGCCAGGGACCCAGCCAGCTACCTCTCCTCCATGCGCTGCCTGCGCATACCAGCATGGGTGCGCACAACAGTGAGCGGGGCGATCAAGTCCGCTGCTGCCGCCTCCCCTGCGCTCTTCGCGGTGGTCTTCTCGGGCTTTGAGGTGGTGACCGTGGCGCACAGGAAGAGAGAGCCTCTTCACCCCGATGACATTTTCCTACTGCTCAACTTCCTCAACGCCTCAGACTCCTTCCGGTAAGCCTTAGTTAGTTGCTGCCTCCCTCCCCTGCGCTCTTCGCGTTGGTCTTCGCGGGCTTTGAGGTGGTGACAGTGGCGCACAGGAAGCGAGAGCCTCTGGATGACATTTTCCTTCTCCTCAACTTCCTCAACGCCTCAGATTCATTCCGGTAAGCCCTTGGACTCCGTCTTGGCACCCTGCTGACTTGCCTGTGCTCTTCATGTTGTTGCATCCCCTGCGCTCTTCGCGCTGGTCTTCTCGGGCTTTGAGGTGGTGACAGTGGCGCACAGAAAGCGAGAGCCCCTGCATTCAGACGACATCTTTCTGCTTCTCAACTTCCTCAACGCTTCAGACTCATTCCGATAAGCCATGGGTTCGGAAGGCCGTACTCTTACCTCTATGTAAGTTGCCACCTCCCCTGCCCTCTTCACGTTGGTCTTCTCGGGCTTTAAGGTGGTGACAGTGGCGCACAGGAAGCGAGAGCCTCTTCACTCTGACAACGACTTTCTGCCACTCAACTTCCTCAACGCCTCTCCGATTCATTCCGGTAAGCCATAGTTACTTGCTGCCTCCCTCCCGTGTGCTCTGCTTGCTTGGCGCTGGTCGTCTCGGGCGTTGAGGTGGTCACAGTGGCGCACAGGAAGAGAGGGCCTCTTCACTCCGATGATATTTTTCTGCTGCTCAACTTCCTCAACGCCTCAGATTCCTTTCGGTAAGACTACCCTGCTCTCTTCCCGTACTGCTCATGCTGTGCAGCCTCCTCTGCACTCTTTCCTCGGGGCCTCGCGGGCGTTGAGGTGGTGAGAGACATGTTCTCTCTCCTCACCTTCCTCAACGCCTCAGACTCATTCCAGTACCGTAGATTTTCTTGTTTTTGTTGTTGTTGTTTTTTTTTTTTTTTTCTAATTGTTTTTTATTGTGTTTTTTTTTTTTTTATGGATGTGATTGGTCTTTGTTCAGTTGTGACCTGTCTTTGACTTGTGCTTTCCTCTCCGCATGTTGTGATGTGACACTCCCAAAACAACTCTCCCTACCTCCCTCCCACCCCACCCAGCAGTCACCCCCATGTGTCTCCCTCACTACAACCCTGCCGCCTTCCGCTGGGCGGCAGACCAGCCACTGCTGTTGACACTCAACCTCCAAATCCTCCCTCTTCTCCTCCGTCCCTCCCACAAACCTGTTGCTGTTTTCCGTCCGTCCCTCCCTCCCCACCCCCCCTCCCCCCACACCTTTGCAGCACGTCACCCGAATCCTTCACGCCTGTGTGCCTCCCTCACTACAACCCCGCCGCCTTCCTCTATGCCTATGTGCACTACTGGGCAGCAGAGCAGCCGTTGCTGTGCACTGGCAATTCAAACCCATCCACTTCTTTCTTCCCCTTTCTCTTCCCCACTCTCGTCCCCTACCTCCCTCCACAATCCCCCCTGTATGTGTTCCCTCCCACCCTCCCAAACGCCCAGCACATCCCCTGAGTCCTTCACGCCTGTCTGCCTCCCTCATTACAACCCCGCCGCCTTCCTCTATGCCTATGTGCACTACTGGGCAGCAGAGCAGCCGCTGCCGCCCACTCCTCGCACCATCCACTCCCACTCCTCCCTCCGCTCCAACGCCCCCCAGTCAAAGGCTTCCCGCTCCTCCCGGTCGAAAGCAACTGCTGCTGCTGACGCCACTACTGGTAACAACAACAGCAACAGCAGCATCAGTGGCAGCGACAACAGCGGGAACAACAGCAATAGGAGCAGTGATGGCAGTGGCAGTACTGGTGGTGAAAAGGAGACTGGGTCCGGAGCGCAGGTGTACGATCACCACCAGTCACGGGGAGACACGGGGCTGCTGCTGCTCTCCGCTGATCCCAACAGTTTCCACACACTCAAGGATGTGAGGTGAGATGCGGTGAGGTGCGGCGTGGTGCGGTGAAGTGCGGCGAGGTGCTGCAAGGTGCAGTGAGGTGCAGGGATGGAAGTAGCGGTATTGGTGGTGTCAGAATCCTGAACGAGAATGGTTGGATTGAACAGAAAGTTGGGTACAAGTACTAACCCTAATTGGGTTGTACCCTTTATGAGCCACCCCACTACAGCCTACACAATGTAAGCACTATATAAATTTGACACAACTCCATAGGCATAGTGGGGGAGAACAAGTGGTTACAAAACCAGTCAATAAAAGCAAATCAAGCTCAGGGTGGATCACGAAGTCACCACACATTCCGAGCACAAGCAAATGACCACAAGGCTAGTTCACATGCAAAGTTATATAAAAGAGGAACAAACAGTACAGTGATCATACCCTAGCAAGCGTAAGCATGCAGGTATATATATAGATCACAGTAGAAGCAAAGTCACGCAGTGAGCAAGTGAGGCAAAGTAGGCACAAGGCCTAAAACAGTATAGAAACGCTGATGATTACCAGACTGAAGTGCCTTGGTGAATATATCAGCAGTGTTAGCCCGAGTGGCCACGTAAACAAGACGAAGCTGACCACGCTGCTGCAACTCTCGAGCAAGAAAGTAACGCAGAGCGATGTGCTTCGTTCTGTGCTCTAGTCTGTGCTCTTGACACAAGGCAATCATGGCCTTGTTGTCTATGTACAGAACTGGAGAAAAACGAGGCCGCTCTCCCAAGTCGGTCAGCAGGTAGGTGAGCCAGTGTAACTCCTGTGCAGCCATGGCCCCAGCGTAGATCTCAGCCTCACAACTCGAACTGAGAACAGAAGACGAGCGGGTAGACCGCCAAGAAACAGAGCCGGAGTCAAAGCTGAAGGTGTAACCCTGTGACGACCGCTGCGTAGCCAAGTCGTCAACCCAAGAAGCGTCTGCGTGTCCAGTGAGGACAACTGGACCCCGTCCTCCAAGCACGAGCCCCATGCCCGAAGTACTGCACAAGTAGCGCAACACCCTCTTAGCGGCCTCCCAGTGCTCTGGTCGGTGTCTCCCGGGCGCAACGTAGCGTGCCAGGATGCTAAGAGGGTAGGCAAGGTCAGGTCGAGTGCAGGTCATCAAGTACATGAGGCAGCCCACAAGCTCTGGATACAGGCCACTCGGCTGTACGGACTCGTCCGAAGGTGGAGCTGAGAGCGAGTGACCGGTAGGCAGAGGAATGGACTGTGGCGAGGAGTACCGGAAGCCGAAACTCTGAAGGACCTGGTGCACCATGTGTGACTGAGTCAGGGTAATGGTGCGCCGTGCTCTGTCCCGGGTGATCTGCAAGCCAAGATAGTTGCGCAGCTAACCCAGGTCAGTGCAGGTGTGTCTCTTCTGCAGCTCCGACTTCACAAGGGTCAGTGCCTCGGTGTCAGCAGTGGCAAAGACGAGGTCGTCGACGTATACGAGGACGTAGAACGGCGGCAGCGAGGTGTCGGTGCATAGAAATAGCGACGGGTTAGCAGTAGAAAGAGCAAACCCAACAGCCGCAAGTGTAGTCCTCAGTGTGTCGTGCCACTCGCGAGGCGCCTGGCGGAGACCGTAGACTGGCCGGCGGAGGCTCCACTGGGTACCTGCAGGAAACGACCCAGTGAAGCCAGGTGGGCGGCGCAGCCAGATCTCCTCATGCAGGCTGCCTTGTAAGAAAGCTATGCTGAAGTCGAGAGAGTGCAGCTCGTAGTCAAGCTGAGCGGCGACGTGCAGCAGAACCCGAACAGTGGTCATCTTCGGGGTAGGGGAGAAGGTCTGGAAGTAGTCAACTCCTTGTCGCTGATTGAAGCTTCGTGCAACGTAACGAGCTTTGAAGACAGGCGGAGAACCCGGTGGCCGTTTCACCCTGAAAATCCACATGCCATCAACTATGTTCGCCCCAGAAGGGGAAACTGCGTCGACGTAGGTGCCTGTGGACTTCCAGGATGCCATCTCTGCGTCCATGGCTGTCTGCCACTGAGAGGAGTAGGGACCCGTAATCGCCTCTGCGTAAGAGCGCGAGGTCGGAATGTCTGGTGCATCCGGGTCTCCCTCAGGTGCAAGCAGCATGGCCACGAGATGAGGTACAGCAGCTGCAAGACACTCAAGGTCTTCCTGCTTGTCTTCAAAGACGTCCGTGCCAAGAGCACACTCACCCCCGACGGACGGAGGACAGTCAGACTCAGACTCAGCAACATGACTAGCGGCGTAGTCGAGATGACAGACGGCAGCAAAGTCAACAAGCTCAGCAACTAGGGCAGACGCAGCAGCGGACTGAAACGAAGGGTCAGTGACAACAGTGGCAAGAAGACGAGGGACAGTAGGACTGGCAGCACGAGCTAGGTCAGACTCAGGGTCAGGAACGCCAGGAAGAGAGGACGAAGGAGGAGGCGGTTGAGGAACACGCAGTGGAACAGAGGAAGGACGAAGTGCCATAACGTGGGTGCCGGGGACAGGAGGAGGACGCGGACGAGGAACACGACGACCAGTGCGAAAAGCGCGAACAGGCGAGGCAGGACGAGACTCAGGCTCACGATGCTCTGTAAAAGAGTCTGTCTGCTTAGAGTAAGGAGAAGGAGCAGGCAGTGGGGAGTTTGGTTGTAACTGTGGCTGCGACTGTTGAGGCGGTGGACTCAGTAAGCTAGGAGGAAGGCCAGTAGAAGACGGAAGACTAAGAACCTGGCGAAGGACCGAGTCAGGTGGCGGCAGAGACGACGGCTGCGGCGGAACGAAAAACAGTCGCCGCCGCACAGTGCCTCCAGCACCACTACCGCCAGCTCCAGCACCCCCAGTGCTAACACCTCCAGCTCTAGGGTCTCCAGCTCCATTGCCTCCAGTGCCAGCTCCTCCAGCTCCAGCGCCTCCAGTGCCAGTGTCTCCAGCTCCAGGGTCTCCAGCTCCATTGTCTCCAGCTCCAGGGTCTCCAGCTCCAGTGTCTCCAGCTCCAGGGCCTTCAGCTCCAGTGCTTCTAGCTCTTGCGCCTCCAGCTCCATTGGCTCCAGCTCCAGCTCCTCTAGCACCTGCGCCTCCAGCGCCACTGTCACCAGCTCCAGGGTCTCCAGCTCCAGTGCCTCCAACACCACCAGCTACTGCAGCTCCAGTACCTCTAGTACGAGCACCTCCAGGACCAGCATCTCCAGGACCTCTGGTACCTCCAGCTCCAGCAGTAACTCCAGCACCTCCAGCTCCAGTGCTTCCAGCGGCAGAGCCTCCAGCTCCCGCAGCTCCACTCCTAAGGCGTGTGCGCTGAGCAAACCACTCGCGCAGCTGCTGCGGTGAGAGAGGCTCCCGTCGGGGAGACAGTCGTGGCGAGGCACCCGCATGACCTCCAGCAGACGCGGTACCTCTAGGCGCAGCACCCCCAGACTCAGCACCCCCAGGCTCCGCACTCGCAGGCTCAGTACCCCCAGGCTCCGCACCCCCAAGCTCAGCACCCCCAGACTCCGCACCCTCAGGCTCAGCACCCCTAGGCTCCGCACGCATAGGCTCAGCACCCCCAGACGCAGCACCCCCAGACGCAGCACCTCTAGCAGCATCTGAGTCTACAGCGACCTCGACTGGCACAGTCACGGAGAGTGGGTCTACCTGAGACACACCTGAGGGAGCAGGACCCTGAGGGGGGAGGGGGTCTATCGGGGGGGGACTTGGAGCAAGGAAGAGCGACGGGGGGGGGAGAGGGGCAGTGTGGTAGGAGAAGAGACGATAAAAAGAAACCGACTCGTCAAACGTGACGTCCTGAGAGGGGAAAACACGGTGCGAAGTGGGGTGGTAAAACTGCCAGCCAGGCGCGTCAGGAGGAAAGCCAAGGAAGACGCAGAGAATAATGCGGGAGGAGAGTTTGTCCGCAGAAGTATCACGAACGAAGGCACGAGAACCCCAGACCCGGAACACCGACGCATCGCCAACCTTTCCGGTCCAACGTAGTGTAGGCGAGGTCTCCGGCAAGGAGACACGGGGCCAGAGGTTGAGCTGATGCGCAGCGTACCGGACCGCAAACGGCCACAGAAAATGGGGAGCAGTCGCATGGATCATGGAGGTCCGAGCCACCTCCATGACTAAGCCAATGCGGCGCTCAGCAATCCCATTTTACTGCGGGGAGGCCGGAAGCGTGAACGACTGAAGAATGCCCTCCCCACGACAAAAGTCCCGCAAGAGGTCGGAGGAGAACTCACCACCTCTGTCAGAGTGCAGACGCAGGACAGGAAGGTCCTCGCGGAACCGCTCGCGGAGCTGGAGACGGACTGCGCAGATCTAAGGGATCAAGACATCAGGGACCTCACCTTTGCTGCGCAAGGGGAAAACCGTGGTGTAACGCGTGTAGTCGTTAACAACCAGCAGAAAGTAGCGCTCGCGGTCCTGTCCAATGACGCGGGCCGGGCCCCACACGTCCATGTGGAGAGTCTGCAGGGGTGCAGTCGTCGGGGGAAACGAGGAGTGAGGAGCGGCGCGCTGCCGCCCCTCGACGCAAGGAAGGCAGGGTGGGGCAGGCGAGGGTGGGAGGGGACGCAGAGACCTGGGAAGACCAGAAATAAGGAGGCGGGAGGGAAGGCCACGAAGGCGTGGCAGGGAGGAGTGACCAAGACGGTGGTGCCACAGGAGAGTCTGGTGCGACAAGAGGCGACACGAGCAGGGGGCTGCTACCGGACCTGACGCGGACACCTGAGCAGACGCAGCTACCTGAGGAGGCTCAGTAGTCAGTGTGTACAGACTCGACCCACGCCGACGGGTGAACGTGGCTAGGTGACGGCCCGTCCGTGTACACGTGCAGATCGACACACGCTGACCCCCAAGAGTGGTGGTAGTGACCATTGCATCCTGGAGGGCAGCGGTACTCATCAAGTTCGTAGAGAACGAGGGGAGGTGAAGACCTGACAGTGAGCCGGACGGAACCGCCGGACACGGGAGAACAGTGGAGGAACGGGCAAGAACTGGGCCCCCTGAGGGGTCAGCCAGTTTGACCGGAACAGGTGTAGGGAGTGGAGTGAGGGTGGTACTGTTGCGAAAGAAACAGCGGGAAGCACCTGAGTCAAGTGTAAAGGTGTGCAAGGCCTCAACAGGCACAGTACCAGAGAGAGCAGACTCACTAGCACCTAGAGCAGCAGCCTCTATACCTGGGTTGGGCGGCACAGACAGGTAACAGTCACCCTCAGCACTAACAGACAAGGCATACATGGCAGCAAGGATAGCATCATAGTCAAGAGCAAAGATATCAACTCCAGACCTAAGCAGCTCTGCCTGCGGGGGCGCTCAGCCTCGTCTTCAAACTCTGCGCGCCAAGCGTCGTCAAGGCGGGAGAAGCAGCTTTGCTGAGTGTGAACCTTCCCGCAAGTCTGACCAGCTCGGTCACCTGTGCGAATGACATACGGGCGGCAAACACTACCCTCAGACGCCCCACGCTGAGCAAACCACTCACGAAGCTGCTGAGCCGTAGGGGTCTCGCTCCGACGCTGGTGCTGCTGCCTCTGGCCACCGCCAGAACCTCCCCTCAGAACAACTCCACCCCGACCGCCACCACTGCCGCCACCACCACTCCCACTGCCGCCACCACCGCCACCCCCACCCCCACCGCTGCCACCACCGCCGCCACCAAAGCCCCCACTCCCGCCACCACTCCCACCGCTGCGACCATCTCCTCCACCTCCACCGCCTCCACTGCCTCCACCACCACCACCCCCGCTGCCACCGTCACCACTCTTGCCACCCTTGCCCTTGCTGCTACAGCGCTTCTCACTAAGAGCAGAAGCAGCCCCGACATCCTCAGCACCAACGATGTCAACAGCAGCAGCAAAAGCGTAGGAGGGGGCAAGGGGGAGGAGGAACACCCCTCAAAAAAGGGTGTGCGAGGAGTGCCACGAGCAGCACCTACAGCGACTACGCTAGTCTTAGCTGCAAGGAGGTGCTTTTCGAGCAGGTCGACAGTGAGGTCTGTGGGGTCAAGTGCGAAAAAGTGGTCCCTGACAGCGCGAAGAGAGTCAGGGAGGCGGGTGACTATGAAGTAGAGAGTGATGTACATCGGGGGCGGGTCCCTGTCTAGGAACTCGGCTGGGAGGGCAGCGCGGTAGCGAGCATCGCTAGTGCGGAGGTGGGTAACGAGGTCCTCGACTGTGGCAAAGGCTGGCAGCTCGGGAAACAGGTAGGGCAGTATAAGGCGGCCGAGAGCAGCAGTGGCAGGGGAAGAGTAGCGAGCGACTACAACGTCGTACAGGGCCTTAGCATTCTTGTGCTGGCCAAAGTGAGCGCGTTCGGCTAACGGCAGGTGGTTGCGAACGGCTAAGCGAGCAGCAGCGTCACGAGTAAGCCACTGTGAGCGAGTCGCACTGTCAGCTGTGGCAGGAGGGCCGAGAGAGTCTCCTGACGTGTGGTCAAACTACGAAACGTTGTCTCTAGAATCGCTCAGTAGGTACAACTGTAAGGCGTCGAGGCACGTATCGAACTAGATCGGACGGCCCTCATGATCGAATGTGAGTACACTGAGAGAAGCCATAGCAGGCAGAGCAGAGCAGCACGCGACCAGCAGGGCGGCACGCAGGCAGGGCGGCGCGCGAGAACTAAGGAAGCGCGCAGGGCAGGGCAGGGCGGCGCACGGCTAGGGCGGCCAGGAGGGCGGCGCACAGCAGGGCGGGCAGCAGCAGGGCGGCCCGGGAAGGAGGGCGCCGGCCAGTAGGGCTGTGCGCAGGAGTGCGGGCAGCAGGGCGGCGCACGCAGGGCGGCGCACGTAGGGCGGCGCAAGCAGGGTGCAAAGGGCGGCGCGCGCAAGGGGCGGCGAGCGGGCTGCCAGAGGGCGGCGCGCGGGCTGCAAGGGGCGGCGAGCGGGCCGCAAACGGGTGGCGAGCGGGCTGCAGGGGCGGCGAGCGGGCCGCAAACGGGCGGCGAGCGGGCTGCAGGGGCGGCGAGCGGGCTGCAGGGGCGGCGCGCGGGCTGCTAAAGGCGGCGCGCGGGCTGCACGGGCGTTTCGCGGGCTGCAGGGGCGGCTCGCGGGCTGCAGGGGCGGCTCGCGGGCTGCAAGGGCGGCACAGCGGCCAGCAGGGCGGCGCGACAGTTAGGGCAGGGCGGCAGGGCAGCTAGTGGGGCAGCGCTCTGTGGTGGGCCCTAAAAAAGATTCGGTCCTAGAACGGACCTGCTCTGAAACCATGTCAGAATCCTGAACGAGAATGGTTGGATTGACCAGAAAGTTGGGTACAAGTACTAACCCTAATTAGGTTGTACCCTTTATGGGCTACCCCACTACAGCCTACACAATGTAAGCACTATATAAGTTTGACAGGTGGTGGTGGGGGAAAGCAGCAAGGTTCCGGAGCGCGACTGATCACCACCAGTCGCGGGGAGACACGGGGCTGCTGCTGCTCTCCGCTGATCCCAACAGTTTCCACGCACTCAAGGATGTGAGGTGAGGCACAGGATGAGGCGAGGCGATTTTCTGTGCTGCTGAGGGTACTCTCATTTCTTCTAAACAAACCACAAGCTCAAGCATATTATGTGATATTTCAAAACTAGTCCCCTCATGCTTCCTCCTGCAAAGGTGGCTATGGAACGCACACTGACTCCCTCAGTGTCTTTTCCTCCGTGCCCATTATAGAAGGATAATGGCTGTCTTCTCCTGCACTGTAGAAGAGGGCACAAGTGCATGCAGTGCAGTAGAGGGCAATGCGGTGCAGTGCGGTGCGGTTCAGAACAGTGCAATGCGGTGCAGTGCAGTACACCATCCAAGTTTTTTTTTTTTTTTTTTTTTTTTTTTCAGTGAAGTCATAACCACACACACTACTCAAAGCCATCCCTTTGTTTCTCTTGCACGTGGTGTGATGTGTGATGTTGCACTGCAGGGTGGCAATGGAACGCACGCTGCTACAGTGCAACATCTTCCAGGAAATCTCCTCCGCGGCTTCCTCTCCGTCTCGCGGCGTCACTGTTCATCTCGTCCAATCACACATCGACTCAATCGCTGCCGCTTCTGCTGCAGCCAATAGGAGCGCTCGCCCCACCACCACTGCCACTACTAGTAGCAGCAGCAGCAGCAGCAGCAGTAGTAACAACGCTAGGCTCTCTCCCTTTCCTCCCTCCTCTCCTCGCTTCACTACCCCTTCTCGTATCACCACTACCACCACCGCCACCAACCCTCCAACCACCACCACCACAACCACAAAATCCTCCTCCTCCTTCCCCCAACGCCCCTCCTCCCCTGCTTCCCGCTCCTCCTCCCGCTCTCTCCGTTCCTCCTCCCCTGCCCGCCGCTCCCCCTCCCCCTCTTCCCGCCGCTCCTCCTCCCCCTTCCGCTCCCCCGCCCTCCTTCCTTCCCCTCAACCCCCCGGCTTGCCCTTTCCTGACCCTTATGGACTAGGCCCGGGCATGGGGTGTGATATTATTCCCATGGGCCAATCAGAGAACGGTGCTGACGAGGATGATGATTACTCGGGGGCTTTCGACCAATCAGAGGGCAGGGGGGTGTTTGGTGGTGGGGGAGAGAGGGAAGGGGAGGGGGGAGGGGAAAGCGCAGAGGGAGGGGAAGGGGAGGAGGAAGGAGAGGAGGGAGAAGAGGAGGAGGAGGATGAAGAGGAGGAGGATGGAGCAGTGTTAGCGCTTGAAAAGCTGAGAAGTGTATTGGGAGGGGGCATGGCTGTGGGCATGGGTACGGGTATGGGGATGGGCCAGCATGGAACCGATTCACCAGTGACAGAAGTGCCAATATCTGTTCCTCTCGAGCTGTCCTCTGCTCCTCCCAACCGCTCCCTCCCTCCTCCTCTCGCCATTCCCACTCAGATATCCCCTCAGGTGCCGGCACAGCCATGCACACAGACACCCACACGGATGGCAGCACAGGTTGCAGCGCAGATAGCAGCACAAGCAGCGCCCATGTGGGGCCCGCAGGGTCTGCTGCACTTTGTGTTCCGCAGCGCGCCTCTGCGGCAGTTTGTCCTGGCCGAGTTCCCCCCGGCACTGAGCGACAAGCGACAGCAGAAGACGTGAGTGGGCGGGGAAGGGCGTTGTGTGGGTGGGTGGGTGGGTGGGTGGGTGGGTGGGTGGGTGGGTGGGTGGGTGGGTGGGTGGGTGGGTAGGTGTGTGGGTGGGTGGGTGAGTGGGTAGGTGTGTGGGTGGGTGGGTGGGTGGGTGGGTAGGTGTGTGGGTGGGTGGGTGGGTGGGTGAGTGGGTAGGTGTGTGGGTGGGTGGGTGGGTGGGTATGTGGGTGGGTGTGTGGGTGGGTGGGTGGGTGGGTAGGTGTGTGGGTGGGTGGGTGGGTGGGTGGGGCTTGTAGGGTTACGTGAGCTCCCTCTGCGCCAGTTCGCCCTGGCCGAGTTCCCTGCAGCGTTGAGTGACCGGTGGCAGCAGAAGACGTGAGTGGGTGGGGGGCGAGGGGGTGTTGAGAGGAAGGGGAAGGTTGCGGGGGAGGGGAGTTGTGCTGCCTCTGTGGCAGTTCGTCATGGCCAAGTTCCCCCCGGCGCTCATCAACAGGCGGCAGCAGAAGACGTGAGTGCGTGGGGGGCGAGGGGGTGTTGAGGGGAGCATACCTCTGTGCCAGCTCGTCATGGCAGTGTTTCTGCCCCTCTCCTGTAACCCGGTAACCCCCTCGAATCGTGCAAGCCTTTCAAACCATGCACGACACTCCATGACAGCTCAGGCCTCTCATCACTCACTTCCCCTTTCATCCCCACCCCCACTCCACCTCTGTCGCTTCCCTTTCCTCTCCTTGCCATTCTTCTCCCCCCATTTCTCCCCGTCCGCCCCGTTTTCCTCGCTTGGAAACAGTCTTGAGACGTCTCAAAACTCCTTACCATTTCTCCCCGTCCGCCCCGTTGTCCTCGCTTGGAAACAGTCTCCTGCGGGCCTATCAGACCATGTACTCTTCCATGACAGCTCAGACCCCCGTCACCGCACCGCACGCTACTGGCGGCGCCACGTCAGCAGCCTCCTCTGCCATGTCAGCATCCTCGTCATCCACAGCAGCGTCATCATTGCTGGCTGCGATGGAAACGGGCGGCAGCTGCCCCGTGCCGGGCGGCATCAAGACGCAGTACAGACGAACCAAGGACTTTGGTGAGACATGCCTTTACTATGAAGATTTGAGTCGCATGCGGATTTCCCTCTACTCCACGTTAGCGACTTTGAGGCATCTTAGAAAGCGCTTCGCTACCTGCAACCTGAGCGTGAGACATGCTGCAACTCTCAAACACTGAGTCGCGTATATCTTCTCCAAGGAGCTTCATATGTAGACGCTTAGTAGTTATGCCGACCTAATAACATGGCATCCATCGTATGATTAGTATACCCCTCTCCCCTCATCCCCTCCTGCAGTGCTCCTCTCCTGGCGAACGCCTGACTGTGAGATCATGGCTGCATTCGACCCTCCGAGCCGAGCTGTTCTGTCCGTTCTGTCCGTACTCCCTCTCTGCTCTTCCCTCATTTCTTCTCTCTCCAGGTGTCCGTACACCTGGAGATCATGGCTGCATTCGACCCTCCGAGCTGAGTTGTTCTGTTCCTCTTCCCTTTATTCCTCCCCTTTATTCCTCCCCTCTTTGCTCCTCACTCTATTCTTTCCCCTCTCTAATCCCCCCCCAACAGTGCTGCTCTCCTGGCGAACGCCTGACTTTGAGATCATGGCTGCATTCGACCCTCTCGCAACTAAGGTGCGGTTAGGGGCATGTCGTGGTGGTGGCATGGGATGGTGGTGGCATGGCATGGGATGGTGGTGGCATGGCATGGGATGAAATCAGGGCAGTAGCTTGTTCCATGTGAGAAAACGAGGGAGATGTTACTAGACGACCTTAACCCTCCTGGTACTTCAAGCTTCTGAAATTAGACCCTAAACCCGAAAACGAATGCTGCCACATGAGCCAGCCCAGCAGGAGAATCTTTTGAAACCAAAATATTCTCAATAGTGAAACACGCATAGCCAGCAGCTGGAACCAAAGCTCCCCCTTCCCTCCTACCTGTTTTCATTCGCTTCCTCCTTGTGCTACTCCTGACATCCCTTCCCGTCCTTCCTCCCCATCCTTGTGTTTCACAGAAGCCGGCAATCGCAGTGTGCAACGCCATCTGTCACATGCTGCAGCAGTTTGAGTCAGAGCTTTTTCTCCCGGGCTCGGTCATATTCTAACCTACCACTTTATTTTCTTATTGCCTGCACGATTCTTTTTCTTGTTACTGTACTTGTGTTGTTATACTGGGTATATTCTTATACCGTATTACCCCGGATAGTAGCGCATATGCGCTTATAATAAAATCCGTTTTTTTGGTGGTGGCGCTTTTAATTGAGTATCGGCCATAAGCGCCGGCGCTTATATAATGACAAATACAGAAATACAACTTAAACGCATTAAAATGTACATTTCCGTCTCGTAGGTTCAATCGAGTCGACATTCAATAGCGTCCTAAATTTGAATCGCGTGAGGGCGAATCTCTGACGCTGCACATAGCTTTTCGCACGTCAATTTGCCCGCGTGCCACCTCATCCTGACTGGACGCGAAACCAGTCAGGACCTCGAAAGTCAAACAAAGTGAAAATGGGTGCTGACTCGCTTGAATTTTGAAATTCGTTACTGTTTTAATCAGGATTGAAAGAATAAAATTATACATGCGCTTATAATAAATCAGGGTTTTACAGGGGGGGCGCTTATAATCGAGGAACGGCCATAAGCGCCATGCTCCAGATATAGGCGCCGGCGCCTTTAATCGGACGGCGCCTATATCCGGGGCCATACGGTAAGCCTCACATAACGCCCATCACTTTCCAGAAAAAAACATTCTTCATTGGTAGACCAGGTTGGTGGGCCTGCACAGGTTACAATACAATATGCCACTCAAAAACACCAGATTTTTTTTGAGACTGGTAACACTAGATGGGCCTTGGCACTGGTTACAACCTCGTACGCCACACTACAACACCAGACGGAACCACGGAACACACCAGACGGGCCTTCCTAAATTGGCAACACCAGTCAGGCCCGCACTGGTTACAAAACCATAAGGCACACGTAATAGGAAAATCACTTCTCTACCGTGGCAACACCAGGTGGGCCTGCACTGGTTACACCCGAAGGCCCACTGCTCATCTCGCTGCTCAGATCCTTGGCCCCAGGAGAATCTGGTCTGCTCGAGGCAGGTGTGGCTGGTGCAGGCTCCTCTGGGGAAGGCTCTGCCTGAGACAGCTGCACATCCGTCAGTGCCCCGCACTGGTGGTTACACCTGAAGGGCGGTGCTCGTCTCCTTACTTTGGTCCTTGGTTCCAGGAGAATCTGGTCTATCAAGGCCAGGTGCAGCTGGTGCAGGCTCGTCTGGAGAAGGCTCTGCCTGAGACAGCTGCACATCTGTCAGTGCCCCGCACTGGTTACACCTGAAGGGGCGGTGCTCGTCTCCCTGCTTTGGTCCCTGGCTCCAGGAGAATCCGGTCTGCTTGGGGCAGCTGCAGCTGGTGCAGGCTCCTCTGGGGAAGGCTCTGCCTGAGACAGCTGCAGAGGCTGTTGAGATAGAGGCTGTTGAGATAGAGGCTGGAAAAGCGCATGGGGAATGGAGAGGGGTGGATATCCAAAGAGGAGAATGCAATTTTAAGTCACGGGAGAAAATGGTCTGCTTGGGGCAGGTGCAGCTGGTGCAGGCTCCTCTGGGGAAGGCTCAGCCTGAGACAGTTGCACAGGCTGCTGCTAAAGAGGCTGAAACGAACATGGGGAGTGGCGAGGGGTGGGAATCCAACAGGGCAAACAGGTTCATGAGATACGGAGCAAGTCGAGGTGTGAACTAGCCGAGTACTAAAGCGAGTGTTGCAGCCTGTGCTACAGCCTGTGTGCTACAGCCTGTGTGCTACAGCCAGTTTTACGGCCCATGCTACAACCTATGTGCTACAACGTGTGTGCTGCAGCCTGCGCTAGGCTGTAACTCTCCCTGCTTCAACTCACCAAGCTGTGATCAGCAAGAGCAGGGAACGCAGCATTATAGGACTGGGCGTAACTTGAATCGACTCAGAATGCACTCTGCTTCATTCCACCGTTCTTCAACCTGCCTGCCCGCCTGCCTGCCTGCCTGCCTGCCTGCCTGCCTGCCTGCCTGCCTGCCTGCCTGCCTGCCTGCCTGCCTGCCTGCCTGCCTGCCTGCCTGCCTTCCTGCCTGCCTGCCTGCCTGCCTGCCTGCCTGCCTGCCTGCCTGCTTCAACCTGCCTGCCTGCCTGCTTCAACTCACTGCGATGTGATCAGCAAGAGCAGGGAAGGCAGCACCGAAGGACTGGGCGGCAGGATGGGTTTCAAGTCGACTAGAAGAGCAGCCCAAACTTGACTACCAAGACTCACCGTGCTTGAACCTACCTCGCAGTGTATGTTTGAGACGATTTTTGAGGCGCCTACAAAATTCAACCTACGTGCGCGGTGCATGTTTGAGGCGCCTACAAAATTCAACCTACGTGCGCGGTGCATGTTTGAGGCGCCTACAAAATTCAACCTCCCTGCGTCAACTCACCGCAGTGTGATCCCTAAGGGCAGGGAAGGCAGCAGCAAAGGACCGGGCGGCAGGATGGTCGGCGGAGAGCGGGTGGGAGAGAGGGGCCGCGAGGGTGGCAGGGAGTGGCGGTATGCGGGCCTTGGGTTGGAGGACCCGAGCTCGGATGAAGTCATAGTAATGCTGCGATGGGGGGGGGAAAGGGGGGAAGAATGGATGGGAGAATGAGAGGGCTGAACAGCTAGAGAGGGAGGGAGTGGCGGTATGCGTGCCTTGGGTTGGAGGACCCGGGCACAGATGAAGTCGTAGTAATGCTGTGGGGATGGGAAGGGTGAAATTGGGAGGGTGGGAGGGCAAAACAGCTAGAGAGGCAAGGAGAGGCGATGTGGGCCTTGGGGTGGAGGACCCGGGCATGGCACAGCTGAAATCATAGTAGTGCTGTGGGGATGGGAAGGGGAGGAAGGAGAGTGAGAAAATAGTAGTGGGAAAGCGTGTGAGTGAGAGGATTTTTGAGGCCTAAAAAAAAGTAGTGGGAAAGCGATTTTTTAGGCGCCTAAAAAAAGTAGTGGGAAAGCGTGTGGGTGAGAGGGGTGAACAGCAAGAGCGCCAGGGAGAGGCAGTATGGGGCCCTTGGGGCAAAGTACGCGAGCATGAATGGAATCATGGAAGTGCTATGATGGGAGGGAAGGGGAGGGTGGGAGAGTGAGAGAGGGAGGGTGGGAGAATGAGAGGGAGAGTGGGAAGGGTGAACAGCAAGAGGGGGAGGAAAAACGGATTGGGGAATTTGGAATGGAGGAATGAAAGAAATGGTATTAGTGGTGTGGTGCAGGGAGAGAGAAAGATAGAATTACCTGCAGTGCCTGCAGCTTCTATGGCTGATAGAATTACCTGCTGTGCCTGCAGCTTCTATGGCTGATAGAATTACCTGCTGTGCCGGGCTGAGACGTCTCAAAAAAAGAAAGAATTACCTGCAGTGCCGGGCTGGGTGTGTCTTCTGGTCTCAGCTTCTCACCCTCCTCCATCCCCTCCTCCTTACTGTACTCCTCCTCATCATCCTCCACCATACTGCACCGCACTAGAGACATGGCCTGCACCAGAGCTGCTGCTGCGCTGCTCTGGACAGCTGTCGGCTGTTGATTGGGCGGCGCAGCTTCCAGGGACGGGAAGGAGAACTCCCGAATGTCCTCACTGAAGGGGATGGTGTTGAGCAGCAGTAGATCGGGCTGCGTGGGAGGGGAGGGGAGGGGAAGCGTGGTGGGGAAAAATGGGGAGGAGAGGGAGATTCGAGACGTCTCAATCAAAACTACACTTATATCACGAGATTGGGCATGGTAATGGAAGCAGCAGGTCGGGGTGAGCATTCGGGGGTGGGGATAGGTGAAGATGGGGAGAAGGGGGCACGACACAAGGGATTCATAATATCTTCACTTGGGTTGGGAGGAGCGTGTCGAACAGGCTGAGAACGTGACATGGGCGAAGAGGCGGAGAGATGAGGGGGGGGGAGATGAGGTTGAATCCGTGAGTGTGTGTGACGACACACACACCAAGGATGCATGTACGCACTCATTACACACACATCCTCCTCAACACACACACACACACACACACACACACACACACACACACATCCCTCTTCAACTCACCACAGCATCATCCTCCTCCTCTGCGAATCCCCTCTTCCCGCTACACCACGGCGTCAGCACGCCGAGTGCAACGCCCGAGTCTGCTTGGTTGGTGAGCTTGAACCGCACGATCGCCACCTTCCTTCCCACACCTGGGATAGGTGGACTGCCCACACCACACCGGGCAAGCGTGCGCTCACCACAGCTTCATCCTGCTCTTACTCAAACCCTCGCTTCCCTTGACATTATGGGGCCAGCATGCCCAGCGCAATGCCCCGAGTTTAGGCCTAGTTAATCCCAAGCGTGCACTCACCACAGCTTCATCCTTCTCTTACTCAAACCCTCGCTTCCCTTGACATTATGGGGCCAGCACGCCCAGCGCAATGCCCGAGTTTAGGCCTAGTTAATCCCAAGCGTGCACTCACCACAGCTTCATCATCCTCTTCTGTGAACCCTCGCTTCCCTCTACACCATGGCGTCAGCACGCCGAGGGCAACGCCCGAGTCCGCCCGGTTGGTGAGCTTGAACCGCACGATTGCCACCTTCTTAGAAGCTTCCATGGCCTGGGCGAGGGCTGAGAGGGCGAGAGCGGCCTTAGTGTTGTTGGGCTCTGGCAGGAGAATGGCTGTGTCCTTTATGAAATAGTGCCTGCCATTGCCACGTGTACACAAAAAATCATACAGATGTGAGGGAGGTGCAGTGAGCGTGTGAGAGGGCGAGAGCGGCCTTGGTGTTGCTGGGCTCGGGGAGGAGGATGGCCGTATCCTTCAAGAAATAGTGCCTGGGGTGAGATGCATGCGCACACAAAGAGTCATAAAGACGTGAGGAAGGTCTAGGATGGGTGTGAGAGGGCGAGAGCGGCCTTGGTGTTGCTGGGCTCAGGGAGGAGGATGGCCGTGTCCTTGATGAAATAGTGCCTGCCCATGCCATGCCATGCGTGCACAAACAGTCATATGAATGTGAGGGAGGTGCAGTAAGGGTGTGAGAGGGCGAATGCAACTGGCCTGAAGCAGGAGGATTGCTGTGTCCTTGTGGAAATAGTGCCTGGTATGGGCACAAAACAACGTGTGAGGTTCAGCAAGGGTGTGTGTGAGAGAGCCGCCTTGGTGTTGGTGGGCTCGGGGAGGAGAATGGCCGTGTCCTTGATGAAATAGTGCCTGGAATGGGCACAAAGAAAGAAACGCGTGAGGCACAGGAAGCAAGGGTGTGAGAGGGGGGGCGAGAGCCGCCTTGGTGTTGGTGGGCTCAGGGAGGGGAATGGCCTTGTCCTTTATGAAGTAGTGCCTGGGATGAAATACCATGCCATGCCATGCCATGCCATGCCAGTGCCACATGCACAATAATAAATGTTATTTTTGTCCCCTGTCATTCACCTCTTAGACTACAAAATCACCTCAATGACCCACAGCAACCGCTTAATGGAGAGACAGACACGGCAGGGCAATGTGCAATCACCTAGGGATTTGGTCTCGCATTGTGAAGCCGATTATTTGGATCCCCTTTTCTGAGTGAAACCGGTTTGCCATGTGGTCATACTCACTCACTGGAATGACCTGGTGATGGTGGGCGGGAGGTGGGGGTGTGGAAGGGGAGGTATTCTGCTTGCTTCAAACCCACATCAGCTTATTCTGAGACGCCCCGAAACGTGAAACCGTTTTGCCATGCGGTCGTACTCACTCACTGGGATGACCTGGTGATGATGGGAGGGAGGGGAATACAGGGGGGAAGAGCGTGGAGGAAGGAGGTGTTGGTGGGAGGACGTATGCTAATTGATAACCAGGCTTAACATCTCAGTTTAGTCTGGACATTCAAAACGCCAGAAGGAAAAGCAAAAAGCGATATTGACTTGAGTTGACCCACAAAATCCACCTGAGGCCCATACTTGTACGCGCTCACAAGCTCATCCAACCCCACTGTCTCCAGCTCCTTGTTATTAACCCAAGGTGACTTGTGAGTCAACTCAAGACTCGCATTGACTCGCATTGACTCGCATTGACCCACCTGGGGCCCATACTTGTACGCTCGCACAAGCTCGTCCAACCCCACTGTCTCGAGCTCCTCGCCCCCTCCCTCTCCTCACCATTAACCTGTGGTGACTTATAAGTTGACTCAAGACTCGAGTTGACTTGCGCTGACTCTGAGACCCACCTGCGGCCCATACTTGTACGCCCTCACAAGCTCATCCAACCCAACTGTCTCCAGCTCCTCACCTCCTCCCTCTCCTCTCTCCCCCCCACCCCCTTCCTCCCCATCCCCTCCATCCCCCCGGCCCCCTCCGCCCTCCCCGTGCCCATCTTCACCGCTCTCCACCACTCTGTATTCTCTCTCCATCTTCACGTCTCCAGTGGCGGAGGGATCGGAGGGAGGGGCGAGGTGGGAGAGGAGCATCAGGGGAGGCAGGAGTTGGGGTAAGGTTTTCTTGTATGCCCAGACCTGGGAGTGGGGAGGGGGGGACAGGGAGGGAAGGAGTAGAAGGGATGGGGGAGGAGAGAAGAGCCTCTCTTCAACTGTACTCCTCTTGACTTGATCCCCACCGATCTCCACCGATCCCCACCGATCTCCACCGATCCCCACTGCCACGGCTCTGTACAACCGATATACTCATTCACCTTCTCTCGCGGCGGATGGGTCGGAGGGAGGGGCGAGGCGGGAGAGGAGCTTCAAGGGAGGGAGGCGCTGGGGGAAGGTCTTCTTGTATGCCCGAACCTGGGGGTGGAGTGGGGGAGAAAAAACTGAAGGATAGGAAGGGGGGTGAAATGCAGCCACAGCGACGCATTCCTCACACTCCCACACACACCTTGATGGTGAATCCAGGCGCCACCAGCAGGTCGCCTGGGGGCAGCATGCGCGGTTCCACCTGGATGGAACAGCTTGCCTCAAGGGCGCAACTTCTTCAATCACTTGCCCCAAGGGCGCAGCTTCTTCAATCACTTGCCCCAAGGGCGCAGCTTCTTCAATCACTTGCCCCAAGGGCACAGCTTCTTCAATCACTTGCCCCAAGGGCGCAGCTTCTTCAATCACTTGCCCCAAGGGCGCAGCTTCTTCAATCACTTGCCCCAAGGGCGCAGCTTCTTCAATCACTTGCCCCAAGGGCGCAGCTTCTTCAATCACTTGCCCCAAGGGCGCAGCTTCTTCAATCACTTGCCCCAAGGGCGCAACTGCTGCTGCCAGTGGCAGTGCCCAGACACCCAACCACTCGCAACACCCCTCCACGCCACACCACACCTCTTGGGGCGCCTCGTCACCTTGATGGCAAAGCCAGGCGCCACCAGCAGCAGGTCGCCTCGGTACGATGTGGTGGGCAGCACGCGTGGATTCACCCGATACAGCAGCATGCCCGCTGCTGCTGCTGGCAATTGCGCTACAGAGGCTTGCAAAGAAACAGATGATGAGAGAACACAGAATGCATCCACACATTGTGCCTCACCTTGATGGTGAATCCAGGGGCCACCAGCAAGTCGCCTCGGTACGATGTGGTGGGCAGCACTCGCGGCTTCACCCGATACAGCATGCCCGCTGCTGCCAGCGACGCCACCACTCGCAGCTCCCCTCCACACACCACACCACCGCTCCCAACGCCTTTTTCCTCCTCCTCCTCATCCGCCCCACCTCCTCCCTCCGCCCTTGCATCACCTGTCCCATTCTCTTCCCGTTTGCACCGTTTCCCGTACCCTCCCCCATCTTCCTCCTTCAATTTCTCCTGCTCTTCCCTTCGACCCCCGTGGTCCCTGCAAGCCCCCGCATCAAAGAACCTTCTCAGCAGCTTCTCGTTCTCGTTAGCAACATCCCTGGCCTCAGCCCTTCCTCCTCCTGGGTCCCCATCGTCCTCTGCTCCTCCTGCCTCTGCCTCCTCGCCTTCCACCCTCCCGCTCAGCAGCACAGCATGCAGAGCGATGCCATATTCGTGCATCTTCCCAGCCACCGTTGCCACCTGGAGGGTGGCAGTTTGGGTGGGAGGGAGGGACGACGTCTCAGCAGTACAGCGAGCAGAGCAGAGTGACGCTGTACCCACTCAATTTCCCTGCTACCGTTGCCACCTGGGACAACGATATATATAAAAGAAGATAGGAGTGGGCTAGTGAAGTGGGGAAGTGCGGAAGCGGACTCAGGCGAAAAGAGGGCAGAAGAGGAGAAAGTGCGATAGCCCCCGCCAAAACCCCCTTTATCTGTCCCCCTTTTCCACACACCTGCTCCTCATTGGAGCCTTCGCTGGCCTCCTCCAATGGCGTGCCGCCACCTGTCAGCAGCATGACGCGCTTCACACCCTTTGTGATTCCCAGAGGGCCCTTGGCGCGAATGAGAAGGTCTAAGGACACCACAAGCGCGCTGAGCCCTGTGGGGTGGGGGCAGGGGGGGGGGAGACACATACGGTACATGTAGACAGACGGAGCAAGGGAGAGGATAGGTATTGAAGGCCCTCCGCCCCTTGGTCAGCCCCAGAGGGCCTTGGCGCAAATGAGCAGGTCTAAGGACACCACAAGCGCGCTGAGCCATGGGAGTGTGGGTGAGGGGAAAACATAGAGGCTATAAATCACCGAGCCCTGGGCAAGTATGCTTCCTATCCTACCACCTTCACCCACACGCACACACTCTTTTAATTGCCCATTCACTCACAGTCACTCCTGATGCTTGGCTCTGCTGCTTGCTCCATAGCGTGCACAGCTTGTAACGAGGATGGATCAACCACCCTGTGAGGCACCACCACGGCTATGTTCTCGTACCCCTCCACTTCCTCTAACGGGTTGTTCGTCTCTGCAGTGGGGCAAGGAGGGGCAGGAAGCGGGGAGGGGGGGTTGAAAGAAGGAGAAGGAATGGAGCAGCATTGTGAGGCACCAGTGCACCACCACCACCACAGCTATGTGCTCGTAACCCTCCTCATCCCCTAAAGGGTTGTTAGTGTCTGAGAGAAGGGGTAAGAGGTGCGGGGGGGAAAGTGAGAAGGGAGAGGGCAGGGGAGCGTGGCGAGGTTCCACCACAGCTATGTGCCCGTAACCCTCCTCCTTAAAGGGGTTGTTAGTGTCTGTGAAAGGAGAGGAGAGGGAGGAGGAGAACAGACTTGTGAGTCAACTCAAAGGTAATGAGGATGGGCGGTCCACCACCCGATGAGGCACCACCACGGCTATGTTCTCGTACCCCTCCTCGTCCTTCAATGGATTGTTTGTCTCTGTAAGAAGCGGGGCAGGGAAGGGCAGCGGGAGAGGAACAGTGGAGCGGACATGGCTATGGCAATGTGCTGAATTCCGAAACATAAGCATGGCTATGCCTACACCATTCTCACTTCTGAAACTTTCGAAAAGTGACACAATGCTCGTGTGTCACATCACATCACATCACATCACATCACATCACATCACATCACATCACATCACATCACATACCCTTGCAGCCAAATGCAACAACTGCCACATCGTCGCGATGGTTGAAGAGAAGCTGCCAGGAAAGTGCAGAGAGAATGCAGGGCGGGCAGTATGGGATTGGGCAGGAGAGACGGATGGATGAGATGGGATGAGTTGGCATGAGATGGGGTTGGATGGAGTGTGATGGGATGGGTTGGGATGGGATGGGATGGGATGGGATGGGATGGGATGGGATGGGATGGGATGGGATGGGATGGGATGGGATGGGATGGGATGGGATGCGATGGGATGGGATGGGATGGGATGGGATGGGATGGGATGGGATGGGATGGGATGGGATGGGATGGGATGGGATGGGATGGGATGGGATGGGATGGGATGGGATGGGACGGGACGGGATGCGATGGGATGGGATGGGATGGGATGGGATGGGATGGGATGGGATGGGATGGGATGGGATGGGATGGGATGGGATGGGATGGGATGGGATGGGATGCGACGGGATGCGATGGGATGGGATGGGATGGGATGGGATGGGATGGGATGGGATGGGATGGGATGGGATGGGATGGGACGGGAGGAGTGGGGCGACATGCTTCCTTACACATAATAACGCACTTCTTCCCCTTTCTTCACTTGCAAATGCACACACTCGTGCCACACATAACCCCACACCCACACACCCACCCACACCCATCCACACCCATCCACACCCATCCACACCCATCCATACCCATCCACACCCATCCACACCCATCCACACCCATCCCCACCTTCTGCTGCTCCACCCAGAGCCGGCACTCCTGAAACACCCCTGGTGGGACGGATGGACCCGCATGCACCCCACCACCCACCTACACCCAACCGCACCCATTCAACTACCTACACCAACCCATCCCCACCTTCTGCACCATCTGCTGCTCCACCCAGAGCCGGCACTCCTGAAACACTTTCTGTGGGACGCATGGACCCGCATCCACCACGTATACCACTGTCTCCTGTGCGCGCGAGGGGGGAGGGGAGGGGGGAGAAGGGGAGGGAGGGGGAGAGAGGGGGAGAAGTGGGGGGAAAGTGGGACGGATGGACCAGCATCCACCACGTATACCACCGTTTCCTGTGCAACCGGAAATGGGGGTGGGGGGAGGGGAGAGGGGAGGCGGGGAGGGGAAAGGGGGAAGAGGGGGAAGAGGGGGGAAGGGGGGGAATGAGGGTGGGAGGTAGGCAGTGGACCCGCATTCACCACGTACACGCGTGGTGAGGCGGGGGGGAGTGGGGAGGGAGGAGGGGGAAGACAGGGGATGGGGGGGAATGAGGGAGGTAGGCGGTGGACCCGCATTCACCACATACACCACTACCTCTTCCCCTTCTCCCCTCCCGTCTCCTGTGCGTGGTCAGGGCGGGGAGTAGCGGGGAGCGGAGATGGGGGGGTAATCGGGAGTTGAGTAGGAAAGAACAGGCACGTGTACCACGTGGACCACCGACTCCTGCGACAAGAGCGGCGGGAAATGCGGAGGAACCAAGCTGCGAAAGAAAATTCGACGGCTGCACAAACGTCGACGCGAAAATCAGTGCGAAACCAAGAGCCCCGTTACCAGTACAAGCGTTTCGCAAGCTTTGCGTACGCACCGCGTTTCTCGCCATTTTATGCAATTCGCTACGAGGCGCGAGTCACGCCTGGAGCCTTTCTGATTCCCCCCCACCCCGCGGCGCGCCTGGACAAGTCTCGCTGGATAGGCGAAAGCGGGTAACAAGTGGATCCTGGCGTGTTCCACGTGGCTGAAATATCGACCGTGCCAGATGTCAAAACCAGCGCAACAGAAAATACGCCCTCAGCTCGACTCCACGGAGCAGATGTTCTCAATTGTGTTACAAAACAGCATGCGGTTTCGTAAGATGAATTTGCGATATCATACGGTTCCGTGTGGTGAAAAGTACAACATCGAGGCCATGCCGTGTGGGATGTGCGTGGCGAAGGCGAATGCAGCGCTTTGCCGTTCCCATTCGGATTATTTCGTCCACAGCGCAAAGACTTCGTCGCAACAGTACACTGCAATATTACCAGCAAATAATTTACAAAATGAAAACACAAAACACATATATGGGGTATCTTGCTGTAATGTGCCTGTCACAGGTGCATCATCCCCCCACTACTTCCAACCATTTTCCCAATGAAAAGGGTGCCCTCATGTGCACTCAAAGATCGCTTTCCCCGTGCCATTTCTCACTTGCTAAAGATATTCGGAGCACCGCCAAGAGCATCTGCCATGCTGCTTCCACTGCTCATCCCCCCTCGGCAAATTTTTAGGGTTTGCATAGCATCTACACTTGTCACACCGCTCCATCCATGCCATTTATCACCTGCCAGGAGTATCAGGAGCATCACCCATGCCACTGCTGCTCGTATTCTCCGGTCGCTGCAGCAAACAATTAGGCATGAGCCATCGCCCCAACGCCCCACCCGTATTCACCGCCGCCCTTGCCTGCTCCTCCAGAGTATTCACCCGATCATTCAGCAAATCCCTCTCTAGTCTCAGCCTCTTCACCTCCACCCTAGCCGTGTCCAGCGCTCGCAAATACTCCTGCGCTTTCTCCACGCTCGCTCGCGCATGCACCTTATCCCCCTCCGTCTGCTCTATCAGCAAAGCTAGTGACTCCGCCTCCTTCCGAGCCTTCTCCGCCCGCTCCTCCGCGTCGGCCACGGCGCCCCGAAGCTGCTTCTCAGCCTCGGCAACCGCCGAGTCCTTCTCCCGCTTCGCCGCAGCCAACCTATCATTCAAGGTTACCACCTGCTTCAGTAACTCGGTAACCGTCGCCTCTTTCTCCTCCCTCGCCTCTATCAACGCCTGATACAACTCCTCCATCTCCCCATCCATCCTAGCAATCTCTTCTCTCAGCGACTCAACCGTATCCTCCTCCTCCCCCTCCTCCCCATACCCACCCTCCCGCCTCCCCTCCTCCCCTTCACCATCCGCCTTTCTTCTAGGGGAAGGACCGCCATACCGCATGCTACGACCGCCCCCTCCTCCTCTGGGGGACGGCCCTCCCCCTGAGTACAGATGCTCCCTCAGCTCCTGTAGCTCTTTTTCCTTCTCTTCGATGATCTCATCTTTAGCCCTCGCCTCAGCTGATTTCATTATGAGCTCCATCGCTTTCCTCCTCGCCTCCTCCTCCTTTCCTTCCACCTCCTTCTCCAGCCGCTGAATCTCCTCGCTCTTAGCTAAAAGCTCATCGGTCAGACGCTTAATCTCCTGCTCCTTAGCTAGCAGCCCCTGGCTCTTAGCCTTGAGCGCGTTCAGCTCCTCCTGCTTGGCAGTCACTTCCCGAGCCTTCGCCCGAACCTCCGCCTCCTTCTTCCGAACCTCCTGCCCCTTGCCTTCCAGCATCACCCGCTGCTGATCCACCTGCATCAGCAGCTCTGCCTCCCTCCTCTGCATCTCCTCTATAGCAGACTCCGCTAAGAGAACAAACCCAGCTGGAACCGCCCCTGCTGCTGCTCCCAAAGCTCCTGCCCCACCTTCGGCCGCCCCCGAACTCTTATCTAACATTCCCGCACTCTTCCCACCTGCTCCTCCCGCTCCTCCCACTCCTCCCGAGCTCCCAGAAAACTCTTCTTCTAAACTCGCAAGCCTCTCAGCCATTTTCTCTCGCTTCTCCCTCTCCCTCCTCGCCTCCTCCTCCGCCCCCTTCACCTTCCACGTAACTTCCTCCAGCTCGTCCAGCGCCTTCCTAGCAGCTTCCTGTTCCTCTGCCATTCTCCCTTCCGCCTCCTTCACCCTCTCCTCAGCCTCCTTCAACTTCACCCACACCCGGGCCACCTCAGACTGCTCCCACTCCCCACCTCCCGCTTCTCCCCCTCCCCCTTCTCCCCCTCCCGCACCCGCTCCCCTCCCCGCTCGCCCCATCAGCCCATCTCGGATCCTATCCACCTCTTCCTCCGCCTCTCTTACCCTCGCCTCCGCCTTCCTCCATTTCCCTTCGGCCTGTGCCACCTGTCCCCTTAGCTTCGCAACAGCAGTCTCCTTTTCCCGAACCTCTCTCCTGATCCGGCTCTTCTCCATCGCTTCCCGATCCGCCAGCTGCTCCTGGAGAGCCTCGGCGGCAGCTTCGGCGCGCCGCGCCCGAGCCTCAGCTTTGGCGAGCCTCTCCGAGGCTGCAGTTTCGGGCTCGTTGCTGTCACTGCCACCACCATTGCTGCTGCTGGCATCAGTGGCTGCTGTTGCAGTGGTAACTGCTGTGGCTCCTTCCCTACCCTCTCTCCCGTCCATATCTGCTGAGTCCTTCACTCTCTCCCTCTCTGCCTTCAACTCTAACTCAACTGCCTTTACTCTCTCCCTCGCTGTTTTCAGCTCTAGCTCAACTGCCCCAACTCTCTCCCTCTCCGCCTTTACTTCTATCTCCAGTTCTCTCACCCTCCCCAACACCTCCTCCTTCTCCCTCCGCCCCTCCTCCACCTCTTTCCTCGCCTCCCTCACTCTCTCCTCCCACTCCCCCCTCTCCCTCTCACTCTCCTCCAACCTCTTCTCAACCCTCTTCCTCTTCTCCTCCTCCCCTTCCACCCTCTCCTCCAATTTCTCCCTCAATTCCCTCACCTCCCTCTCAGCTTGTCTAGCCCTCACCTCTAGATCCCTCTTATCTTTCTCCAGTTCACCTACCCTAGAATCCACCTCCCCCTCCCTCTCCCTCCCAAGCCCCTCGATCCGTCCCTCCAATTCCCTTCTCCGACACTCCTCCTCTTCCAACCTCCCCTCCATATCCCTCCTCTCTGCCCTCGCTTCCTCCACCCTCCCCTCCATCTCTCCCAGTCTCTCCTCTAACTCCCTCCTCCTCTCCTCCCCTTCCTCCCTCCTCCTCTCCCCCTCCTCCTTCTCCCTCTCAATCTCCTCCAACCTCCTCTCCAACTCCCTTCTCACTCGCTCTAACTCCTCCCCTCTCTCCTCCACCTCTCTCTTCCTCACACTCACCTCCCTCAACTCCCCCTCTACCTCCTCTCTCCTCCTCTCCTCCTCTCTCCACCTCCCTTCCACCTCCTCCCTCCTCACCCTCTCCTCCTCCCTCTCTCCCTCCACCTCCATCCTACTCGCCTTCTCCCTCTCTAAAGCCACTTCCAACTCACTCACTCTCACTCCATCCCTCCTCTCCCCCTCCTCCACAGCCCTTCTCAGTCCCTCAATTTCTCCCCGCGATTCCTCCTCCACCCTCCTCCTTCCCTCCCTTTCCTCCTCCAAGCCCCTCTCCAGCTCCATCCTTCGCTGCTCCAACTCTTCCACTTGCTGCTCCACCCGCCTCCTCTTCTCCCCTTCCTCCTCCCTCTCCTCCCTCACCTTCCGAATCTCCTCCTTCATACGTTCCGTCTCCTCTAGCAAAGATTCCTTCTCCTCCTCAGCTCTCTGCTTCTCCTCTTCCATATCTCGCCTTCCCTCCTCCAGTTTCCTCTTCTTCTCCTCCAACCCTCGAACGGCTTCCCGCAACCCAGCTACTTCCTCCTCTACACCCTCTTTCGCCCCTTCCACCTCCCTCATCCTCCCCTCCAACTCCTCCTTCTCCAACACCAGTCGTTCAATCTCGCCCCTCGCTTCTGCCACTTCCGTTTGAAGCACAGCAAGCGCTGACTCCACTTCTCGCGCCTTCTCCTGCTGCTCGCTAGCCTTCGCTTCAAACTCTCCCGCCCTCTTCTCACTCTCTCCCACTCTCTCCTCCATCTCCCTCACTCTCTCATCTGCCTCCCTCCTCACATCCCCCAACTCCCTCTCCTTCTCCCTCCCCTTCTCCTCCCACTCCCTCACCCTCTCCTTCAACCCCTTCACCTCCCCCTCCAACCTCCCCACCTCCTCCTCTCTCTCCCTCAACCTCCCCTCCACCCTCTCCACCTCCTCCTCCTTCTCCCGCAACCTTCCCCCCACCTTCTCCACCTCCTCCTCTCGCTCCCTCACTCTCTCCTCCAACCCCTCGACCTCCCTCTCTTTCTCCCCAAGCAACCCCATCGCCTTTTCCAATTCCTGATCCAGCAACCGAATTTCTCCCGCCACCCTCTCTCTCTCATCTTCCACTAGAGCTTCAGCAGCAGCCAACCGCCTCCCCATCTCCTCCCTCCCTCGCTTCGATTCTGCCAGAGTCGCTTCAAGCTCAAGCACCCTCTCCTCTAAATACCTGCTATCATTCCCTCCTCCTATCCCCATCCCCCCTCCCAGTCCCATCCCCCCTCCTATTCCCATCCCCCCTGTCTCCTCCCCATCCTCCTCCTCCACCTCCCACGGCCGCCGCCCCTGGCTCTTGCTCTCCCAGCCGCCCTGCACCGCTCCCAACCGTGCCTCCAGCTCCTTTTTCTCGCGGATTAAAGCCTGCATTCGCCCGCCGGCCTCCTCCATAGTAGCTACTAGCTCCTCGTGCTCAATAATTAGGTCGTCTCGCTCCGCCTCTGCTGCTAACATTCTCTCCTCCATCTCCTCTTTCTCTTTAATCGCATCCGCCAACTTCGCCTCTAGCTCCTCCTTCTCTTCCCTCGCTTTAGTCACATCACCCTCCTCCGCCTCGCCCCTCGTCTTCTCCCCGCTGCCTCGTCCTTCGTTTAAGTCACTACCCTCGTTATTATCACCGCCCCCACCACCGCCTCCCCCTCCTTTTGCATTCACCTCCTTCTCGAGCTCTTTCAACCTCCTCTCCATCTCCTCCCTCTCTCTCAACAGTTTCACTCTCTCCCCTCCCATCGCCTCCCTCTCCCTCACCACCTCCTCTCTCTCCCTCCCCATCTGCTCCAATTCCCGCTCAAGCATCCTCACCTTCTCTTCCCACTCCCCTCCCCCTCCCCCACCCTTTCCCCCTGTCCCTCCCCCTCCGCCTCCCCCGTCTCCCCCTTCTCCGCTCTCCCCCACCATGCCCTCTAGCCTTTCCACTTGGCGTGCCAATTCATCCGCTACTCTTTCCGCGGCGGCCGCTTTCCCCTCTAAGTACTTCCCCCTCCCCTCCAAATCCTCCACTTTGCCCTCCAGAGTCTCGCGCTTCGCGCTCGTGGAGATTAATCGCCTCTCCAGCTCCTCTTTCTCAGAGGTAATGGAGATTAATCGCTCCTCCAGCTCCGCCCGCGCCGCGTTCGCCTCGTCCAGTTTCCGCTGGAGGGACTCCGCGTCAGACGCGCCGTCAGATGCGCCGTCGGATGCGGCGTGAGTCGCGGAGTGAGTTGCAGCCGCGTCGAGCTTGGCTTGGAGGGACTCAGCGCGAGATGCGGCGGCAGTGGCGCGGCTGCTTGCTTCGGCAGCCTCTCGCCGCGATTCGCGGAGCTGCTCCTCCTGATGCGATACACAGAGCAGCCAACAAAACGGTTTTAAGAGGACGGCGGAAAAGGGTTAGCTCCGGGTGTGGCAACAAAAAATGGAAAGTTTGGCGGAAACTAGACATACAGGCCGAAAATGGAATCAAGAAGTCGATAATGGGGGACAAGAGCACAATTGGGCGCGGAAAACCACAACTAGAGAGCTTCCAGAGGGAACGAATCTGTACTGATTCGTTCAGAGCAACTTAGAATTGCAGGCTTGAGCTCGATGTCCGGACCAGCGGAAACGAACACTGTAACCCTAATAGCGCGTTCGCCAGCACAAACATGTGAGACCCCTTGTTTTTAGAGGCCCTGCGAAGCCAGACTCCTCTCTCACGAAAAATCAGCACCGTGTCCCTCACGGACACGAACGGAACAGCACCGTAGCTCGAACAGGGTCCGTCGACTTTGACGGACGTCCTCGCGTCTTGTTACCTCGCTATTATCACATCTGATCCTCAGCGGCGTAACCTATAGTCACCAGTTGATTTATGCCTGTCACACTTACCAGCTGCTCGTTCTTAGCTAAAAGCCGCTCCATTTCCTCCGACTGCTCCGCCAATTCCTTCCGCAGTTCAACGGCTTCCGTCATATCCCCTCCGCCGCCTCCCCCCCCGCCGAACCCTCCGCCGAATCCGCCACCGGACATAGGGCTCGGCGCAGATCCCCCGGGGATCGGCGGGCGCGGGGAAGGTCCGGGGAACACCATTCCCCCTTCCCGCGCGTTCATAGATCTTGACGCGCTCAAGAACGGGCCGGGGGTTGCGGGCCCTGCGGATGCATCTCGACCGTTGAGTAACGATGAGCCGTCTCTGAAGGAACGAGAAGGGCCTAAGGACGGGCCAATCGCGCGATTGGTTTGGGATAAGGGGAGCTCATCGGCGTTTCCACGTGGCGTGCTGGAGCCGACACGTGGCGTGGTCGCAGCGGAACGCGGGGTGCTAGCGTCGCGGCGGGGAGTGCTAGGGATGGATCTATCCCTGTTGTGAGCTTTCTTCAGATGCTTTGATATTGCTCCCGTCATCGTGTTACAAAGTTACCGTAACAGCGTTACAAGGTTACCGTAACAAGATCGCCCGTAACGACGATAACCGAGGTCAATTGGGTAACATCCTATTACTAAGGAAAGGGAAGCCTATCTACTATTATATCGATACCTACTGTGTTATGAGAGCATAATTTACGTCCTCTATAAGACAAGCTTCAACACCGTTACAAGGTGAAACGGACGTGGAAGGGAGTGACCAGACGCGAACCCTAGTACGAAAGGAGGGTCGTCCAGGGATTACAAAGCTGACATTCACAACCCTAAAGATTCAAAACTATAGTAGCAGTAGGACTTATGCTCCTGGTAATTCGTCCCAAGAAGATGGAAGAGCGCAGCGATGAGGCCAACGGGATGAAGTCTTGTCTGCTAATTGGCACAACCTAACCTCCTCACGCAGAATCCGCCATAGCCGTCGATTTCCGGGAAAGTCAAATGCGTAGCTGCACACTTCTGCTTACAATCTACTGCTTTAGTAACTGAAAAACTGCATTCATCGGTTCGCTGTGGGCAGTCTTGGCATGGCATGGATGGCAGCCATAGCTGCAGCACAAGACAACGAATAGGTGATTCGAAAGCACAGGATTGGCTGGAAACTCATGTCAGGAGCCTGAAAGCGTGTCCATCGACCGCGTCTCATTCCCAATCAAGCATCAGAATGCCGCATACGCTCCAAAGGACGACCTACGTTCGTCTATGATTCAGAGAGTCAGGGGCCACAACGTGTTAAAAATCGCGTTCCAGTTTTCAATTTGTGAATTTCTAAAACAGAAAACGCTCTTCAAGACTCATCGGTTCAAATTTCACTCCGCTCTGCCTACAACCTTCACCCTCAGAATGACCATCCATTTTGTGGGCAGTTGCCCGCAGAAGTTTTATTTTCATCAGCCTTCAACTTGCTCCTAATGTGTTTTCTTTTGGAAAATCCAGATATGCATTCAATTGCGAAGGTCTCATGCAGGCCCTCATTTATCAGCCTAAAACACGCTGATTTCGCTGATTATGCAGCTGTTTTTTTTGTATTCATGAAAATTCAGTATGTTGTATACTTCATCAAACTACGGCGCACTGTATGGTCGACCGCCTGCTAGCGTTGCATAGAGGAGCCGCGCCAACACTGTAGAAAGGCGACTTGCCAACACTATAGGTCGACGGCGTGCCAACGCTGCAGCAGAGTGGTTGTTCAGTGTTGCCCCGTAGAAGACAGCAGTGCGCACGCTCGCAGATGTGCGCAGACGTTTGGCCCGACTTGCATCGTTGTGCATCCGTCGGCTGTTGTCTGCGCCTGACGAGCCACATCGACTTCGGGATACCAACCCGAAGTCGCCTTCGTCACCGCGACCTCGACGACGTTCGCGTTGTCGAAGAAAAATGCCCCGCCCTCGCTTGGGCGCAGCCGATCTCGCCGTCGACGCGAAGTTCGCGACGGATTGGTCGACGAAACGGGCTTCTGCAGTTCGACAGAAGTTGCGGTCGAGCTGTCTCTGCTCGACAAGATCCGGTCGACGAGCTCCTCGCGACGAGCTTCGGTCGACGATCTCTGCGCGACGAGCTCCGGTCGAAGAGCGCTGGTTGACGATCCTGGTCGAGGAATTCTGGTCGAAGATTTCGGGCCGAGGAGCTCTGCTCGGCGAACGTTGTTCGACCGATCGATGTCAAGCTGATCGACCGAAGTTGCAGAGTTGTGCGAAACTATGCGGAGGCGTGCGAACTTTCGCCCTGGAGGTTTTGGCGAAGTTCTACATGCGGAACGGCATCATGTGGTCGACGGTGCGTACCTGGCGAAACCGACGACACGTTTTCTACCTGGCACCTGCGCAATGTGCCTGGCGGTGAAACCGTCAACCTGCACCTACTTGGTAGGTGCGCACATATGCTCAGATAGACAACCAGCGACTGCAGATAGTTACCTGCGATTGTAGTGCTGGCAGACCGCGCGCAGTGCAACACTGGCAGACCACTCTGCTGCAGCGTTGGCAAGCTGCTCTTCTGGTGCGCTGGCAGATTTCGCCCTTGCTAGGTGTTGCATGCCATTCTAGTCCTTTTGCATGCCTCAATTGTACTATCAACTTTTCAATGCAAGTTGTTCTTTCAAACTTTCCTTAGTGGAATTCTTGCCAAACTTCTTTGTGAACACAAGCAAGCAGTAAGAACGCTAGTGCAAGCTACGATCACTCGCACAACCTCGTGCCCTCCACCGTAGTCCACTCCCGTTATGTAGTGACTCTCCGCACGCGTGCCCCCCCAGAACTTGCCGAGCAGGTTACCCGGTCGACCTGGTCGACCACCAAGTGCTCTGGTCGACCACCAAGTGCTCTAGTCGACCACGAGGTGCCTCTGGTCGACCACCAGGTGCCTCTGGTCAACCACAGCTCCCGTCGAGCTACCCCCTGGTCGACGGGCCCCTCCGTCGACTAGCATTGTCAGCTGTTGTCGGCGAGCTCCCCTCGTCGACCGCTGCTCACATATCAGGTCGATTGACTGCTCCGTCGACCTCCCGGTCGAACTGCTCCTCCTGGTCGACGGCCTACCCGTCGCCCAGCCCAGTTGGCTGTAGCTGTCGAGCTCCCTGGTCAACGGCTCCAGCCCCATGACAGTCCTGTGCAGGTCGACAGTAACCTCGTCGACCTGCCCCGCAGAAGAAGGCCGTCGAGCACTCCTGGTCGACGTCAACACCATAGTGATCCCTTGCAGCTCGACGAAGCCCGTCGAGTAGCTCCTTCACTGCAAACGGTAGGCTGCTTCTCCCGTACATTAGACCAAGTCGCCGGCGTTGCCCAAGCGAGGGCGGGGCCAAAATTCAACTCCCGTTAACAGTTTCTCGGGCACATGGTGAGTGCCGAGGGCGTTCACGTGGACCCTCGGAAGATCGAAGCTGTCAAGAAGTGGAAAGTACCGGAGAACATCAAGGAGTTGCAGCAGTTCCTAGGCTTCGCAAATTACCACAACAGGTTCGTGCCACAGTACGCTAAAATAGCAGGGCCACTGACGAAATTACTGAAAAAGGATACGCCCTATAGATGAGATACTCCTCAACAACAAGTTAAGGAGCAGCTACTGACATAACTGACTACTGCCCCAGTACTCATCCAACCGGATCCAGAGAAAGACTACGTGGTGAGTTTAAGTTATATGTTCACACTGTTTTTCACCTTAACCAGCTACGCTACTAACTATATGTGTAACTAGAATATGTTATGCACTGATGTATCAGCAAACCTGCCAGCACATCACCGAAATTCAGGGTAAACTGTTCAGCTAGCACTGATACATCACTGTAAATTTGTTTGTTTTTTTTTTAGGTGCAGCACTGATTGATCAATGTGCCTTGAAACCAATATGAGGGCATGGTTTCATGAATCCTGGTCCTAGAAACCATTGTTTTCATAATAAAGGCTCTACTAAAGTTTTGGCTAGAGTAAAACATATACGTAACAATTTAAGAATATAGTTACATGCCAAATACTATATATGGGGCATAAGTGAATGCTCGTTATTGCTATTCCCTATCCTCGGATGGGGTATCGAATGGCAATCAAGCTCTATGGCATGTGAACGGACTAAGGGGAGTGGAAGGAGTTCTAATGGAGCCAGGCACACTCATATCGTATGCGGCAAAACCTATGCCTTTTGGCCGTCGTGGTTCAATATTGTTGTCGTTATTGGACTTTAAAGGCCAGCAAGATTTGTGCAAGGATCAGTTGGGGTACCTCGAAGCGGGAGAAGGTGAAGTTACTAAATATTTGCTCGTAGTGAACATTCTAGATAACCTTGACGGCAGCCTCCACACGGAGCCTCCAATGTACAGATTGACCAGCCGTGGAGGGGAGGGGGAGGAGGATGATATAATTCGGGTGAAGCAACCGAAGTGGCGGCTTGCTGCTAATATCAGTGTAGAGGTGGTGCACTGAGCGATACTGCATTTGAAGGACAATGGGAGATGCTCTCTACCTCGTCACTTGCACAAATATTGGAACGCCCTCTGGCCGTCGTGAACAGAAACCATGCACTGGAGGGGAGAAAGCGTGTTCAGAATAAGAAGAGATGCCACATTGAAAACTTTGTTGCTTGCAAACGAAGTCATGAGAGAGATCGGGGATCACTGGAGGAGCAGGTGAAGAAAGGCCGCAAGTTCATTGAGCTTCTCAATCGAGGGGTTGTTGGATGTAGGGCAGGCATTGGATGGTAGCGATGCTACGGGTTCCATCTTGTAGAAGCTGCTAACCCTGCACCAGTGTGTCAACCCAATGACCCTGGGTACGGACTGCCGCTACATCCTTGATGTGAAAGCCGCCGGAGCCAATGAAGCCTGTAGCATGAAGAGGCTGGGGAGGATTTGGTGTAAGGTAGCAGACAGGGAGGGGGGAGGGGTCAACAACAGCACTTTCAATTATTGCACAAATAGTGGAACGCCCTCTGGCCGTCGTGAACAGAAACCATGCACTGGAGGGGAGAAAGCGTGTTCAGAATAAGAAGAGATGCCACATTGAAAATTTTGTTGCTTGCAAACGAAGTCATGAGAGAGATCGGGGATCACTGGAGGAGCAGGTGAAGAAAGGTCGCAAGTTCATTGAGCTTCTCAATCGAGGGGTTGTTGGATGTAGGGCAGGCATTGGATGGTAGCGATACGGGTTCCATCTTGTAGAAGCTCCAACATCGCTGCTAACCCTGCACCAGTGTGTCAACCCAATGACCCTGGGTACGGACTGCCGCTACATCCTTGATGTGAAAGCCGCCGGAGCCAATGAAGCCTGTAGCATGAAGAGGCTGGGGAGGATTTGGTGTAAGGTAGCAGACAGGGAGGGGGGAGGGGTCAACAACAGCACTTTCAAGGCGACGGAAGAGGAGAAGTGAAGCTCATTTGGCGGGATAAACCAATCACCTAGGATAAACAAATCATCTGGGAAGGGGGATTTGTGGACCGCGAAGCACCATGAACATATGATAGCCGCAAAAACCTCCCGTGGATCCATCGGCCAGATGGAGGGAATTAGGGAAATGTCTAGGCTCAGATATGGCACATGAACAGGCACGAACAGTGTGGCCCACCTTAACCTGATGGGAGATAATAAATATTTCACGTTGAGGGAGCCTGACGGGTTTGCTTTTAGTATTTAGAATAAAATGGTTGCAAGCGGTGGGCTTAGCGTGAAGGTTGAGGGGGGAATGATGCTAGGAAGAGACTATAGTGGGAGAGAGAGAGAGAGAGAGAGAGAGAGAGAGAGAGAGAGAGAGAGAGAGAGAGAGAGAGAGAGTGAGAGAGAGAGAGAGAGAGAGAGAGAGAGAGCTGGGATGGGAAACTGAAAAAGCGCGCAAGGGATGGCGGAAGGTAGGACGTAGGTTTGAAGGATGGCCGCCAAACGGGAGGGGAATGGTGGAGTGAGACCCCAAAACAGCAAAGCACACGTTGAATCAAAAGAGCACATACCGTATCACCCCGGATAGAAGCGCAGGCCTATTATAAGCGCATGCGCTTCTATCTGGAGCAATGCGCTTATGGCCGATCCTCAATTATAAGCGCACCCCCTGTGAAAACGTTACTTATTATAAGCGCATGTACAATTTTAAATTAAAATTTCTGTTCGAAACGGTAGCGAGTTTCAATTTTGAAGCGAGTACAATCTCATTTTCGCTGAGTTTGACTCTCGAAGACCTGACTGGCTGCGCGTCCAGTCAGGATGTGCTGGCATGACTGCAAAGTATCGCATCTTGGCCCCTGTGTGCTGGAAGAGAATCGCTTGCAGGAGATTCTGCATTGTGACGCGAAAATTTTTGACTCGGTTGAAATGGCAAGAGTGAAACATACAATTTGGTGCCTTCAATTTATAAATTCGTATATGTCATTATATAAGCGCATGCGCTTATAAAAATGACTCAATTAGAAGCGCACCCCCCTAAAAAACTCTGCTTTATTATAAGCGCAGGTGCGCTTCTATCCGGGGTAATACGGTATCAGGGTGGAGAGGGCAGTGACACCAAGTCCCCCATGGTTCTACGACCCGAAATACTTGGAGTGGATGGCTTTTGAGGCACCTCAAAAGGCAGTGGCACCAAAGGCCCCCATGTTTTCACGACCCGAGATACTTGGAGAGGATGGCTTTTGAGGTGCCTCAAGAGGCAGTGGCAGCAAATGCCCCCATGTTTTCACGACACGAGTAACTTGGAGAAGATGACTTCTGAGGCACCTCAAAAGGACCAAAGCCCCCCATGTTTTCACGACCCGGCCCAACTTGGAGAAGATGGCCCAACGGGCAATGCCAAACAATCCCGTTGAGTTTTGGAACATGAATGGCACCTCGTAAACTAGCCTCTCCCATCTTCATACAGTACCATTCAGCGTTATTTTTTAAAAAAGAGTATATGAATATGAGAGCGCTGACAGAATTAGCAATAAAATCGAATTCCCAATATATGCCAAGAAGCATCGTTATTTGCATTCCTACCGTAATTGCCCTAGGCAAAGCCCTTCACTAACTGATTCCTACCTCCTCCCCATTCTACGGGCAAAATCTCTATTCCTCCTGTTTTCCACCTCTCCAGTCTCACCATCCCATCATGCTGGGGAAACCTGGAGAGGAAGAAAACAGAAGATTCAAGAGCAAGCTCACACCAGAAGTCATCAAATCAAAAGTTTCAGCTCAAAAAGTCGATTCCACTCCTTCGCCTGCTTCTGTTCTCTCCATTCCATCCATTTCAAAAGTCGCCAGACCTCCTGAGTCCTCAGCAATCACTACACGCTGACTCAGTTGCGATGACGACGGGGTTGGTCTTACTGCACCAGAAATAACAGCTGGTTGCTCAGCTGGTAATGCATCTGCTGCTGCAGGATAAGCCGCACCTGTAGCGGCAGGTCGTGCAGACATTGTAGAATCGATCCCTCGCAGCAGCGGCGTCGGATGGTCGTATGAACCCGCAACCATGGCGAGGATGCTTCTTGTGTCAATGAATGAGCTCGGTATGTGCTCCGCGATGCCAATCAGCTGATTCGAGAAGAGCTGCTGCTGCCCGTGCTGCTGCTGTTGGTGCTGCTGCTGCGGCTGAAGATGCTGCTGGTGCTGGTGTTGCTGTTGTTGCTGGTTCTGCTGCTGCTGCTGCTGGCGCTGGTGTTGCTGCTGTTGCTGGTTCTGCTGTTGCTGCTGGTGCTGGTGCTGGTGCTGGTGCTGGTGCTGGTGCTGGTGCTGGTTCTGGTTCTGGTTCTGGTTCTGGTTCTTGTTCTTGTTCTGGTTCTGGTTCTGCTGCTGCTGCTGCTGCCGCTGGTGCTGGTGTTGCTGCTGTTGCTGGTTCTGCTGTTGCTGCTGGTGCTGTTGTTGCTGCTGTTGCTGGTTCTGCTGTTGCTGGTTCTGCTGCTGCTGCTGGTGCTGGTGTTGCTGCTGTTGCTGGTTCTGCTGTTGCTGCTGCTGCTGCTGGTTCTGGTTCTGGTTCTGGTTCTGCTGCTGCTGGTGGTGGTGCTGGCGTTGCTGCTGCTCCTGTTGCTGCTGCTGGTGATGGTGCTGGCTCTGCTGCTGCTGCTGCTGCTGCTGCTGCAGCACCGTGTGCTGATCCCTAACCTCATTCTCCTGCTTTACCTGTGTCCCTGCCGGCTGCTGCAACGGCAGTAACCATTCACCACCGCACACCTCTTCCACCATTGCAGAAAAGCCGCTCCTGCTGTCCCCATGCATATAGATCGTCGCGTTTTCAGCTACACTATGAAACTGACATCCCGAACCACAATTAGCCGTCACAGCAGCATCACCACCTATCGTTGTGGCCTCATTACCTACGCAAATCGGATTGCTCCTCATGCTGTTTGCCATGCTGTTCCCAGAATCATAGGTGGGGGGCATGTGTGCACAGTCACAGGTGCAGCACGGGGCATTTTGGCCAGTATCCAAGGTCCAAGGGAGAGGCTGCTGCTGCTGGTTCTGCTGGTTCTGCTTATTCTGCTGCTGCTGGTTCTGCTGATTCTGCTGACTCTGCTGCTGCTGATTCTGCTCCCACTGCTTCTGCTGCTGCTGATTCTGCTGATTCCGCTGATTCTGCTGTTGCTGGTTCTGTGGATTTCGCCAATGTTGTTGTTGCTCCTGCAGTGGGTGTTCACAACCGACTGCCGGCAAGTTCTGCACTTGCTGCTCCTGCTGCTCCTGCTGCTTCACTTGGGCATGTAGGCTCGCACCTTGCAACAAGGGCACTTGCTCCTGCGCATGCCAGTTCTGCTGCTGCATCTGCTGCAATTGTTGCTGCGGTTGCTGCTGATGCAATTGTTGCTGCTGCTGCTGCTGCTGCTGCTGCTGCTGTTGTTGTTGTTGCTGTTGTTGCTGCAGCTGCTGCATTTCCTGCTGCTGCGGCTGCTGCAGCTGCTGAAAGTGAGTTCCGTGCTGCTGCAGTAGGTGCATGCCAAGCAGCTGCATGAGGTCTCCCCCCTGCAGCATCGGGTCCGAGGGCCCCAGGCTACACTCCTCGTTCAGCAGCTGGTTCAACACATCCACAGACACTCCGGGCACGCCAGGAACCCCGGGAGCGAAGGGAACACTGGGAATGTGAGGAACGGCGCCAATGCCAGCGATAGCAGACATGCCAGGAACTGAAGGAAGGGCAACAACACCAGACCCACCAGACACGCCGGCAAGGCTAGAAACGCCAGGAGGGTTAGAAAAGGCTGGGACCACAGGAATGCTGGGAAGGTCAGGAAGGTTGGAAAGCCCACTCATGATCCCTTGCGCTAGAGTCGCTCCTGGTAGAACTCCATCCATGCCTTGTGCCAGAGATGCTCCCTGCATGGCTCCACCAGGCATCCCCTGTGAGAGCGACCCTCCTGGTATACCACCCATCCCCTCTTGTACCAGATACACTCCTCCTGGGGGGCCACTCTTCATGCCACCTCCCACCACCTCCTGCATTCCGCCAATGCTGCTCCCGCTGCCGCTGCTGCTTCTGCCCTCCTGCTTTACCGGCAGCACTGCTGCTGCTGCTGCCCCGCCTTGTTGCTCTGCTGAAGAAGGCGCAGCAGAGAAGGGAGATGGGACGGATGGGTTGGAGTGCAGGGGAACGTGAAAGGTCCCCACGGTTGCTGGCACTGCTGCTGCTGGAGGGGTGAGGGAGCGTGGGGCGGCTGGGTTTGAGTGAGGTGGAGGTGGGAGGGGAGTGGAGGTGCGTGTGGGAGGGGACGACAATGGGGTGGTTGAATAGGAAGATTCGTGGAAGGATTGGCTTCTGTTGGGATGAGGGAGGGTGGAGAAGGGTTGGTTCTGCTGCCAAAGCTGTTGCTGCTGCTGGGGCGGCTGCTGCTGCTGCTGCTGCTGCTGCTGCTGCTGCTGCTGCAATGGTGGCTGTTGCTGCTGCTGCTGCTGCGGCGGCAGTGACGGCGGCGGCCACTGCTGCTGCTGCAGCTGCTGATACGCTTGTGGCATCGATTCACGCAGCAAGCCCTGAGCCACCTGCCACTGCTGCGGGAACTGTGCTTGAGTGGACTGTATTTGTGGAGACCGCAGGGAGTGTATCAGCAGCAGCTGGTTCTGCTGTGACTGCTGTGCTTGCGGCTCGGGAAGATGCTGTTGCTGGGGCAGCAGGTGTGGCTGCTGCTGCTGCTGCTGCTGCTGCTGCTGCTGCTGCTGCTGCTGCTGCTGCTGCTGCTGCTGCAATGGTTGCTGTTGTTGCGATGGCTGCTGTTGCTGCAATGGCTGCTGTTCCCGAAAGGGATGCTGTTGCTGCTGGAACATTGGATAGTTTTGCTGGTTTTGTTGAACCACCAGGCTTTGCTGCTGCTGCTGCTGCTGCTGCTGCTGCTGTGGCTGAACATTTAGCTGATAATGCTGCTGCTGCTGTGGCTGAACATTCGGCTGATAACGTTGCTGCTGTTGCTGCTGCCACTGCTGCTGTCGGTTCTCAGTTGTCTGCAGCGACCGCATCTGTTGCTGCTGCATCTGATGCCCCGGCTGCATTCCCTGAGCTCCAGTCTGCTGCTGTTGCTGTTCCAACTGATGCACTTCACTCTGCGCCCACGAGCCATACGCTTGCACTGCTCCCATCATCCCTTGTACTTGTTGCTCTCCCGCCCCTGATATGCCACCGCCCGGCCCTAAACTGGACCCACCATGCAGCCCCGACGCAGATGCAGCGCATCTAGACGCATCGACACCTGCACCGCCTGCCATGGACGCCATGAGCATGGAGGACAGTTGAGGCGCCCCAAGAATTGTGTCGTTGGATGCAGCACATATGGACGCATCGCCACCTGCACCTCTTGCCATATGTGCCGAGGGCATGGACGATAGTTGAGGCGCCCCGAGAATTGTCTCGCCACGTGCAGGAGGTGGTGGGGAGATGTAGCTGTTTCTTATGGCGTCACGAGCCAGGCACAGAAAGGAAGAAGCCGCAGGAGCAAGAGCAGCGGCAGAAGCGGTAGGTGCAGCAGCAGCAATGGCTGCGGTGGCAGCAGCGACGGCAGCAGTGGTGCTAGTGGCAGCAGCAGTGGCAGTGGCAGTGGCAGTGGCAGCAGCAGCAGCAGCAGCAGCAGCAGCAGGAGCAGCAGCAGCGGTGGCCGGAGCAGTGAGAGAAGGTGGGGGTGTCATTTGCTCCCTTCGAGCATCCATCACGTCACATGCAGCCACTGCAGCAACAGTATCGCGAAAATCTGCGGCGGTAACAGGGTTACCACTAGGAGCGCTGCTGCTGGTGGGAGTGGTTGTCGCATTGGCAGGATAGACCGGAGTGGTAGGAGTGGTGGGCTGCGAGGGATGCGTGGGGTGCGTGGGTTGCGAGGGGTTGAGGGTGAAGGGTTCGCTGTGTAGCAGTGGTGGGTGGTTGTGCTCTCCCACGTATGAGAGGCCCAGAGGCCCGTCAGAAGCGATTTTGTTGAAGTCGACGATGCGCTTGGCCCGGCACTCGTGCGATGAGTCCCTCTGTGCGCAGCAGAAGTAGTGCCTGGGGGAAGGAGTGAAGAGGAAAGCAAGGGGAGTGACGGGAAGCAGGAAGGGGAAGAGGGAGAACGGGGAGGGAGAAAGGGGAAGAGATTGAGAAAGGGAAGGGTTCGCTGTGCAGGAGCGGCAGGTGGTTGTGCTCTCCCATGTATGAGAGACCCAACGGGCCGTCAGAGGCGATTTTGTTGAAGTCGACGATTCGCTTGGCCTGGCACTCGTGTGATGAGTCCCTCTGTGCGCAGCAGAAGTAGTGCCTGGCGGGGAAAGGGTTCGAGGGGGAGAGGGCACGGAGGGGAGAGAGAGGGCATGGAGGCCGAGAGGGTTGTCAGAGGCGATTTTTCTAAAGTCGACGATTTGCTTGGCCTGGCACTCGTGCGATGAGTCCCTCTGTGCACAGAAAAAGTACTGCCTGGGGGGTGTAAAGGGGGGTGGAGTGGGAGGGAGGTGGTAGGGGCGAGGGAGAGGGGAGGGAGAAGGACAGGGAGAAGGGGGAAGGAGAGAGGGAGGGCGGAGAGGTGGGAAATGTGGGAAGGAGGGAGGAGGTGGAGATCCGAAGGGAGAGACACGGACGCAATCTAGTAGAAGTCCATGATTCGCCCCTCGTGCACAGTAGTTGGCATGGCACTCGTGCGATGAGTCCCTCTGTGCGCAGCAGAAGTAGTGCCCGGAGAGGAGGGAGAGGGCATGGAGGGGAGGGAGGGACCGAGAGGGCCGTCAGAGGCGATATTGTTGAAGTCGACGATTCGCTTGGCCTGGAACTCGTGCGATGAGTCCCTCTGTGCGCAGCAGAAGTAGTGCCTGGCGGGGAAAGGGTTCGAGGGGGAGAGGGCACGGAGGGGAGAGAGAGGGCATGGAGGCCGAGAGGGTTGTCAGAGGCGATTTTTCTAAAGTCGACGATTTGCTTGGCCTGGCACTCATGCGATTAGTGCCTGGGGGGTGTAAAGGGGGGTGGAGTGGGAGGGAGGTGGTAGGGGCGAGGGAGAGGGGAGGGAGAAGGACAGGGAGAAGGGGGAAGGAGAGAGGGAGGGCGGAGAGGTGGGAAATGTGGGAAGGAGGGAGGAGGTGGAGATCCGAAGGGAGAGACACGGACGCAATCGAGTTGAAGTCCACGATTCGCCCCTCGTGCACAGTAGTTGGCATGGCACGCGTGCGATGAGTCCCTCTGTGCAGCAGAGGTGGTGCCTGGGAGAGAAATGTAGTGAGGAAGGGGGCTCAGGGAAAGCAGGTTGAGAGGGAGGTGGGAGAAAGGGTTATCCCCGCCCATATCAAGCAGAGACAAGGGTGGGAAGACGCTTTCCGGGCTGATGCCTGAGCTGCTAAAAGCTCAAAATCACGGCCTTGATGCGGACCCTAAACCCTTGCCTCCAGCAAGCATCACATGGTACAAGAAGTGCATCATCTATCAGGTACTTATTAAGTGGTATTTGTGTCAGCCGGATGAGAAAGAACTAATCAGAAGCACTATCGAGTCACCTGGTCGTGACCATTGGTGTTGGCTCCACATGCTCTTACCGCGCGTACACTCCGCCTGATAGCTCCTTCTGCCTGTACTTGAGCCACACGTAGCCGTTACGAGGGAGGCGATGCGGAGAAAGAACCAGTCTGAACTAAAGCACTCCCGATACCTGGTTCTGACCACTGCTGTTGGCTCCACATACTCTTACCGCGTGTACACACCGCCAGACAGCTCCTTCTGCCCGTACTTGAGCCACACGTAGCCCGTTGCTTGCAAGGGTGTCGGTGAGAACGAACCAGTCTGAAGCACTAGTGGTTCACCTGGTTCTAACCTATCGTACTGGCTCAACCTGCTCTTACCGTGTGTAGATTCCGCCAGACAGTTCCTTCTGCCCGTACTTGAGCCACACATAGCCGTCGCGAGGCAGCCGATGCTCGAAGAGAACCAGCTTGGACCGCTTCTTGCCTCTCCTGCTTTGGGAGCAAAGAGGGGTTTTGAATGGGTGGAGTGGGGTGGAGTTGGGTGGAATCTGATGGAGTGGAGTGGAAGCACACCCGAGGGAGCCGATGCTAAAAACAAACCAGCTTGGACAGCTTCTTGCCTCTCCTGCTTCGGGAGCACAGAGGGGTAGGGTGGAGTGGAATGTGATGGAGTGGGGTGGAGTGGATTCCCATGCGTGCTGCTGCGGCAGTGCTCGAAGAAAACCAGCTTGGATCGCTTCTTGCCTCTCCTGCTTCAGGAACACAGAGGAGTTATCGAATGGGTGGAGAGGGGTTGAGTGAGGTGGAACGGGGTGGAGTGAGGTGGAGTGGGGTGGAGTGAGGTGGAATGGGGTGGAGTGGGTTCACATGCGTGCTGCTGCAGCTCGAAGAGAGATTGGGCCATTATTTTGCCTCTCCTGCGTTACAAGCACAGAGGGACTGAAGAATGGGGTTCGGTGGGTTGGGGATGGGCTGGAAAGAGGGGGGGGGGGGGGGGGGGGGGGAGAGGAGGGGAGGTGGAGGGTGGAGCCGCAGGCATGAGCAGGTGGTAGCATCCCGAGGAAGCAGACCAGCTGCGGCCGCTACTTGCTTCTCCTGCTTTATAGGAACGCCATGTTCTGTTCGTGGGGGCACTTCGAGGCGCATCAAAACTCGTCTCCTGGTTCAAACGAGCGTGTACTGCCCGTGGAAGAGTAGCAGCATTGCGTGGCCTCCACGCGTCTGGCAAGGCTGAATCGTGGCAGGAGAGCGTACAGATTTAAATGTCGCAGCAGGACACAAAGACAGGAGGCAGCAGAGACTTTTGAGTTGACTCAAGAGTCACCTCGTGCTCTGCTCCTGCCCGTGGGAGAGCAGCAGCATTGCTTAATCGCCACGCATCTGGCAAGGCATGCATCGCAGCAGCAAAGCGTACAGAATTCAATCTCGCAGCAGGATACAAAGGCAGCGGCAGGAGGCAGAGCCTTCAGCAGAGCAGAGCCGCGGCAGAGCAACGCAGGGCGTGCAATGCGCTGCATTGCATGGCATGGCGCCGCAGCTGAGAGAATAAGTTGCTCAAAAGGTATTTAAGACTCGGCGAGTCTGAGAACGGATCCTTGAGTTGGTCGCTTCCACGGGTCAAATTTGGAAGGCCAGATTTTCCACGATGGACGATATAGTGCGTGATTCACGTCTGTCTGGATTACAGAAAGCAGCCGGATTCGTGACAGCCGGACTCTTGACAGCAGTTTCCGCATTCTACTTTGTTCATTGCGGCCACGTGAAGTCTTAGAACCTATTTCAGAATTGTCCGCGGCTGGGCCACATTGATTCAGATTGGCCCATAAAGTTTCCCTAAGACACTTCTGTTAGGTCATCGACATTCGAGAGCTTGGGGGGAGGAATCCGTGTGACAGCCTGCCAATTTCGGCGGCGAGATACTTACACCTACGAACAGGATCAGATACATCATGAGTCATCTCTAACCTAGATCTCAGAGGGTAGTGGGGATTGTTTTTTCGAAGCCACAACAGCTATTCGAGATGTTTTTCGATATTATTCTTCTCACACCGCAACATCGCCAGGGGGGCTTCACCTTGCATTGTGTGTTTCCGCAGCGGCACCGGCAAAGCCAGCGTACCGCAGCCTGACTCCCGCTTGGCGCGCTGCTAGCACTCCTCGTGCTATGCGTTGATCCATCCGTCCTCGATCCATGGCCGTCCGATCCTTCTAACATTGAAGCAGCTGAGCGTTTGCTAGAAGATTTTCGTAGTTCTGGCTGACTGGGACGGGGAGGCGAGGCAATGTCACCGTTTTTCGCGGAAATAAGCGGGAGACATTCAGAATGAGTGTGAGTTTTATTGACCGCCATTTCGGCTGTAGTTCCTAAGTCTAGGTTTTGCTGCTCGTCGCTAAGTAGAGATGCATCGTCTGTTGTCATTCTCATCGTGAAAGTAGGTAATAGCAGGGGCTTCGACTGTGCAAAGGTGTGCGTGTGCCTAAGGATGCTGTACCCTCCGACACACATTTGTGTGGACTGAAATTTCTCTAATGCGGCATGGAGGCGATGCTTACAGCTAGGGTGGTGGTTGTGCAAGACCAAGGTCGGAAATGGTGAAGATGGTGGAAGAGGTGTAAGGCACACTTATTTTAGCCCCATTTTGTGTTTCTTGCTACCCTGCAGCAATGGAGGTAAGGTTAAGGTCGAAGGGGGGGGGACCCCCTTTGGTGTACCCACACCTGGCTGTTGATCATTGTCCGCCTCGCCAGGTTAAAGGGGTCGAGCGTGTATGTTGAGGAAGCATGCGTTTTTGGAGAAAAAAAATATATAACACGGACAGTTCGGGTGGTACCAAAAAGGTTAGCAGCATAAATATTTAACGACCCGATCGCGACTTGCCCACAGGGACCCAAGATTTAGCTAAGCAGATATCTGATTGTACGCTGATCAAAACTGGAAAGAAACATAATTTTCTGGAATGTAGCATATTTGTGTAATTTCTGGAAGGTGGTACCTAAACAAACACATTGACGCAAGAACAATATCAGCTGCAAAGGCAAGAAGAACACGGTGGTCTCGTTGCTACGGACAGACCCTGCCGGGACAAAGTACAGCACAGCAACGAGTGGGGTAGGACACTTTTGTACACTATCGGCCAGCAGTACCTGTTTTGAGAGGAGAACTTCGCAGTAATCATTGCAGGAACGAGTTGGTACACTGTATAAAAGAGAAAGCGCGTTTCCAAGGTGGGGATCCTCAAGATCGTCAAGGTGAGGACCCTCAAGACCCTACCCCACACACGAGCTAGACACATACTTTTGTGGGGTAGAATCAAGTGCCAGGTCGTGAACGAAGTGGAAGGTTGATGGATGTGGTCCACACAACAATGCACTGATCTTTGTTTTGGACTGATGTCTTGAGTCGGATACGTTAAGTGCCATAAACAGAGAATAAACTGTTAGACGATGGATCCGGCTCACATCGTGAACACTGAAAACACAAGCAAAGGTTTGGACAGAGCGCTCTACCTTGCAATATGGCAGCTGTGTGTCGTCGACACTTGTTTAACCAGCTAAACACATGTCTGTTCTGTGCTGTATTTCTCTTCATGTTGGACGCACACATGATTAGTGGGGAGGTTCCACATGAAACCAAAGGGCAGAAATTGTCACAAACTGTAAGCAACCTGCTCAACGGGATGGCACATTACTGTTTCAAAACGTTTCTCCTTTGATCAGATGTATCCACGACGACGATTCCAGCAACTGGGGAGAGTCGACAAGAGTTGGGCAACTGTTGCTTGCATGTTCCAGACTTCCTGCCCACATGAACTACACTATATGCTCACTTACGGAACAAAAATCGTACGCTCATTTCCGCCCAGATTCTGAACACACCTGCGACATACATCTCACTTACTTGTAGCGAACTTGTCATGAACATTGGTTGCATAAGAGCCATACCAGGTTACAAAATTTCTCATTTTATATCATTAGGATCTGACTATCGATGGTTTAGGCCTGGTTTAAAAGTATAAGAAAATCTGTGCTGGTCTCTATACATGTCTGGTCTAGTCCATCGGCATCAGTAGAGTTTAAAACAATTAGTGTAGTACGGTCAAAAATTCCGCAACAGTCCGTTTGTGCGAGTCTGTCTGTCTGGGTAATCACTGATCGCACGTTTGTATGAGTCTGGATGATCACACGTGCCTTTCCGGCATGATTTTTATCCCTTTGTTTTGGACTTTTTGGGCTTTAACGACAACATTAATGAAGGTGGCAAAGCTCCTCCGTAAGTGCTGGTTTCCGCAACTGCTCACCAAATGTTTGTCTGTAGCTCGTTTGCGCACGTGGAGGAATATATGTTAAAGTAGAGAGAGTTAGAGAGAGTTAAAAGAAAATAAGTAAAAACGCTTGTGCGACCAAGTATTGTTGCGAACCACCGCAAACACTATAACAAACTCCTCTGGTTCTCACCGAAGTGGCGTGGGGACGCCGTGTGCAATCATTTGGTTTCGAGTAGGCACATCGAGGACCCCTCTGGATCACAACGCAAGTCATTTCCCACTGGACGACTTGCAATGCCAGTGACAACATGCAATCCGGGGAACAGCTAGTCCATCTCCTATGAGTTTGCTAGGTATTTTTGTCCATAGAGCCGCGGGGCTTGGGCGATGAGAAAATTGCACTAAACAACCGCATGCGGTCATACCTCTGTTGGGCCTCAATCTCGTCTACTGTTGGGCCTCAATCTCGTCTACTGTTGGGCCTCAATCTCGTCTACTGTTGGGCTGAGAAAGCCCTTAGGATCTTTGCAGGACTAAATTCAGAGTAGGACAATGTAATAGCGGAAGCGTTAAATAAAAGACTTGTGAACCACCTTGCGCTAGTATGTGAGGGCAAAGTAGATTGATCAATATCAAAGAGATACAAGCTTTTATAAGAATACAAGGGAATATGAAGGGTTATAACTAATAACCGTTTTACCATTGCTGTTGCGGTTCGATACAGTGACGACTCGGGCAACTGCTCAATAGCGAGTCAGTTGTTTGTCCTTGCTGTCGCGCTGTACTTGTCAGGTCAAAGGTCGCTGACCTTTGACTTTCGCGTAACCTCCAGCAGTTGTTCAACCTCCGAGGGTTGACTCGCTGGTGCTTCGATATGTTCTGCTTCGCTTCTGACTTGGTGTTTCGACACGACAGAGGCGCTTAAAATCAATTGTTTCCAACATCTACATCCATCCTCGGGCGGCCCAGCCTTGTCCCACCCCCACCGTTATCTCGTGGTATCCCCCTCCCTTGCTCGGTTGCTGTTGTAGTTAGAGCAGGGTCCTAAGGGGCTGTGCTACTGATAGGGGTAGTGGTGGGAGTGTCAATGGAAGTGGCAGTGGCAGTGGCAGGGACAGGGACAGGGGCAGGGGCAGTGGCAGCAGATGCGGGAGGAGCGCCCGAGGGAGTATCAGTGGTGAGCTGGCCACCGCGCACATCCACGTCAGCATGAGCATCGAGCGACCGTTGCAGTGACGTGGCGTGCTGCTGTGCCACGTGGCGGCGCCACGAGATCTGGATGGTGAGAGCCGCCCACGTGCGCCAGTGTGGCGAGTAGTAGCGCACCCACCGCTGAATGCGCTGGCTCTTCCAGTTGAACTGCATGAGGGAGGGAGGGCAGGCAGGGAGGCAGGGAGGAGGGAAGGAGTTTGTTCAGTCAGTACAGCAAGTAGTAACGCACCCAGCTCTAAATGCGCTGGCTCTTCCATTTGAGCTGCAGGGCAAAGGAGCAGATGGGCGGCAGGCAGGCAAAGAGGGAGGCAGGGAAGCAAGGAGGGGAAGAGGCAAAAATTTCAGTCAGATGTTCAGCGAGTGAGTAGTAACGCACCCACCGCTGGATGAGCTGGCTCAAAAGTCAACCCGTGTCCTAGCCCAGTATGATTACCTTGAAGTGCTTTGTAACGAACAGCAGGTCTTCAGCTTCCAGTACAAAGCCCTCGACTGCCGTGACTGTGGTGAGAGTGGCTGTAGCGGAGGGCAGCTGGTTGGTCAATAGCCGTGAATGCGGTGAGCTGGTGTGGTTGTTGTCCGTAGCTCTCCCTGTTGCTTTTGAGAATTCTCAAAAGCAACACCAACACACTGGCTGGTGCCAATTTGACTCATAGTCGAAGGGCTGCAGTAGTTCCGAATTGTGCTGTACTGATGAAGGCGTGATTGGGTTCACCCATCCGCCGAAACTAGTTTACGCAAGGAGGCTTTTCGGAAGCGAAGGGTTTTTCCAGATCTGCGTTTTTTCACACTTGTTTTTTCACTGTTGTTCCTTTGCTTAAGCGTCTTTACAACTACTGCAGCCCTTCGACTATGAGTCAAATTGTCCCTGTTGCTTTTGAGAATTCTCAAAAGCAACACCAACACACTGCCTGGTGCGACACCTTTTCCCAAGACTACCTTGAAGTGCGTTGTAACAAACAGCGGGTCTTCTGTTTCCAGCACAAAGCCCTCGACAGCTGTTACTGTAGTGAGCGTGGCTGTAGCAGAGAGGAAGCAGCAAGCGTGACAGCGTGCTGTGACACCTTTCCCGTACCAGCATACCTTGAAGTGCGTTGTCACGAACAGAAGATCTTCAGCCTCCAGTACAAAGCCCTGCCCTGTACAGCTGCAACTGGTGAGTGGCAGTAGCACGCCCAACCAGGGTGCCTGTTCTGAGACTGTTCCCTCGGTTACCTACCTTGAAGTGCGTTGTCACGAACAGCAGACCTCAGCCTCCAGTACAAAGCCCTCGACTGTTGTGACTGTGGTGAGAGTAGCAGTGGTAGCGAGGGAGCAGCGAGCGAGCGTGACAGCGCGTTGTGACACCTTCCCTGTACCAGTTTACCTTGAAGTGCGTTGTCACAAAACAGCAGGTCTTCAGCCTCTAACACAAAGCCTTCGACTGCTGTGACTGTGGTGAGCGTGGCTGTAGCGGAGGGAGCAGCGAGCGTGACAGCGTGTTGTGACACCTTCCCTGTACCAGTTTACCTTGAAGTGCGTTGTCACAAACAGCAGGTCTTCAGCTTCCAGCACAAACCCCTCGACCGCCGTGACTGTGGTGAGCGTGGCTGTAGCGGAGGGCAGCTGGTTGGTGTCCGGGGAGTGGCCTAGCCCCCATGAGAGCAGCTCCTCTCCACAGAAATAGCCATCCCGGATGAGACAGGAGCTGCAGGGAGGAGGGGGACACATGGATGGATGGGAGAGGGATGGGTAGCACACGTTAGTGAGAGGAAGCAGAGCAGCTTGAGGCACCGCATAAGCTGGTTGGTGTTTGGGGAGTGCCCTAGCCCCACGAGAGCAGCTCCTCTCCACAGAAATAGCCATCCCGGATGAAACACGAGCTGCAAGGGGAGGTGGGACAGATGGATGGCGGGGCATGCCTTAGAATCTGGTTGGTGTCTGGGGAGTGGCCAAGAACCCATGTGTGTGCGTGCGTGTGTGTGTGTGAGTGCTTTGGATGGTGCACATGCGTATTCTCGATGCACAAGCTGGCATGCACATGCACACACCTGGAAGAGCCATGGCTCATGGTATGTGTGCTGCGGATGGTGCCTCGGATGAGAAACAGCATCATGCACACGGGCTCTCCCTGCCGCACAATCTGCCATGGATGGATGGGCGGGCGCATAGGATGGAAGCACGGGCCATGAAGTAAAGCAATGGTGCCTCGGATGAGAAACAGCATCATGCACACGGGCTCGCCCTGTCGTACGATCTGCCATGCATGCATGGCAGCATGGGCGCATACGATGGATGCATGGGGCATCAAGCAGAGAAATGGTGCCTCGGATGAGAAACAGCATCATGCACACGGGCTCTCCCTGCTGTAGGATCTGCCATGGATGGATGGATGGATGGATGGATGGATGGATGGATGGATGGATGGATGGATGGATGGATGGATGGATGGATGGATGGATGGATGGATGGATGGATGGATGGATGGATGGATGGATGGATGGATGGATGGATGGATGGATGGATGGATGGATGGATGGATGGATGGATGGATGGATGGATGGATGGATGGATGGATGGATGGATGGATGGATGGATGGATGGATGGATGGATGGATGGACGGACGTGAACAGTCCATTAAGGCGAGCTGATGTTTATGAATCTGGAATGTACGGATGCAAAGACAACAAGGGTTGCAGGGTTTGATTCAAGAGATTCAAAAGAAGTCCTGATGCAAAAGGTTAGTACAAGGAGGAACAGGAACAGGCAGTGTGGCAAGGTGTGTCGTTTGAGAACTCTGAACAGACTGGGTGTGTTGAAATCACTTTTGAGAACTCTCAAAACTGCTTCTCCTCTCCTCATACCTTCTTGACAAGATTAAGACACAGTGGCAAGGTGTGTCGTTTGAGAACTCTCAAAAGACTGGGTGCGTTATTCAGTGCATGTGTGCCAACCAGCTCACCTCCGTGCCATGAATGAGAATGAGTGGCTTGAGCCGCTCACATATAGCATCTAGAGCTGCAGAGTCCACCACTTGAAACAGCGGCACCTGTGGGGGGGAGATACACGACCGACAGATGAGAGAACAGCGTGACTTGTAAGCTGACTTCTGAGCCGCCTTGATTTGAGTCGCTCACACACACTATACATCCAGAGCTGCAGAGTGCACCACATGCACGCCCAACGTGCACAACACACACTGCTCTGGAACCATGTATGAGAATTCTTAAAAGTTGAATTCACTTATGTTGAAATCACTTTTAAGAATTCTCAAAAGTGATTTCAACATCCAGAGCTGCAGAGTGGACAACGTGCACGCCCAACGTGCACAACACACACTACTCTGGATGGAACCTCGTCGAAGTGCACCAAGTTGAATTCACTTGTGTTGCAGTGCACCACGAGCACGCCCAACATGCACAACACACTCTACTCTGGTCTGTTGTGGTCTGGATTCTGGAAGTATAGTGAAGCAGCATTTGAGAATTCTCAGGAGTGACTCTGTGGTTGATTTTACACTCTATCCTCTCTGCTTCTCCTCTCCCCATACCTTCTCTACAAGAGACACAGATGGCGTGTAATGTCTCTTTTTTTTTGTTAGATGTCTCAAAACTTTTTGAGACGTCTCAAAACTGCTTCTCCTCTCCTCATACCTTCTTGACAAGATGAAGACACAGATGCCGTTTGATATCTCTCTCTCTCCACATGCTCTTGGGCATGCTGCGAATGAGCCCCTCCTCATTACCCCCCCCCCCCTCGCTCTCAAGCCCTGCTGCTCCATTCCCACCAGAAATTATATATATTACAAGGATGCCTCCTACCTGCTTCACCAGGTCAAGGCACAGATGCCATTTGATATCTCGCCGCATGCTCTTGCCGTACCCTCTTATATCTCACCTGCTTCACCAGGTCAAAGCACAGGTGTCGTTTGATATCTCGCCGCATGCTCTTGGGCATGCTGCGAATGAGCCCCTCTTCGTCGATCCCCTTCGTTGGTCTGAAATATTGCTGCTCCTGCCCCATCAGACCTGATAATATACTACAGGCTGTCTCACCATGCCTCGTCGTACGGACCTGCTTCACCAGGTCAAGGCACAGATGCCATTTGATATCTCGCCGCATGCTCTTGCCGTACCCTCTTATATCTCACCTGCTTCACCAGGTCAAAGCACAGGTGTCGTTTGATATCTCGCCGCATGCTCTTGGGCATGCTGCGAATGAGCCCCTCTTCGTCGATCCCCTTCGTTGGTCTGAAATATTGCTGCTCCTGCCCCATCAGACCTGATAATATACTACAGGCTGTCTCACCATGCCTCGTCGTACGGACCTGCTTCACCAGGTCAAGGCACAGATGCCATTTGATATCTCGCCGCATGCTCTTGCCGTACCCTCTTATATCTCACCTGCTTCACCAGGTCAAAGCACAGGTGTCGTTTGATATCTCGCCGCATGCTCTTGGGCATGCTGCGAATGAGCCCCTCTTCGTCGATCCCCTTCGTTGGTCTGAAATATTGCTGCTCCTGCCCCATCAGACCTGATAATATACTACAAGCTGTCTCACCATGCCTCGTCGTACGGACCTGCTTCACCAGGTCAAGGCACAGATGGCGTTTGATATCTCGCCGCAGGCTCTTGGGCATGCTGCGGATGAGCCCCTCCTCATCAATCCCCCTCGTCGCGGTGAAGCTCTGCTGCTCCTGCCCCTTCAAATCTAATATTTTTTAGGTTGACTCAACATGCCTCGTAACCTTCTTCAACAAATAGAAGCTTAACTGTACCTCCCATATTGAAATCACTTTTGAGTATTCTCCTTAAGTGATTTCAATATAACATGCCTCATACTTTCTTCAACAAATAGAAGCTCAATCAGCCGTACCTCCCTTGAGCCCTCTCCTTCACTACTCACCTGCTTCACCAGGTCAAGACATAAATGCCGTTTGATATCCCTCCGCAAACTCTTGGGCATGCTGCGAATGAGCCCCTCCTCATCGATCCCCCTCGTCGCGGTGAAGTTCTGCTGCTCCTGCCTCAGCACGCGCCGCTGCAGGGCAGGTGGCAACTGGTGACGGTTCATCCACCAGGTGAGGTCTTGCCTTCGCAGCTGCATCTCCTCCATTCGCGATGTGATGCTGTGAAGAAATACCTAAAATGTGAGGGGCGGATGGGACGGGATAGGTGAGGATAGGTGGGGATGGGGATGGACGGGCAGGGCAGGTGGCAACTGGTGACGGTTCATCCACCAGGTGAGGTCCCTCCTTCGCAGCTGCATCTCCTCCATCCGGGAGGTGATGCTGTAAAGAAAGACCTGGGTATGGGAAGGCGAAGAGAAGAGGATGGGGTGGGGATGGGGGTGGGGGCATGGCAGGGCAGGTGGCAACTGGTGGCGGTTCGTTCATCCACCAGGTGAGGTCCCTCCTCTGCAGCTGCATCTCCTCCATCCGGGAGGTGATGCTGGGAAGAAAGACCTGCAGGGGTGGTGCAAGGGGGGAAAGGGATGCTGGTGGTGGGGCGGTTCGTTCATCCACCAGGTGAGGTCCCTCCGTTGAAGCAAGGTCCCTCCGCCGTCGTAGCTGCATCTCCTCAGTTCGAGAGGTAATGCCATGAAGAAAGGTTGCTAGAAGCAAACAAGCGCCGGTATATTCCCGACGAGCATAGCAAGGTGGTTTCCACACTCATCCCCGTCATAAGACGATTCATCATTGTTAGAACGCACCTGAATGTTCCCAATGAGCAGGGTGAAGAGCATGAGACCCGACAGCACCATGATGACCGCAAAGGTGGTTTCCACAAAGTTAGTGCTGGGGACCAGGGCGTTGCCAAAGGAGCTGAGGGAAAATGGGGGGGAGGAGGCGGAAACATGGTGTGGGGGAGAATGAAGCCGGAGTCAACAAAGTTGGTGCTGGGGATGAGAGCATTGCCGAAGGAGCTGAGAGGGGTTCAGGGGGATTGGGAGGACGTGGAGGCAAAGGAAGGGGCAGGGGGCAGCGAAGTGGGAAAGGGGGGAAGGGGGGTGGGGAGAACAGCGAAGGTGGTTTCCACAAAGTTGGTGCTGGGGATGAGCGCATTGCCAAAGGAGCTGAGGGAAAGGGAGAGGGTGGGCAGAATAGGTGCGGGAAGGGGGAATAAGAAATGACGTTCCAGCCAACAAAAGTTGAACGTCCCGTTCTTCACGGTCACCCTCTATATGGAGTGACTCTTCTAAATGTAGCATGCGCCACAGAAGAGTCCAAAGAAAATCTTAGCGACAGCAGACCCATTTTTTTATGGGCTGTGTGGTAGATGCCAAAGTTGACCGTCCTCTTGAAGAGGGCCCTTCCTTAGGAATTCATGCAGTCATATTCGTTAACAGACAATCTTTCCGGATGAGCTGGCATCACCTTAGAGTCATGATTCCAAAGTAGAGACCGACAAAGATCTTGGCCACAGCCGAGCCGAGCCATCTTTCATGAGCCGCAGTTCCATGTGATGAGGTAGACGCCAAAGTTGAACGCCCCCTTCCTTATAGTCACACTCTTTATGGAGTGACTAAATGCAGCATACGCACCTTACGAGTCATTATTTCAAAGAAGAGTCCAAAGAAGGTCTTGGCAGCAGCAGAGCCATCTTTCATCAGTTGCGGTGCCATGTGATAGATGCCACAGTTGAATGTGCCCTTTCTTAGGGATGCACCACCATTCTCACCTGAAAGTCATGATTCCAAAGAAGAGTCCAAAGAATGTCTTGGCAGCAGCAGAGCCATCTTTCATCAGTTGCGGTGCCATGTGATAGATGCCACAGTTGAATGTGCCCTTTCTTAGGGATGCACCACCATTCTCACCTGAAAGTCATGATTCCAAAGAAGAGTCCAAAGAATGTCTTGGCAGCAGCAGAGCCATCTTTCATCAGTTGCGGTGCCATGTGATAGATGCCACAGTTGAATGTGCCCTTTCTTAGGGATGCACCACCATTCTCACCTGAAAGTCATGATTCCAAAGAAGAGTCCAAAGAATGTCTTGGCAGCAGCAGAGCCATCCTTCATGCATTGCAGCGCCATGTGGTAGATGCCAAAGTTGAACGTGCCCTTCTTTACAGTCACAGCCCTTCTTTACAGTCACACTCTTTATGGAGCGACTAGATGTAGCATACGCCACACCTTAGCGTCATGATGCCGAAGAAGAGACCATAGAATATCTTGGCAATGGCAGAGCCATCCTTCATGAGTTGCAGCGCCATGTGGTAGATGCCAAAGTTGAACGTGCCGTCCCCCTCGAAGCACGTTGTCTCGAGAGTAGAGTTGTTGCCCCACGCCGCCCACGCAGGGCTCACGTCGGCGTCTGTTGTCTCACTTGCATCGGGGCACGTGACGAAATTAGGGTTGCAGACAGACGTGGGGACCTGAGGGGTGGAGAGGTGGAAGGGGGTGGGAAGAGGGAATGGGGGAATGGGAGGAGCAGGGCTCACGTTGGCGTCTGTTGTCTTGCTTGCATTCGGGCAGGTCACGAAGTTGGGGTTGCAGACAAACGTGGGGACCTGGGGAAGAGGGGGGAGTATCATAGAGTCGACTCAAAAGGGGCTCACGTCGGCGTCTGTTGTCTCGCTTGCGTCAGGGCAGGTGACGAAATTAGGGTTGCAGACAGACGTGAGGACCTGAGGGCTGGGAGGAGAGAGTGGAGGGGAGAGAGTGGAGGCGAGGGGAGGGAAGGAGCTGTTGTCTTGCTTGCATTGGGGCAGGTCACGAAGTTGGGGTTGCACACAGACGAAGTTGGGGTTGCACACAAACGAAGTTGGGGTTGCACACAAACGAAGTTGGGGTTGCACACAAACGAAGTTGGGGTTGCACACAAACGTGGGGACCTGGGAAAGGTGGGGAGGCGGAAAGGGGGTGGGAAGAAGGAGGGGAGGCGGAAGGGGTTGGGAAGAGGGAGGGGAGACGGAGCGGAAGGGGGTGGGAAGAGGGAGGGGAGGCGGAAGGGGATGGGAAGAGAGAGGGGAGGCGGAAGGGGGTGGGACGAGGGAGGGGAGGCGGAAGGGGGATGGGACGAGGGAGGGGAGGCGTGGGGGTAAGGTGACCTGTCATCGCACTTGTGTCGGGCAGGTGACGAAGTTGGGGTTGCGCACAGACGAAGTTGGGGTTGCATGGCATGGCATGGCATTTTGTGGGAGTCCATGGCATGGCATGGCATGCATCACATACATCACATGAGAGCCCCTCAGCCCCTCACCTGCATGGCATCACATCACATGAGAGCCCCTCAGCCCCTCACCTGCATGGCATCACATCACATGACAGGCTCTCAGCCCCTCACCTGCTGGCACAGCGTCTGGAAGCATGTGGCTACTCGCTCAGACGCCAGCAGGTACCAGAGGGACCCGAAGACCTGGTGGGTTGGGAGATGACGGTGGGGGGGGGGGGGGGGGGGGGGGGGGAGGAGAGGGTGGAAGGGAGAAGAATGGTGGGTATAGGGGAGAAGGGAAGGTCAACATTTACAAACTCACGCATTTTCAAATTTGCACATTCCCAAACTCACGCATTTTAGATCTACGCATTCCCAAACTCACGCATTCGGAATTTCCACACTTTTACATCCGCACTCGCTCGCATGGCAATGATGTAGGCCATGAGATTTAATGCAAAGCCCCGCAACACAACACAACACTGCAACAACACCAAAGATGTAACTGTATACTCACTGCACCTGCACGGCAAATCCTAAGAATGACCTTCCCTGACTCACATGGACAGCAATCATGTACGCGATGAAATTCAGCGCAAAGCCCCACCACGCCGCGCCAAAGATGTAGCCGTTGACCCGCTGCGCTCGCATGGCAAGTTGAAGAACGAGCTTCCTTGACTCACATGTGCAGCAATCATGTACGCGATGAAATTCAGCGCAAAGCCCCACCACGCCGCGCCAAAGATGTAGCCGTTGACCCGCTGCGCTCTCACGGTGAACCGGGCGGCGAGAATCAGCTTCAGCACGTACTGTAGAATGATGGTGCTGAAGGCTATAGTGACGCCGCCTGTAGAAAAATCGTATGAAGCCTTGTCCATTTGGATTAGCATGGGGGCAATTACCCACACAAATACCTGGAAACATTAAGGGAGGGGAAAGCGGAGGGGTGGATTGCAAAGGTTTTTCAAGTTAAGTACAAACGTCAGCATTACAAAGTTACCCAGATTCTCTCAGCATTCAATATACGAATCTTATTGCTGTCAAATAATCTGAACCGATTCAATAACTGTTACAAGTTACAAATTACAATGATCTACCTGTTTCAAATTTGCCTCAACTAACCACCAATCATGCCCACCTGCGGAATCGGCAAAGTCGCGATGATATCGAAGACCAACCCGCCGAAGGAACACCTCGACCGCGCGATCTTCCTCGCATTAGTCACCATTTCGCTGCCGTGCCCCCTCGCTATAGCTTCCTTCGACACGTAAGCCGTGCGCAACGACAGAAACGCATCCACCAGGAAAACCAAGTCACATGCGCTCCGAAGCACCATAAGGACTATCGAGAAGATCGTCTCCAGAAATAGACATGACACTTCCGGGCTGTAAGAGATTAGGTATAGGAAGCAAGGATCAACGGCTAGCGATGCGGAGTGAACCAAGGCGACGAATCTCATCCATCGCTTCATACGCGTTGTACGCGGATCCAATACTCGTCCGAACCACCACCAGGTTTTTCCCCAAAGCGCGTCGGATTTCATCTCCTCGAGCGGAATATCCGGAAAGTTATGTGACACGAGCCGCACCATCCCACCGTGAAACGAGGGTCTCAGAGGACCGCTGTCTTGTATTTTATCGCGCCGCTTTCCAAACATCCCCGACATCACGCGGTCGCTAAGGCTCCTAATGCCGCTGCTGATTCCGCCGTCGCTGCCGCCGTAAATGTCGCCGTGAATACCGCCGGGACTTCTGCCTTGACTACCGCCGCGTTTGACGCCGTTGCGTCGAAAGCTCCAGCTCCCATTGCGGCTCCTCGCGCGTAGCCCATTGGAAGCTCCACCGAGGGTAGTGACGGCCGACGCCGAGGCGGCTCGACGCGCGTTAACGTGCGCAGAGGAGGCGGGAACGGCGGACGGGGGAAGGGAAATTGTGGGAATGGAGTGCTCAGAGGCGCTTGGCGGAAGCGCGGCGCGAGAAGCGAGTTCAGCCTCACTCGCTTGGCCGTGTGGTGAAGGCTTCGCAACTCGTTGGCCATGCCGCGAGGTCATAACTCGAAAGCAGAGGATTAGGATTGACACACCAGTACAGCAGCAACTGTACGCTAGGTTTCTGAATGAGCTTCACACTAATACGTACGAATGTGCATAGCCGATTTCAGGTGGGTGGATGTGTGTGGTGTGGAAGAATTGCTGCTGGGGAATGGGGGGTATGTGTCTGTGAAGAAGTGGTGGGAGGGGTTCAAGAGGGATGCAGAGGGTTGAGGAGTAGCTTCCGCAGTTGCCAGCCGAAACAAATGGTCTGAACCACCAGCAGGTGCCCGCTCAGTTGGAGCCTGTTTCGAGCCTGAATGTCTCGTTCGGCACAAGCATTTCTGTGACGCTGTGATGCATCTGGCTGCATCTGGTGTCCACACTCAGTCCATCTTCCTTCGATGTAGTCACAAACAGACCTTTCAGGGTTCCCTGAGAGGTGAACCCAACGAGCCCGTAGCAGTGCTGACCCCGTTTAGACTGGACCGCAAATTCGGGTCTTGTGAAAGGGGTTCGCGAAAGCCGAGCCAAGTCTCCTCACACACAGTCGAACCAGACCATCAAGCAAGAATCACATCACCACAGCAGCCATACCCCCCGAAAAGTGCTCCTTATTTTTATGTATGTGCCCCGCATTTGCTAGGAGCGGTACACTTGCAACATACCTCAGTCATTATAGGCTAATTATTCTTTGCTGTGGTGCGATGTGGATCTAGGTCGCTTTCCTGATTTACGTGTTGCCATCGCAATCCGCGACCCGTTCCGCGTAGCGTAGCGTAACTTACTGAAACATGCTCGTGTTTGCCACTGCATAGGCCCCTCAAGTCCCTCCAGGACGGTTCCTTCGAGGCGCCTCTATAACTAATCGCTGGACGATAATTTTAGGATTGCTCATCGCAAGTGCCTCTTGAGCCCGCCTGCTTCTCCATCGGCTCTCTTCTTAGGCGGTTTAAGTTGCACGCGTGAGGCGCTTCAGACTCGTTACCACCTACCCGTTATATTGTCATCGCGCGGTTGAGAATTAGGTCAGGCTCTCCGCAATTTACGCGAGCCGGTGGGTTTCTTCGAGTCCTTCGTCAAACTCGTCGAAATAAAGCTCTACAAGCGCCTCGCGATCGCGCAAGACCGAGTGCGAAAGATGGCGAAATCTCGTGGGTTACCGCAAACAGGAGGAGTCGTCCTCGCGATCTTCGTTACAATTATGGCGTTACAAGTGATCCACGTGGCGGGTGAGTGCCCGTCGTTCTTCGTTCTTCAATTGCTCCACGTGGCGGCCAGTCTCCCTTTCCTAAGCGTCACTCCTATCTCCTCCCCAACCCTCCACGCCCCCACTTCTCTTCTCCGCAATTGCCTCCGTTGAAGCTGTAGCGGCCGTAACCCTAGCATCAATTGATGCTTCAGAAACGCGTAGCGACTGCCTCGATGCAAGTTGCAGCGACCGTCTCAATGCAAGTGGCATCGATCGCCCCCCGCACAAGCGAAACGATTTGACTATGTGCTTCGCCCTCTCTTGTACCCGTCTCTCCCCCCTGTCTCCCCTTCCCTACAACCTACCCCCATCCCTCCGCCCCTCCACCCCTCCCACGCCACACCCTGGCATTCAATCTGCAAGGCTGCGTCTCGCCAAGTCGTTCGCTGTGCATGGGGTCAGGATTCAAGATACCCCTCTTCACTGTCCCACACCGCCCTCCACCCCTCTCAACATACAAACACCCCTCTCCGCCCTTCCACAACTCCTCCCCTGCACAGCCTTCGTCCCGTCAACGGGGCTGCATTTCTCCTAATCGTCCGCCCTGGGGGGTTTCAAGATTCAGCATACTCTTCACCGTTCCACACCCCCCTCCGCCCCTCTTAACATCCAGACAACCGCCCCCCCTCCCCTCCTACCCCATTTCAGCGGTGGCGAATGTGACTCTAACGAGCATCACGCTGCACATGCACATCAACTGGGTGTTTCTCCCCCTGGTCTTCCTCCTCTTTACTGACAGCAATCACTCCGACTTGTTCACTCAGCCTCTCAATTCCCTTCTCCTCACTCCTCTTTCCTGTTTCTTTCCATCCCCCGCCTCCCTTGTTGCCAGCTGTGGCGAATGTGACTCTAACGAGCATCACGCTGCACAAGCACATCAACTGGGTGTTCCTCCCCCAGGTCTTCCTCCTCTGCGCGGATGGTAACCGCTCCGACCTGCCCTTCTCACCGCCGCTCAACATTCAAGTGAACCTCACAGGGAAGGAGGACTGGCAGGTGAGGCTGAGGAGAGTGCTGTAGCAGTGGGAGGTGGTGGGTGGTTGGTGAGGGCTGATGGCAATTGCTCCGACCTGCCCTTCTCGCCGCCGCTCAACATCCAAGTGAACCTCACGGGGAAGGAGGACTGGCAGGTGAGGGCAGGGGAGAGGGAGGTGTGGGTAGGAGGACTGACAGGTGAGGGCAGGTGTAAGTTGTAACTGCTGTATGACTGTTGTATGATGATGGGAGGTGGGTGATGGGGCCCGATGGCAATCGCTCCGACCTGCCCTTCTCACCGCTCTCAACATTCAAGTGAACCTTACGGGGAAGGAGGACTGGCAGGTGAGGGAAGCGTGCGCATAAGGACTGGCAGGTGAGGCTGAGTGGAAGGTGAGGGCTGGAACTGCTGTATGTCGGTTGTAAGGTGATGGTTCCCCAGCAGCCCCTACCTGCTCTTCCCACTCTGCGAGTCCAACTTCTCAGCCCCCAAGGACCACCCTCCCTTCCCTTCTATGTGGCCCCCACTTTCCCCCATTTCCCCCCACTTCTCCTCCCTCTCGTGTTCCTTCCAACCAGCCTCTCTCCCATGCCAGCTCTCTTTTTCTTTTCTTTCGACTCACACCCTCTCTCCCTCCCTCCCCTCCCTTCCTTTGCCGTCTCCCTTCCCAATCCCAGCCCCTATTCCAAATGGACAGTGGCGGGTGCAAGGCATGCGGCATATACGAGAAGGGGTGGATAGCAGACAGCCCCTACCTGCTCTTCCCCCCCTTACCTGCTCTTTCCCTCTGCCTCTGCCACTGCCCTTTACCTACTTCGCTTCCCCTTCCCTCCTTCCCCTCCCTTTCCCATCGCCCTCCCCCATCCCAGCCGCTTTTCCAAATGGACAGTGGCGGGTGCAAGTCGTGCGGCATATACGAGAAGGGGTGGATAGCAGACAGCCCCTACCTGCTCTTCCCGCTCTGCGAGTCCAACTTCTCAACCCCCAAGGGCCACTCGCCCGCCCCCGGTGCCGCGGGCTTTGGGGAGCTGCTGCTGGCGGACCCAACGGGCACTGTAGAGTTTGTGCTCTCGTGCCCTGCTTGTGTGAGGGACTTGGAAATGAGCACAGGCGATGGTGAGTTGAGTGGTTAAGCTGGGTTGAGTTAGGTTGAGCTGCTGCTGGCAGAACCAAAGGGCACGCTCGAGTTTGTGCTCTCGTGCCCCGCATGTGTGAGGGACCTGGAGATGAGCACAGGCGATGGTGAGTTGAGTGGTTAAGCTGGGTTAATGTGAGTCTATGTCTCTGTCTCTGTCACTGTCTGTCGGACTGAGTGGTGCTGCGGGCTTTGGGGAGCTGCTGCTGGCCGACCCAAAGGGCACGTTCGAGTTTGTGCTCTCGTGCCCCGCATGTGTGAGGGACCTGGAGATGAGCACAGGCGATGGTGAGTTGAGTGGTTAAGCTGGGTTAATGTGAGTCTATGTCTCTGTCTCTGTCACTGTCTGTCGGACTGAGTGGTGCTGCGGGCTTTGGGGAGCTGCTGCTGGCCGACCCAAAGGGCACGTTCGAGTTTGTACTGTCATGTCCTGCGTGTGTGTGAGACATGGAGATGAGCACAGGCGATGGTGAGTTGAGTGGTTAAGCTGGGTTGAGTTGGGTTCAGCTGCCGCTGGCCGACCCAAAGGGGACACTTGAGTTTGTGCTCTCGTGCCCTGCTTGCGTGCGGGACTTGGATGGAAATGAGCACAGGAGATGGTGAGTTGAGTGGTTAAGCTGGGTTATTGTGTGTCTATGTCTCTGCCTCTGTCTCTGCCTCTGTCTCTGCCTCTGTCTCTGCCTCTGTCTCTGCCTCTGTCTCTGCCTCTGTCTCTGCCTCTGTCTCTGTCTGTTGGGCTGAGTGGTGCTGCGGGCTTTGGGGAGCTGCTGCTGGCCGGACCAAAGGGGAATTTGGAGTTTGTACTGTCATGTTCTACGTGTGTGCAAGGGTGAAGGCGACGGTAAGCTGGTCCCCGCCCCCTGTCTTTGTCTGTCTCTGTCTCTGTCCTGTTTCTCTGTTTTTGTCTCTTTCTCTTTCTGTCTGTTCTGTCTCTCTCTGTCTGTTGGGTTGAGTGGTGCACACTGCTGCTGGACCTTCAATCTTGGGATGCCATGCAAACCTCTCATCCGCATCCTCCTCCACATATTCTCACCTCCTGCTTCCCTCCTGCTTCCCTCCTTCCTCCCTCTCCCATCTCTCCTTCCTCTGTCCACTCCATCAATCCTTCATCCTTACCCCCCCTCTCCCTGTGCCCGCCTTCCTTCCTTCCAGTTCACACGGCGCCTGCACCTCAAGGCTTGGGGGTGGTTGTCTGGGTGATAGCAGGCGTGGCAGTAATGGGTGTGCTTGTACTGCTCATCACATCTGTAGTGTACATTACTAAAGGTGGCGACCAGATTGTCGACGAATCGGAGCGCGCCAAGTTTATTGAAATGGGGGCTACGTCATCAGAGGAGCCTCTTTATGCGTTGGGAAGAGAGCCTCGCCTTGCATCTGATGTGCTTAAAGGTGATCCTGATGACTACCTATAGAGGGGATGGATCATGGAAGCAACTCATGAATAATCTAAGACACAAGGTCTGTCATATGATCGGACCCAGCAAGGTGTTTGGTTATGTAGGTCTATCTAAGAAGCCTTACGGTATCTTGATTCTGGGGTTGCCCGGAGGTATATTTATGGCAATGAAATTTGTGATTCGGCATGTGGTATTTCCACTTCCATGCAAGTGTATTTACAGCTTATGAAATAATCCTCACATACGGGTTAGGGTTGTTTGGAAGTACACATTTTATTGCATATAGCGAACTCCCATCGCAAATCGTGGCCCATCACAATATCGTAAGACCCTTGGGAATATCGCCTCTCCCTACCACACTAAAGACTACTAGATCACGCCCAACCTTGAACTCCTCATTTCCAGCCACTTGCCTGTCAGTTCCTCCCCTACCCCCCCTCCGCTCCATTCAAATCAACCCTGCTTCCGTCCGCTCCCACACCCGCCCACCATCGACTCCAGTTCGCATCCAACCCACTCCGCATCGACGGTTGCGCATCACTTTCTCGTTGGCATCAACGGTATCTACTGCCTAACGGTCGTCCGCTGCTTCCAACAAATTCCCGTCAATCCACTCCACCATCTGGCCTCCGCATCTCCGCATCGACCAACTCGCAGCATCCTCGCCTCTCCGCATTCGACGCTCGCGTCCCCTCGCTGTAGTCACACCTGTCATGCTCCACGCCATGGCGGCTCCCCAATCCATTTTCCGTCTCGCGTTCTCCCGCACATCGCCCGGATCTGCCTCCGAAATCGCCGGAACCGCGTTCCGATGTTTCGCCGCGAAGGCCGGAGGCGATAAAGCGGCGCCAGCGGGAAAGGCGGGAGGAGAGAAGCCGAAGGCGACGCGGAAACCCAAGGATGACAGTCCTAAGCGACCTTTGTCGGCGTATATAGTCTTCGCGACTCATGAGCGACCTGTGCGTGTAACTTAGTGTATTTTGAGTTGACTCGTAACACACCCGGCTGTCCTTAGCGACCCATGTCCTCTTACATGGTCGTCACGTGTGATAAGTCGATTTTTTAGTCGACTCAAAAATCGACTGTCCTTAGTGACTCATGTCCCCTTACATGGTCGTCACGACTGAAGAGCGACCTGTGCGCGCGCCTTCTCGTGCTTTCTTCTTCTTCTCGTGCTACATCGCTGTTGTTTTCGTCTAGCTTGTCACCATGGTTGTGATTGGTTCGGTTCGTCCATCTCTTCTTAGCGCATCCCAGCAATAGTCCACGGTATCTCTCTTCTATGGTCCGTCGAGCATTGATTGTTTGTCTTTTGTCCCTCAATCCAAGAATCGATCCACGGATTCGACTCCTTGTGGATTTGCTATCCGTTGATCTCCTGACTGAATCTTCCATTCAATTATTTTTCTCCCCGTGAATTCCATGCATATATTTATTTCCGGATTCAAGCCTTCCTCTCTCAAATATTCCCCGACCTCTCCTTCCGCTGTATTCCCGCGAATTTCCCTTTTCGCCTGTGCGACAGAAAGTGATTCGCGAGAAGCCTGACATAGCCTTCGCCGATGTCGGCAGGGTCATTGGCGAACGGTGGCGAAACCTCGCAGGTAGGACATTGGCGAGCAGTGCATAAATCGCACAGATAGGCTATTGGCGAAAAATGCCGAAATCACCAGTGACCGTATGCATATCCTTTCCCCTTTCCTCTGACTTTACAGGTGCTGCTGTACGCGTCCCGTTCCCATTAATTTGCCCACCTTCCTCTTCTCCTTTCTCTTTCTCCCCCCCCCCCCCCCCCCCCCACACTCCCCTCTTCCCTCTTCTTCCCCCACACGCCCTTCCTCCCTCTCTTTTTCCCTACTCCTCTCGCCCTTCATTTCCCTCTGTCTCCTGCAAGCCTTTTCGATTCCTGCAAGCCCCTTGGTTCCCATCCCCATCTTCCTATCCCACCACCCTTTTACCCGTTCTCTACCTCTCCGTTTCCTCACCCTTTCCTCTTTTCCCCCTATCCAATCCACCCCACCCCACCTCCCTTTCCTGTTTCCATTGTCTATGCTGTTGTTTCCAACCCCCAATTCCCCATCTCCCCATCCCGGCCCATGCCACACAGTCTGCAACTCAATCGACAACTCAGGCATATGTTTCCCAGTTTGAGTGACGCCTCCAGAGTTCCACACAGTGACACAGTTCACAACGCAACCCACAACTCAGCTCATGCATTCGTTTTCGAGTCGTTTACCAGTCTCGGTAACCCCTCTCAGAACAGAAGGACAGGACAAGGTTTTGTCCTCCTCGCCCTTTTCCCAACCCTCCCCTACAACCCCACTCCCTTGTTTCCCCCTCTATCCTCCCCCTCAGTCAACTTCCTTGCAGCTGATCTGATGACAAGGTATTACGAGCAAGCTTCACAAAAGGACAAGAATAAAGTGTTTTTCTCCACGCCCTTCCCCCCCACCCTGACCATTCTTTCCCCCTCCACCCACCCTCTCCCATACAGCTGGTGACAAGGTGAAGTACGAGCAACTGTCTCAGAAGGACAAGATGCGATATGCTGCTGAGCTGGAGGCCTACAATAAGGCCAAGGCTGCAGAGAAATAGTAGTTCTACCAAGTTAGGAAGGAGGTTTTTAGTTGATGCAGAACACACCTACTGTCAAGAATGAAAGTGTTGGTTTCACTAAGGTTGAACTATCAGAGATTTTTAGGCAAATCAGAGAAATTTCTCTGACTTCTGGGGGCCTGGTCACCACACACTCCGAGCACAAGCAAAAGAGCCACAAGGCTAGTTCAAGAGTTCACAGAGGTATATGTAAAGTGTATAAACAAAGCAAGGAGAGAACTCAAGACTATGCAAGGCGAGAACCTGTGTCAACGAGACCTAACTGCACACAACACCTCTGGTGGTCACAAGGCGGCAGGGCCTTGGTGAAGATGTCTGCAGTGTTGGCCTCGGACTCAACAAAGTCTAAACGAGCCTGTCCACGCCTCTGCAACTCTCTCAGAAGAAAGTACCTGACGTTAATGTGCTTCACTCTGCTCTCCAGTCGCGGCTCTCGACAGAGGAGAATCGTCGCCTTGTTATCACTGAACAAGGTCGGCGCAGAGCTCGGCCGCTCACTAAGGTCAGTGAGCAAGAACGTCAGCCAGCGTAGCTCCTGTGCAGCCATAGCTTCAGCGTAGATCTCGGCCTCAGCAGTAGAGGTCGAGACCGAGGAGGAACGTGTGGACCTCCACGAAACAGCTCCAGAGCCCAGGCTGAAACAGTACCCCTGAGTAGACCTGTGCGTCTCGGCGTAGTCAGCGTAAGAAGAATCACTGTGACCAGTAAGCATGACGTCCTGTCTCCCTCCAAGAACCAGCCCCACGCCTGATGTCGTTGCTAGGTACTTCGCCACCCTAACAGCAGTTGTCAAGTGAACTGGACGGTGTCTCCCTGGCGCAACAAAGCGAGCAAGGATGCTGAGAGGGAAGGCGAGGTCCGGGCGAGTACAAGTCATCAGGTATATGAGGCAGCCCACAAGCTCTGCGTAAGGACCACTAGGCTCAAACGGCTCGTCAGGAAAGGGTCCAGTGAGTCGGTGGTCAACGGCAAGAGGTGTGCGCTGTACAGTAGAGTGCTGAAGCTCGAACCGCTGAAGGACCTGCTGCACCTTGTGTGACTGTGAGAGTGTAATGGTACGAGCAGCTCTGCCCCTGGTGATCTGCAGGCCAAGGTAGTGGCGCAGCTCACCAAGGTCAGTGCAAGTGTGTCTCTTCTGCAGTTCGAGCTTCACGTCAGCCAAAGCAACCCTATCAGCAGTGGCGAAAACCAGGTCGTTAACGTAGACCAGTACAAAGAACGGTGTGGAGCCACGACGAACGAACAGCGACGGGTCGGCAGCAGAAGGCTGGAAACCAGGATCAGAAAGGGTAGAGCGAAGGGTGTCGTGCCACTCACGAGGAGCCTAACGGAGACGGTAGACTGGTCGCCTAAGCCTCCACTGGGTCCCAGGAGGGAAAGTGCCAGTGAAGGCAGAGGGGCGACGTAACCAGACCTCCTCGTGTAGGCTACCCTGAAGGAAAGCAGTGGAGAAGTCAAGAGAGTGTAACTCGTAGTCTCTCTGTGCTGCTACGTGCAGTAACACCCGAAGAGTGGTCATCTTCGGGGTAAGCGCGAAGGTCTAAAAGAAGTCAGCTCCCTCGCGCTGACTGAAACCTCTGGCCACATAGCGCGCCTCGAAGACTGGAGGAGATCCCGGTGGCCGCTTCACCCTGAAGATCCACATGCCATCGACTACGTTCGCCCCAAGGGGGGGAACCTCGTCGACGTAGGTGCCTGTGGATCTGTAGGAGGCCATCTCTGAGTCCATGGCAGCTCTCCACTGAGAGGCCGAAGGCTCTGATACTGCCTCTGCGTAAGTGCGAGGAGTCGGTATGTCAAGGGCGTCAGGGTCTCCCTCAGGGGCGAGCAGCATGGCACCGAGATGAGGGGAAGCGGCTGCCAGGAACTCCAGCTCAAACTGCCTGTCCTCTAGGGCGTCACAGCCAAGGGCAGAATCACCCCCGATTGCTAGAGGACTGGTAGGAGGAGCAGCCACAAGACTGGTGGCGTAGTCAAGGCAGCGAGTAGAGGCAAACTCAGTGACTGCGGCAGTAAGAGTTGAGACAGAGGACAGAGAAGCACATGAGTCGGTAACAAGAGAGGCGAGAACACAAGAGAGAACAAAATGGTACGTGTGGTAGTAGTCTGTGACAGGAGTAGAGAGGGAAGCAGTGAGAGCCGACTCAAGAGGAGAAGGAAGTACAGAAGGAGAAAAACAAGGCGAACTAGAACAAACCTGGGCAGTGCGAAGGTCAGTGAAGGGAACAGGGGACGAGGGACGAGCACGAGGAGAGCGACGCGAAGGCCAAGTGTGAGAAAGAGGAGGGGAAAACGGGGGCAGAGGAGGAGGGAAAACAACTGGGGAGGGGTCAGGAGAAGGAAGCGGAGGACCAGAGACGGGAGGAGAGGGGGGGGAGGGAGGAGAAGGAGAGGGGAGA